CACTATGATACGGCACGGGGCGAGAGCGACAATTGAGTTGACAAATGTCAACTGTCATTTGTTGTCAAATTGATTATTTACGAAATCCGATAGATTTTACGTGTGAATAGGACCGTGATGTGTGAATATAAGTGTTCGAGGTCGACGAAAAAGTATAACATGCACCTCGCGTGCTTGCTAGCCTCGGCTATCAATTTGCATCAGGCTATAACCTATGGTAGACAGTTTTCCGTCCTTGGTACATGAATAACTATTGAGAATCACTTTTCACAATCATTCTGAAAACATTTTTTTAAATTTTACTTTTTATATTTTTGTCACTAGATTTGTGAAGAATTATGAACATAATTAATGAACAGAACATATTAATGAAAAAGCATGTATAAGATAACTAAATCATGAAAATCATCCATATCTAAAAGTGGTCCAAAGTAATTTCGAAAGAAAAACAAGTAGCTCATATGGTCCACAGACTTTGAGCTACTTGATGTTTTTCTTTTGATATAAGATAACTATTTAGAACTATGTTGTCAGCTATAAGATCCCTAGATCATTGGATATTCTCGAGATAACTTAATGACAATTCAAAACACGTTGTTTGGTATCAAACCAACAAACGTGCTTGAGAAATTTGACATAAAATATGCGAGAACACTGATTTCTAGAAAAAAGTATATACAATGACGTTTCATAATGAGAAAAGGCACAGAGAATGAATTTAAATTATTTCATTAACTCACTGCATCGAAAGTGAGCATTTGCTCCCTCATTCAAAGACACAAACCTGTCAATTTATTCCTATGGGGGGAAAAAAATACCTGGGAGGAGAAATAAATTGGCTTTACCTTGCTCACTTGGTAGAGATATATTTATTAGATCTGTGCTACCCAAGTACCTAGTTAGTGTCTCCATCACTATCTACTATAAAACAAATAACAATATTTCCTTTTTGAACTCCAATGATCTCCTACACTTCCTCATATTTCAAACTACTTAGACCGCTTGAAGCACAATTTCAAGGACTACGCTCTCAAATATACGCGTTTGTGGAAAAAATCATATATACTGGGTGTCAACGAATCTATTAGACAAGTCATAACTTCTAGACCATAAGGTGTATCAAAATGAGATTTGGTATAGGTAGATGGTATGTGAAGAGGAGAGTTTTCACATATTTTTTACTTTCCGGTCACTTCCGGTTTCACCGGAAATGGCTCCGGTTCTAAATTTTTAAATAGAACACCCTGTATATTGTAAAATTTTTGGTATTCTGAGACAATTCTAGATCAGAATGTGACATTTACGAAAGTATTTATGCCTACTTAATTTTTTCCGAGTCACTTTTGAAATTACATCTAGGTGGCCATGATCGGAAGTAAACTAATCTAAGGACCTCAGGTGATATCAGAAAATTACAATCGCGAAGTTTTAGTGACAAGTATGATAGATATGAATAAGACAAGTTGGCAAAATTACATGTTCGTGTCCAACTATTATTTTTCAAATGGCGACCATTTTTTGACAAGCACTTTCCGAAAAAAGGATATTTTGACGAATCTAACGATACTAATTTATTTGCGATTGGATTACAAATAAGAACATAAATTGAATATTACTGACAAAAATACTTCAGAGTGACTCCGAAAAAATTAAGTAGTCATAAAGACTTTCGAAAATGTCACATTCTGATCTAGAATTGTCTCAGGAATCCAAAGATGTTACAATAAACAGAGTGTTCTATTTAAAAATTTAGATCCGGAGCCATTTCCGGTGAAACCGGAAGTGACTGGGAAGTGAAAAATATGTGAAAACTCTCCTCTTTACATACCATTCACCTATACCAAATCTCATTTTGATACACCTTATGGTCTAGAAGTTATGACTTGTCCAATAAATTCGTTGACACCCGGTATATCTTTTGAGCAAAGGTTCATTTCCTCCCATGTGTGTTAAATGCCCTCCGCTACGCGTTGGGCATCACGCGGAAGGAAATGGACACCTTTGCTCCCTTGATATATGAATAGCTATTTGTTTATTGTATTTCCAAAATAAATTCTTACTCCATGAAAGTGTCAATTCGAGATACAATAGTGGATATAAAACACTGTTCAATCGAACAAGTTAGCAAAAAATTATCTTATTATTCATCTGTTTTTTTTTCATTATCAAAAATAGATTATACACATGTACATATTTCGTCTTTTTTTGAGGAATTCGAATGTCCATAAGAAAACATGTGATGAGACATACAATATTATTTAGAAACCATTTTCTATCATTGACTTTCTGGTTCTTTCAAATGGAGAATCAAAAATTAGATTGTTTTATGACATGAAAGATATCAAATCTAATAAGGTTTGAAGAATTTTTGCGTTTTGATAAGTGATAAAAAACAGCACTTTTCATTTTAAATTCTGAACACATAGACCTTTGCACTCTCCTCGTATGAAAACATTCCTATAATAATTGCTTTCATAGATACGTTTTTGTATGACGACATGACATGACGATATCAGCTCAAATGGTGAGATGGTGGTCACATGAACATCGTCAATATAAGCTCCCATGGTCGCACGTTGGACATTATAGGGAATCCCTTTCGTGCGCTCCAAAATATAGAAATAAAATAGTGTTTCGCGTCTAGGGCAAAACATCCACAATTCGCAACTTGTTATAAAAATAGATTGAGGGCCGGTTTCATAGATCATTTGACAGATGATTGTATATTTAATTTGTTAATATCCATGGCTATGTATGCCTTAACTGACCGGTCAAAACAGTTGATTCCTCGTTGAGTTAACAGAGAAAAACATAAAAAATTAGTGTTACACAGTGTGTTTTCTCTATCCTTCATTATTATTATACGAGAATGCTGAGAGCCGACGTCAAAATAGTTTATAACATAAAGTTGCATTATTACATTTCATATTGCAACTATGATAGTGGTCTTGTGGAATGATATTGACACTAATCTTTATATGAACATCATTTGTTGACATTCACAATGTGAATGAAAAGTTGCCACATCGAAACAAAATACGAGAATAAAATAGTTATTTTATAAAACAAGCTGCAAATTGATTGTATTTTATGGAACATACGTGGATAGTGAGTGGTTCAACATGTTCTGTGCAGAAAACACAATTTTGTATTTCACAGTTCAACGCCAACGCATAACATCGAATAATATTGTATTTTAAAAATCAAATTCCAGTTTATCTACAAAAATATTGTTAGTATACTATGACGCTATAACCATACCTGAATTCCATATGAACACTGGAAAACATAATTTGACACTCAACTTGAATGTAATATTGATACTAGCGTTGTTATGATCACCACATACCGTGTACATACCATATAGACATTCATAATGTGAATAAAAATTCATCATACTGCAACAATATTATAAAAATATATTTTTTCTACAAACGTCAAAAAATGACGAGGTTCGCGCATTGATAACAGATTGCGAAGTGACACTTTTTTCAGTCTCCTACGTTGCCATGATACCTTGCACAAAACATTGCGCGAAGTAAAACAGTGCGCGAAGTACCCACTTCGCGCATCGTTATGTAAAATATATGAGATATTTATATTTCAACTTTATGGTCCTCAATCGAGCAAACATCCACGAAATCATTTATTTCTGAATGTTCAACAATAACTTTGTTTTATCTCTTGGAGTGCACGAAAGGAAATTCCTATTATGTTCGTGGAACATCGTGCGTACCTAAGGAGGCTAGGGGGAGGCCTTTTAAACCAATTCAACACTATTTACTTCATCAAGCTAGACATATTTTTACTTTGGAACGACATTTTTTGACGTTTGTAGAAAAAAATTTTGTTTGCAACTCCAGCGCGAAATACTTTGGTCATCTCGACTATTATTTCAGATCTTGATCACCAAAGTAGCATTTCGCGCTCTAGATACAAAAATAACTATATTTGAACTATTTTTGTAACTCCAAAGAGATAAATAAATCATAGCAGGAAAACATATTTTCTACTGTTTTTAATAAGTATGACAACTTCAATAAATGATTTCAGATAAATTCTTGAAATCCAATAAACCAACAACATTATTTTCAATACCGTTATGTTCTCGAATTGTTGTTATAATCATTGCACAGTCCTAGAATTATAAGTTTGTTAAATTAATGGTGAACACAAAACACTACAATATTTAAAATGTTATATATAAAAATAATACATCGATTTCAACTTCGATTTGATAATTATTTGAAAATGCTTCTCAAGACTTGTAAATGGAATCTAACATTTATAACTGGGTGAATAAAATATCCATCAACAATGAAAATATTTAACATTCCGATAATAAAGATCACAGTAGGAAAAAAATTTGAATAATTCTCAATATACTTTATTCTGACACAAATATTAAAAATATATAAATTACTGAACACAGGTCCTTTGTGACCTTCAGTAGTTGATATCATAGAGTGTTAACTGATAGGATATTGTAAAATTGACCTTAATAGCTATCAACGTTAAAAGGACGATATGTAGCAAACAACCGAATCCGTTATTTGCGTATCGGCCGTGTGTCATTCAAGACTTTTCGTTATCCTGCAGAAAGCTTACATTTTGATTCCGAGGAAAGAACAAAACACGTACCTGGCAATTCTACAGAAAAGTCCAAACATCGTGTTGTTACGGCCGCCGGCCGTTAATCAATCTTAACCGACGGAGCCAATTACCATCAACTATTCAATTATCATCTGAATACCGTTAAACCAAAATAACAGTAAGGGATTACGAAAATTGTATAACAAAATCATATCTCAGAATAAATTTCACGAATAATGAATGACATATTTCTGACAAACATTTTGAAAGTAAAAAAAATAAGCATATATTTTTTGATATTTCGAGTTATCGATTTCATCCTAACAATCAGGAAGCTAGGAAGTATTCTCAAGAGAACTATGTATTATAGATATAAATTGTTATGGGGATAATACTTCTCTATCTATCTACTGATTCGTCGAATAATTCGTAATGATATCTTTTGTGAATTTAGCAAGATGGAAGGCTATATCTCTTACATTCCCAAAATGCACTTCAAACGATTTCATATCACCAGTTTGTTGTGATGCTTGAAGAGATACACATTCAGGCTGTAGTCTCGATACTAGTTCTAGCATAAGTTTCATTCGTTCTTCAGTTTCCTAGAAATTAAAGAATGCATATAAGAGAATCGTAAATGACAAATAATCGAATAAACCTGATATTGAAATATGGAAATTGCATCTCAGGAACATGTAGTAGTAGTAAGTATTTTTTATTTTAGTCATCGATGGGCCTGTGAAATATTACTATCATTGCAGCATACAAAGCAAATTTCACGATTCCTCAAAAATGTTGAGGGTAACCGTCACATTCACTGTCAGCGCATTAAGAGCGGTCAGTCATCATTGAAGATAATATGTTTTGGGTTAATTGTTGAACAAATCGATTATACTGATATAAATATTGACCAAAATTGAAAATAATCAACTGAAACTTTCATAGTTTTATGAATATCTAATCTACTACTACTAAGTGTTTGGGATCACACGTTAAAAGGTAAGGCCCCCGTCATTCCTTGCTCGCACAAGACTTTCGAAGACTTTGAGGGTTGCTCGTGAGCGGGCAACCGAATGACGGATAGAACAAATTTTAGAACAAATTTTAGAACTATATCCTCCGATTCAGTATGGGCGCCTATGAATTTTGAGCTCGAGAAGCCGAGATTTGCTCTGTTGGCGTTATTTTCATATGAAAATATTTTGAATGCATATTGATTCTGATTGATAAATGTCGCATGATTAATAAATATTCCTCTCGTATTTAAACTGTATGCCTCTTCGATATTTTCAAGTACAGCTTTCATATCTATGAGAATCAATTTGAAGGGATCAAGTTAGATACTCTTATTTTTTATTATTGTGAATTCAAAAATATTGTCTTCCAGATAAGAGATGAATATTATTGAATTCTCATTTTCAATTTCCAATTTAAGTGACTTGAACTAGAAAAACGAGAACTTTTTTTAATCCCAGCTTCCCCAGATATGCCAAAATGAGGTAAAAACTCATAGATTGTCCCAATGGCTCCCGTTCGTTTTGGTTCCTCGCTAAAGTTGTCGGAAGGAATTTCACTAATAGTTCATTCCCACCACTCTCCAAAGCCAACGGCCACATCAGCAACAACATCGCAAGATAAAGCGAACATGTTTGCAGATATATTCGCAGCAAACTCCACCTTAGATTTTCAGGGAAGAGTAAGGCCAGACATTCCACCCGTTGATAGTCGAATGCCCGAAATCGGCTACCGTCAATGCACCATCAGACAGATTCTGCTCGGTCTCAAAACGAATACAGCTAACGGCCTGATGGAATTCCACCCATTATTCTCAAAAAGTGTGCAGCAGAAATGACACCGATTCTCTGCAAGTTATTTTCAATCTTGTACAAGTCGGATATTTTTCCATCTGGAAAATATCTAGAGTCCAACCTATCCCCAAAAAAGAAAACACAAGCCTGTCCAACAACTATTGGCCAATTGCCCTGTAATCAGTCATCTCCAAAGTGATGGAGAAAGCCATCAACATTGAGCCCATCAAATATCTGGGAAGCTCAGGAATCATCAATGAGAAAATATGGCTTTCGCCACCGAAGATTAACCTGAGATTTACTTGCCTACGTCACCCATATGCAAGCTACATTAGAAAAATAAAGGGAATCTCTAGCTGTGGCGTTGAATATATCGGAGGCATTCGATCGTATTTGGCACCAAGGACTCCTCAACAAACTACCATCATACGACTTACCACCTCCTCGAGGTTTCTTTCAGGCAGCAAACACTTGCCCTATCCACAGTTTCGCAGACGATTGTACTCTCGGTATTGCGTTCTCTTATAGAATTCCCATTTATTCCCAGAAAACTAAGAACTTACGACAGAGACCGGTCAACGCTGTCAATGAAGATCTTGCGGAAATTAAAGCCTGGGGCACCAACAACCTAGTTGACTTCAACGACACCAAAACTAAAGGCTGTGTTTTCTCTAGAAAGGAACTCAGTATGCCTGATATATTGATGTCTGGTACCACCAAGACCACTATATCTATGCTCGGTATTTCCATCAGCAATACCCTTTCATGGGAAAATCATGTCCGATCCATCACGAAAGCTGCTCTACAAGAACTCAGATTTTTCTTCCGTGCGAAAATTTACTTCACGGCCAGTTTTAGAATACTGTTCTCACATATGGGGTTCAGCACCCAAACATACGCTGATGCTCTTAGATTCCATCCAGAGAACAGCCATTCGCCTGGTGGGTGATGCCACACTCACTAATCCTAATAGATAAGTTTTTGATGATTCAAAGAAATTTCAGGTCTAATTCTATAAAGTACTCCTATTATTATTGGTGATATATTTTTTATTTCGATAGAAAGAAAAAGTGTGTGTATATAGGGGCTCCAATTTGAAATAGGGAAATTACAGTGCTTCGGAATTTGAAAAGTTTTCCACTGAATTTTGCACACCTTGTGATGATTCGTGTCAATCAAACTCGGAAAGGGACCTCGGAAGGGTCCCCCTCAGGCCTTATTTAATATGTATCCCTTATGATTTAATTGACGAGGCACTAACGTTTTTGTTATTAATGTTTTTGACAAGTGGTGCAAAATAGATTTATTATATTTTTTCAAGTGAATATCACTGAACAGATTTCAATTAAACTCCAGGAATATGTAGGTAACCACAAGAAGCACCCTAATGTGCAACAAAATATATGGCATGCCATTTAAAAAAATATAACAGTATGACATCGCACTTTTTTGGGACACGCTGTATAATCGAACATATTTTTCTGGTATGCGCCCTATGAGAGTTGAAGCCTGCAAAATATCGAAATCCTAACCCAACTAACAACTGAGCTATAGAAGACGGGAATTTGAAAAATTTCTCGACGGCATATTTTCAATCACATAAATGCGCAACTTTGACGTAATTTGACCATCTCTGTATCTCTTATAGTTTACGAGATCCCAATGGTGGCCTTGAATAAAATTATTTATTTGAAATGATAATAGATATTGATTGCGGTTTTCACCAGTGAGTTTGTCATAAAAATTAGTTTTCGTCTACCTAGTTTGAAAATTGGCTTTCCTCTTCAATTTGCTATCAATTGATAACTTATATACACCATTTGATAGGTCTTTTTGAGTAGTACATTTTGCATGAACGAAAAAAAAATAAAAACTGTTTGTGAATGTGAATATCAGTGGCATATTAATGAGAAGGATCAAGGGAATTCGAATACCCCCAGAGATTAGAAGTTAGTTGTACGATAGGTAACAGTGAAATGTAGGGTTGAAAATCCTTCCATTGTCAAATGTTAGTTCACACCCGATGACATTTGTGAGAGCAGAATTCTTACACCTATGCCAGTCTATTTCCAAAATATCTCGAGGTACACCATATGTCTCCATTTTGCATTCTGTAAACGCGTGAGTTGCAGTGTCACCATCAGTATATAGTAGATTGTTAACATTGCATGTTATTGAAGATAGTTAGCCACAATCTTTTAATGAGGGCTAACATATTTTATTGTCCATCAGATCGCGATACAGAAGTTGCGTTTTATTTATCCGATTCCGCCACCGGTTGCTACTTTCCATCCCGTCTCACTACAATGAATGATGTGGAATGACTGTACACAGTTGTCGAAATATAAAATTGGATTGACTAAAAACGAAACTTTCTGAGAGTAGCAGACATTTAGACGTCATTTTTTTCGTGAGGTTCACAAGTTTATGAATTTTTATATCTTTATTTCCAGATGAAATGAATTCTCTCGATCTTAGAAAACTTTCTCCAATCACCACAATCACTGCTCCAAATATGCGTTAATTCATTATCTTGAGTTTTCAACTCTAATATCATGATGTTGAAATTATTCGGAGCCCCAATGTATAAATATAACCTCTTTCATCTATAGGTCGCGTGCACGATAACCAACCCTGGAGGTCAAACATTGAAACAAAACCTCACTTTTCTGTAAAACATTAAAACACAATCTCACTTTTCTTATTTGTTTACAAAGGAACGGATTGAAATAGTTTTTCACAATATTTTGGGAAATTCATTAATTCAAGCATGTTATCACATTGTGCTGTTCAACAATGCACAAAAAATGAAGCGAGAGACGAAGGAATATGATTTTGCAGGTAAATAGTGATCTCACATAGTTTTCATTATGACATTTATTCATTTCTAATTAGAGTTCAGGATTCCTTCTGCCACTTCTGCAATGGAAGCTAATACTGCTAATAGAGTGAAAATGTCAACAACACAGTCGAACACATACGATCATATTTCGTCAGCATGTCAGACCAGTCCTTTCATTTGATTGCATAATTCCAATCTTCCTGCCTTCTTTTAGTATTCTTCCTTCTGCCACTTCTGCAATAGAAGCTAATACTGCTAATAGAGTGAAAATGTCTACAACACAGTCGAAAACATACGATCATATTTCGTCAGCATGTCAGACCAGTCCTTTCATTTGATTGCATAATTCCAATCTTCCTGCCTTCTTTTAGTATTCTTTCAAAAACTTCCGATGAGAAATAACAACATTGACAACCTGAAAAATCGGATTCCTTCGTCTCTGGCTGCATTTTTTGTGCATTGTACAACAGCACAATGTGATGGCATGCTTGAAAATGAATAGCCAAAAAACACTATTCCTATGTAATACAAAATAATCGTGAAATACTATTTCAATCCTTTGTAAACAAATAAGAAAAGTGAGGTTGTGTTTTAATGTTTTACCTTCAGGGTCGGTCATCTGACATATCTTGCAGGCAACCCATGAAATGTCGATTCTCTCATGCCAGGTTGCGATTTTACTAAATATACTGTACGCTAGCACATACCACGCCCACCGTTATATCTCATCTTCAAAGTACTTTACTTAGGCAAAACTCAGAGACTATTTATCCTCAACGAACTAACCTATCCCTGATTGCAATATTTTCGAGGAAGGAAAACCGAATGGAGTGTAGAAACACATTGATTAATAATATATTTCAAAAGTTGAGTTCTTCAACAAAATTGAATAAAATGAGACTGTTTATCCTAAACGCACTAACCTATTTGACTTCAAATATTTTATGACAAAAGGAAAACCAGAATGAAGTAAAAAAACATTGGTGAAAAAAAAGTTGCAAAAAAAAGTTCAAGTTCACAGCGATTCGAACCATGGACCTTCAGACTGAAAGTCGACAGCGCTAACCAGTAGACCATTTGGGTATATGAATTTACTGCGTACAAGACATTGACAACGAGAGAGCTTCAGTCGAATTCGTGTCAAAATCATAAAAAAGTGTATTCTTGCGTTGGAGCACAGTATATTTAGTGCGATGTGCTGACTCCGAGTATATCGGTAATGTTTGGAGATATGACGTATTATGGTGGGCGTGGTTTGTGCTAGCGTGCAGTATATTTAGTAAAATCGCTGCCAGGTTATGAAGTTTGAAGAATGGAACAAATAGAACGCAACAGTGGGGCCAAAGTTGGTAGAACTGATAAGTATACTTCTTTTTGTGTCATTTGGCCCTTTCCTATAATATCTCCTCTGTTAATGAAAAATATTGCGCCTAAAAATCCACATTCAAATTGAAAATGCAAGTCTCCTCAAGTCTAACTATAATTTGCGGTTTTCTTTCGATAAAACAGGCATCAGCCTTTAGGGCAATTTAAAAAAAATGTTTTTTCTGTGACGGGAAAAAAGTTTGGCATTTCATCTCTGTTGGCAGGCTATAAAATGTCACTTTTCATAAATTACTTTTTTCCCGTGGGAAAAAAGTGAGTACTTCTTTCCCGGATATATATCACATATATATACTCTGTTAATGGCTTTTGTTGTGCTATAGTTCCGAAAAATGAGTCAATAATACCGTCTCCGAGAAAGAACTGCAAGTCCTTTTATCTTCCATTCGACTTCGCGGTTTCGTATATTACTAAACAACTACTGAATTCGCAATTTTTCAAAATCAAATCACAGAATTAGACTGACAGAAGTGACATCAGATATTTGATTACTTCAAAAGAATGATAAAGATGTCTATAAAACGCAGGTGTCCCTACTGTTAAAAACTTGAAATTTCACGTCGATAATTTTCAGATTTCGAAATAATGTAATATCTTCTCAATATTGATTCGTCCTTCCTTCTGTCACAGAAAAAAATAGTGTATTATACACGGGAAAAATATTAGATTTTAGCTCACGGTTTTTTGTCTCCCTCCGCTACGCGTCGGGAGACAACACAACCTGGAGCTAAAATCTACTACTTTTCTCCCTTGTATAATAAATAACTATTTTTGACTTTGACATTCATCTCACGTAGTAACGCTAACTGGTGCAACTAAAAATGTTAGCCCACATTGAGTTCAACTTTGTCTTACTTTTGGTAAATAAGAAGCCAACTTCAGTATAGACAATTTCACTTTCTCGGCACTGGAAGCGCATTCTTCCTTTTCTGGTTCCTTGATGCTCCTACATAACTGTTGAATAGTCTTAGTGATTTGTTCGGTACATTGCAAAATTGTTTCTCTATTTTGTGGCATTGAATAGAGGCTTTGAGTTGTCGATCTCGAACCTTCCATCTGTTTCACCTATAAGGACATATTCAATTCAAAATTTTTACCAATGATGGAAAATTTCGTTGCTGTTTCTTGATAACTGATACTTACTTGGTTTTTGATAGCATGCCAATTTTGTACTTTATTGAGTCCTTCTCGAGTTTCATACATGCTGGAAGGTCTCTGATTTTTTCTACTCTGTTTCAAGTCCACATTATGTATTATTATATCATTAGTCGATAAATTTACATCAATGCCTTGATTCTAAAAAATAATGATTTCTACACTTACTAGAAAAAAATGTATTTGATCGATTCATTACAAAACAGGATTTTTATTAAGAAAGAGGTCAGACATGTCTCCATCATAATTTTTAGTAACATCAGTGGAAATTATAGGAGTACAATAAAATATACGCACAATAAATCAAGTATGGTAAATGAGTGCCCAACACATGAAGAAAACTTGTCATCTCTACCTCTTTTATATTGGAATAGCACAAGTAGCAGGAACCACATAGTGAAGTTACTTCACAAGAATTATTGGAAATAGGGAAGGAAAAATGATCTTTCAAAGAATTAGAACTCAAACAAACTTGCGTGGATTTTCAATGCTAGCCGCTGTGTAACTGTGTTTCATATTCAAGAGAATGGCAATCTTGTGCGAATGCGTCAGTTGAATTTATATAAACAATTAAAATTATTTTTTCTACATGCGTGTGTGATTCAGCCTATACCCGCACGCAATTTAGTTTGGAAAGTGTCATTTTCCCGCAACAGTACGTGAAAAATTTTCCCGCACTAGTGCAGGAAAAACAAACATATTATGATAATATCGCAAAATATAAGTGGTAGGTGATGGAATATGAGAGTTTGAGTTTGTTTGTTGCAGTATTAAGTATGTATGTTCAGAATCATCCATGAAATTGCACTATTTATTGTGAAAATTAGGAAATACTGAAAAATAAAAATTGATTATTATAAAAATCCCCTATAGATTTGGATTGATCTGATAGGAAACCATTATTGTTGTCATGCCAATCAAACCTCAAATGAGTTTGTAACTGTCGAAGTGACAGACACAGCGTTACTGTCATTTCCGATTCAGTAAAATTACCACAATGTGATCAAAAACTTCCAGCTTTACTAGCTATATGAATGCGATACAGATGCGTTATTGCCAACAAAGTCTTAAGAAAGGTATGAGAAGCTATACACGCGATTCATTGAATGATGCAACAATAAAGAAATGAAAATACCGAATAAAGAAGAAGTATTTTTGGCTCATTTCCTAGAAGTGTCTGAAATGTAGAGACCGAACACCTTATGGGCCTGCTGGCTTCCGCAACGAACCTATACAAACATAATGCGTCAAACTGTAAGTTCACAATAGCTATTACTAATAATCAGTAGATAGAGAATATATTTCTCTTTTCAGTTGTTCCTATATGAATGAATAACTAATTGAACAGATCGATCAATTTCCTACGCTTGTAGAAAAAATATTGTTCTTAACTCATGCGGAAAGTGACGTTCCCGCACTCGGTTGATTGCCCGAACTCCGCTTCGCGTCGTTCGTGTCAACGGCAGTCGCGTGCGGGAAAGAATCACTTTGGGCACTTGTTAGGAAAATTACTATTTTCGCATAACTTTTAAACGGTAAAAGCCACTTAGATGGTGAGCCATGATTATTTGAAGACAACTTTTTTTCCTGTATTATTGAAAAAAGAGAAGCATTTGATAAAGCGAATAAAAGTACATAAAAAAGGTACTCTCATCAAAATACGAAGAATTCAACCGTTTTCGAGATATTTGAGTTTTTGAAGTCACATGATATCAGCAGATTAATTTATCCGTGACAATATTTTAGGAGCCATGACCAATTTTTTCCTCAATTTTGGCGTTTATGACAGCAACATTGTTATGAACAACTTATTTTTTATTGTGTGCAAGTGGTTTAAAAGATATGTGATTCAGGGTGTTTCAAAATCAGTATCAAGATTTCATGCACTTATTTTCACCCTTTATAAAAAGTCAAGGTTAGTTAGGTTTCTTATCCTTTAAAAGTTTTGGAACTTGTAATCAAAATCACAAATTAAATATGTAGCGTTTTTTGTGTTTCATTGTGATAATAGGTTCTTCCCTTTCCTTAAAACTTGTGTAGTTTTTTTCTAGCGAATTAGAAAAATGACATGTTTATAGGATCGATCGATTTGAAAAATAAGCCCCTGACATCTTGATGCTAAATTTTGAAATACCCTGTATATCACAAAATGAGATGAGAATGAGTAGTGTCTAATAATGCCGTCAGGCCGACTTTGGCAACTCTTTGAATATGGTAAAATGAATTTAATGTAAGTATCCATACAGTGAGGACCAAAAGGCCGTCGCCCCTCTACCGTAATTTCTTTATATTCCATTAAAAAAACAGCTTCTGAACGGTTAGGATAAAAGAGTGAAATAAATTGTGTTCGATTTTTAAGGGTTTGATCACTGAACCGGTGCAAACATAGTCAAAATAATAATTCACAAGTTTTCATACTTCCAAAACTTTTGTCATATAAAACAATCCTTTAAACTTGCTCGAAATTTGACGTATAATCTATTGATGCAATTATAAACAGGGTGTCCTATTTAAATAATGAACTTTTCAGTCGCTGTGCTTCTCTGAGATACTCTGTATAAATGAAACTTGAACCATTTGAATAGATCGAATAGAACCTATGCATTCAACATGTTTTTGTGATGTGTAAAATAAAGAAGTTAACCAAGGGGGCGACGGACTTTCGGTTCTCACTGTATAAACAATTTTTCACACTATGAAAAAATTGCTAGGTAACTCTTTGAATAACTTTTTACGTTATCCCACTAGTGCGGTAAAGTAATTCATTATTATAATACTATGTGCCTTTATTCTATGCCCAATCATATACCCGCCTGGTGACAGAAATAAAAGAAATCTCATAGGAAAACCATCTATTGAACGTAAGCGACGTTGCCATTATACTTACTTACCTCGTGTGGCAAACATGCGACTAAGGTTTGGCAATGTTGCTTTGTTTTTCTCTCTATCAGATACTCATGATGCTCTATGCATATTTATTTTCTTTTGCCAAACGTGTATAAATAACAGTTTACTAATTACTGTCTGTAGGTTAATGAAGGAGGTGGTATATGCATTCTTCCAGATTTTAAAATGCAGTGACATTTTGGGACAAATCATTTGAGTTGTCCTCACTCCACGTACATTGAAATAATTCTTATATTTTCATTTTATAGAAACAAGGAGAAAAAAATCCCAGAAAATCTGGAAGAATGAATCTACTTTCTGGCAGTAGTGCGGTAATATGATCCATAACAAAACTCATCAGTGTTGTAATGTTTGGCATTACATACCTATAGGTACAAGGCAAATGTCATCAAACTTAAAAAATCGATGGATTCTAGTTCTCCTACTCTAGTTTACAAACATTAAGAAAAACAATTTAAGTAGGATTCCAAGAACATAATTTTTAATTCCAAGTTAAATGTGAATGTACTCCTATAATATTTTCTTGACTATCGGCAATTTAAAATATAAAAATACATAATTCAAAACTGTTGGGAACGAAAACATTATTAGATTTAAAAGTAACTGAGCTCATTGGAAAATAGAGAGCATACATCATATTGCTGTGTCGTTATTCTACCAAGATATAAAAAATTGTCTTGATAAAAGGTGGCATTTGATTCTCAAACGAATTTCAGAGCAAGTATCCTGCATGTATGTTTAAATGTTTGTCAATTATTCTCCATTTCATGGTCACCTTTGATCAAGATTTTTATTGATATCTTACACATGGTTGGCTTGCACTAACATCAAATAACACTGAAAAAATATTATTATGCAGCCACCAGCCAGCTTATAATAAATGAAAAAATAAGATTCTGAAAATTATTTACCTCTGAAATGAATTCCGAAGAATCCAAGCCGCTATCTCCATTCAACCTAGACGAAGATGTGCTCTGTGACAGCCTACTTTTCAGTTCGGAATTCTCAGTCTGCAAGACTTTTACACACTGCCTCAGTTTAACAACCTCTGCTTTCAAATCAGTTATAGTGTTATCTGAATTCTTCAGTTGTTTAGTTAGTTGTTCCAGTATTTGATTTGTTTTACTGACATTATCTAAGGAAATGATACTGTCCTTATCATTTTGGCAGGATAGTGATTTTTCAACTCTTTCGGTATTTGAAGGGGGAGAAGAAGCAACTTTCTGTAAATTGAAATTGATTGAGAATGATAAAATAATAGCGTGATGGAAATGATGATTAAATTTATGCAAACTTTCACATAGACTGAAAACAGTTTTGAATAGCTCCATCAAAATTGCTTTCTTTTTGCTTTCGATAATCAGTGTTCCAATCTCACGAATTTCAAATTGCAATAGCTTATGAGCATTGTAAGAAGTAATGAGTTATTGAGAAAAAATGGTGAGTATTCAGAAATTATCTGTCACTAATAGGGGCAAGTGGATAAACTGTGAAAAAACATTATTTATCGTTTGATGAATGAAGACTGCATATTTACTCATCAACAGGTTTTGTTGTGCTGATATCTAACATTTATTTTTCACAGCTTTATCTGAGGAGTATTGGAAATAATCTTATGATTAAATATCGAGTTAAAAATAATGTCTGTAGATGAGAATCGTCAATAATAAAAAACTATTGTTGATTAGTATAGGAAACCTGATACTTTTCAATGCAGATATTATAACACGGCTGTCAGTGGAGATGAAAATGTACCAACTCACAACAATGTTGATCATCATTATCCTGTTCATGGGATTATTGTCAGCATATACTATCCGCGGCTATTATGTAATCGTTTTTGAAGTACATGAAGCCAATAATTAGAGACTAACAATTTTTTTACAGAAACTGTTGATATATCAGTGTTGCTGCTATGAACTTTTAGGTTAGTAATTTTTTATCCCCTGTGTGATTTTTGTATCTAGCTTAGTTTTTGAGGAAACAATAAAAATTCGATTTGACTCCAAATTTTAATGTAGGTGTTTTTAAGACCCCCATTGAGATTACTCAATGACCCCAATTGAAATCATTTTGAAATTTTGGGGCTTTCTCAGTCTCCATCCATACTGAATTTTGGTACCATAAAAGCTTATACAGGGGGGTTATGAATAAAAACTATTAATACTTCCAACTTCAACGTCCTGTATCTCAAAAACGGAGCAGGTTAAGACACATGTTTGTATGAACTTTATTTGCTAGAATGTCACAAGGAAACACCCCATGAATTTTTTCGGTGCTATTTAGACACACCCTGTATAAGAAAACAGATAAGTTTAACCTGGACTAGCCAAACATAAGTTTCTACTTTATAAAAAATTCCACCTACATGAACTAATTTGTTAACTTATCGAATATTATTTGTGAAAACACCACAAAATATAGATATTATGTAATTGTCGGTTCCTAATGGAAGATAATTCAGAATAATTACTTCTTATCTATAAAATAAGAGAGGACAGAGACGGATGGGAAATAATATTTCTTCATGAATTCATCATATTTGATAATATTCGTGAAATTTTTGAAAATGTACCATGAACATTTTCCATGAGTTATTGTTTGGTGGAAATCCATAGCCAAACGAAAAAAAAAACTTCACAAGCAATAATATTTTCACACAATTCTGAAAAACACTACAAGCTCCAGTGCCCTCTACTGAGCATATTGAATGTTCCAAATTTCAGAAACATAGCTAGAAAAACAAAGTAGAAAAGGGTATACCATGAGTCTGTGTATATTTAATATGGCAGAATAATTGAATGAAAACTATAACATAATGTACCTCTTCTTCGGGAACCATAGCATAGTCATCATCAGAAGCAACTGAATCATATAGGGGATCATCATCGACAATAGATGTTTCTCTTACTAGTGAAGTTCCACCTGAAAAACAATTGATTCATCATTCAATGGATATGATAGTTTTAGTAAATTTCATTGGCAGGAACCGGAGTGTTTCCGCACCCAATGTATATGGTTCTTTCTTACTCGCATGTATTCAACAGAGGTAAATATACACTCGTAAAAACTACACGAACGATAAGATTTCCACAAAATTCTCAAACACACGACCATTGTACCAGTATGGGTTGCGTGCAAGAACTGTCAGATGACCGACCCTGGAGGAACAACATTGAAACACATCCTCACTTTTCGTATTTGTTTACAAGTGATTGAAATAGTTTTTCACAATTATTTTGGCATACGAATCGTATTTTTTGGCAATTCATTAATTCGCTCATGCCATCACATTGTGCTGTTGTACAATGCACAAAAACTGCAGCAGAAGACGAAGGAATTCTGTTGGAACATTATGATTTAAAAGTAAGTACCTACTATACTCACTCACAGATAGTTTTCATTTTTGAAATTTGGTTCTTTCTCTGATTTCTCATCCTTCTGCAATAGGAGCTAATAGAAATACACATGAAATTTCTAAAATAATGCAAGAAGATTGGATTCATGCAATCAAACGGGAGGACTGGTCTGACATGCTGACGAAATATGATCGTGTGTGTTGTAGACATTTTCAACCTATTAGCATAATTAGCTTGTATTGCAGAAGTTGCAGAAGGCATTTTAATAAAGAATGACAACATTTCATAATGATAGCTATGTGAGATTACTATTCACCTGAAAATTCATATTCCTTCGTCTCTCGCTGCATTTTTTGTGCATTGTACAACAGCACAATGCGAAGGCATGCTTGAATTAATGATTACCGCAAAAAACACGATTCGTTTGCCATAATATTGTGAAAAACTATTTCAATCCTTTGATTCTTCTGTAACCAAATGAAAAGGTGAGGTTGAGTTTCAACAATTCACAGAAGAGTGAGGTTGTGTTCCAATATTTTACCTCCAGGGTCGGTCATCGTGCACGCGACCTATATCACCTGACAAAGCTACTGTGTTAGCGAAACATGTCTTGTGTTTGAGAATTTTGTGGAAATCTTTTGTGTAGTTTTTACATTTGCCATAGATTTTCATCAAGTAACGACCGAGTCAATTTAAGAAAAATATATATACACTCAGTGGAGAAACACTCCAGCAGTTTTGCTGTTAGTCAATGTGGAAGCTTCAAAACAATATAAACAAGATTGAGAGTCCTTAAATCAAGTATGACAAGGTTTATAACTCACTATAGCTCAATATGACCAATATTTGAATTTATATTTCATATAGATTTGTCAAAAAAACATTACATATTTTTGTGTCTACTGCATCATCAATAGATGGTGGATCCAATATCACTTGAAAAGAATCAATTTTCGCGTGACTAAATAGCACCATATACCATATGAAACTATATTTCTTACTTTTATTTTTTCTACACGCGAATTAAATATCTGCTACCGATTTCTTAATATTGTTCATTTTAACACGGACTTTCATTAAGATGAAGATTGTGACCAATGAAGACGCGTACTTTTGATTATGAAACGGAGTTTCGGCCTATAGAAACACGTACTTAGATATGATCATATATCTACTATTCATATATAAATCATAGCTGTCCTCAAAGCGGGACCAATTTCTGTCTCTATAGGTAACGAAATCGACCAATAGGCGCTGATGCCGACGCAGGGAGAAAATAATACGAAACTTGTCAAACCAATATGACTGTTTCCATCCTTCACTTTCCGTCCTTATAGATTCAAAAAGTACCTCTCATTTTGGTCCCATTTTTGTTGAGATATCGTATAGGCGATGCGCCATATATAGAAATAGAAGTGGGTCTATGTTTCTATCTCACTTTTTTGAATTCTTTGTCATTCAACTTCAATTGACATTCAATTACAACACGTCAAAAGTACAGGAACATTTTTGTCTAAGCACATGTACTATAAATTGCCAAGAAACGAACTATGTTCTCCTCATCAGCATTTTATGACCTACTTTCGCGCTATAAAGGTATTACAGGGTGTCCTCAGAGGTGTTATAATTATTCGAACGTGAGAAATAACAATGACATGGTTCGTCTTTGGCAACTATGAATGAAATGAATAGGAACCATTCAATAGATCGAATCAATCTCTACAACTTATGCATTCGACATTTTTCGTAATAAGTAAAATAACAAAATTACAAGGATGCGACGGACTTTTGGTTCTCACTACTATAAATATTACTCATGAGACATTGAATACATTTGTGTTATTCAGATTGAGTTACTTTGTGATATATTTTCTCGTTAGAGTTATTGAGAATGAAACTAATATGAGCAATGAAGCTCATACAAAAAATAACAATAAAAATTATTGAATGTCTAAGTGACGGTGACTAATAATAATTATAAATTAATTGTACATACAGATTATCCAGACATCACGCTCAATAATTCTAAAGTGGTTTTTAAAATATGCTGGCATGATAAAAAATAGCCTAGTAGTTGATTTTGAAATTTCATTCCTGTATCAGAAAATCATTGTAAGAATATTAATACCGGGTGATTGATCAGTGTGATAAAGTTCAGTATCTCCTATGTCCTTTGAGATATCAAATTATTGTGAATTTGGGAGATTTTAGCAGTGGATAGTCTTGAAATTCTAAATCATTCACAATATTACACTGTGCTGAATCAAAGTTATATTTTTGTAAATGTAGGACTTAGGAGATATTGAACTTTATCACACTAATCCATCACCCAATCACCCTGTATTTCAAATTTATCTGCACGGTCTATCGAAGCTCGTCAAGTATTCTATGAAAAAATTAGGATTGCTGGATAGCGTTTCAAAATAATATGGTGTCTTGGTTTATACCATTCTCTTATCGCACATGCTGATGAGAATTAGTTCTTATGTCAAAAATTGGAAAACCATCGAATTCAGAGAAAAATATCTTTTAAGAACGATTAAGGAAGATGATTTTATGTTCATGGAAAAATATTCGAAGGATTATACTAACGTCAAACTTTGATTTGAAAAAAACTGAATTTTACTCCATACCTACCGCTTTATAATTATCAAGAAATTCTGTCTGTTTTTTTTTTTCAGTTAGCTTCATAAGATGAAGCAGAAAATATCACTCTAGCACTGTGAATATCAACCACAAATCTTAGAAATAATCAGAGATACACCTGACTATCTTGTACCCGCTCGTACCACAATAAGAAATACGTAATTGAAACAGCGGGCGGTTGGAATAAATATTAGTCCGAGTGCATAAACCAAATTGTTAAAGGGATTTTCACAGGAGTCGTTACGATTCATTTGATTGAGGTCCTTCAGCCCTTTTGTTTTTATTATTTATTGGTCATAGAAAAAATAATATATGCAACAATCATGTGATGGCTATTAATACACTCGCACACAGTCTATGACACTCGTCTTCGGCTCGTATCGTAAGTTACCTTGTGCTCGTGTATTAATAGCTATCATTACATAATCATTGATGCATACAATGTTTTTTTTACAACCAATAAAAAATAATGGAATTACAAAAGTTAATTTCAAACTACTTATATTTCCACATATTCCAATATCCAGTTTATGAATTGCCTGAACTTATGATGCGTTGTGATTGAAGGTCAATTGAAATTGAATGTCAAACAACTCGAACAATTCTATAGATGGGAAATTCGTTTCATAATAAATATACGTGTTTTTATTGTACAAAATCGGTTTCATGATGAAAATCCGTGTTAAAATTAACAATATTAATAAATCGGTAGCAGATATTTAATCCGCGTTATGTAATACGGGAATAGTGAAAAAATTTTGTCAATCATAATTTGCTTGAAGTTTAGTTCAAATTCTAACGAATAAAATGAAAAGGTTTCCTATGCAACAATAAAACATGAAAGAAATTCCAGTATTATTGAAATTTGTAGGCACCTTATTACTTTGTTGCGTTATGGTATTTCAGACTTGATGATGTACCAATATAAGTCTGGAACATGTTCTGATTAACTATTTACATCGCCGAATTCAGGATTTTTCCCCTGGTTTGTGTGTTTAAGTTGTTAAGAATCGTCCTGTAATATGGTTGAGTGCAAAAGCAACTGTCGATTCATCGACAGCGAAACTGTTTCTATTGTCCTCTGATACAATGAAACCCTTTATTATTTTGATGATTATATGGAGAATGTACTCTCGTTTCAAGTTAAAAACACTTAATATTACCTGAATCAGATACGGTTTGCCTTCTCTGTGTTTCAACTAAAATATCATATACGAGATTTTTCAGTTCTGGGGTAGAAAATTTTGCTAATTTTTGCCTTCCTTGGTTTCTTGTTGTTGATAATGTATTGTCCAGAGGTAAAAATGGTACATCATTGAATCCAGTTGTATCAGCACAACTTAGCCAAACTGAAATGAAGTAAGGTGTGAAACGTTCTTGTAAAATCGATAGTGGTATCTCACATTATTCATTTTCAAATTGAGAGTAATCAATTTGGAACATGATATTTCAGAATATATTACACATTCAAATTCAAAATAGGCAAATTCAAATTGACTTCAAATAGTCCACTGAAATTAGTCGAAAAAAAGCCAAACTGCTGAATGATTCATACAAAAGGTTTTAGTGTTTTTTCATGTATATATTGGTATCCTGAATAGCTCCTCAAAAGTCCCCTACGATAGCTCGTACGCACAACAATTTGCAACAACACTGTAAAGATGCTAAAAAACAGTTTTCCTGATTTTTCTCGGTAAATATTGATTTTACGACAAATATATACAAAATGAAAAAGGAGATAATTGTACACAAAAATGATTCTATGATTCTATAATATTTGTTTGTCCACGCCACAGTTTTTATGACAAACGCCGTTCAAATTTTAGGGAGAATGATTTTTTTGGCTGATTTTTATGTAATATTATTTGAATATTAGTATGAAGACAATTTATTTCCTCTCAAAGTCATGGATGAAGATTAATTACATAATTATACATCTGTTTTTTTAAATTATTTATTGGTCCTATTCCTCCTGTAGACAATCAATCGATACTCTGTTCAAGAAAATCTGCCGGATTAATCTCATTCAATCCTGGAATTTTGGTGTTGTTGTCGGTTTGTTCTTCCGATCGATCATCTTCAATCGGCTCTGTATTTGAACAAAATAGACCACGGCAATATTCACAAACTGCCGAACAATGCAGGCCCAATCTCCGAAAACCGCATAATGGCGCAGAACCTTTTGTACAATTACAAAAAATCATGTGTAAAAGACAAGACAATCAGGTGCGGGAGGTTGGGTTGTCTTCAACCACAGCAAGTTGTCTCTCAATACCCACCCCCAGTCCATAGGATTCAATTCGTTGCCCAACCATTTTTGCATCTGATAGTAGACACAGAAGCGGTGATGTTGTGCTGCTTCAAAAGTGGGTGGCAACTAATTTCAAAGGTTTGCCTTTGCTCACAGACTCAGGGGAACATGAATAACGATGATTCTTCAAAGATATTTCTTTTACTGAAGCACCATAAACTGCAAGGAAGAACTTCATTCCATTTAGGGAAATGATGTCACGGGAAGTATCAGCATTATAAAATCATTCAGCTGCAACACGAAGGTCGTTGCATATTTTTATGAGTTTCAGCTGTTGATTTGTCTGTATGAAAAGAGCCGATGTAGTTTCGCACCAAGAGAATGCGTGCAAAAATAATATATGATTTCAGTTATTTTCATGCTTAGTGAAGCTTCGTAATAAATACATTTTTTGTTCAACCATTCCTTTGGCTGTTTTCAAGAAGAACACTTTTATACAGGTGTACGTGCCGTTGGAATGACGAGGAAATCTATATCTTCTCCAACAATAACTGTTGTATCATTGTGAGACTGTTTTTTAACCGTTTCAATTATCAAAATATCAGCATCAGCATCATATTGGGCATGTTTAGCAGGAACATTATTTGCCTCAGAATTTTCTGTGAGCAGAGGCAAACCTGTGAAATTGAATTTGTTGCCACCCATTTTTGAAGCACCACAACAGCACCTCTCTACCGTGTCTTTTTTTATCAGATACAAAAATGGTTGGGCAACGAATTGGATTCTCTGAAGACTCAATCTCTCGCATCCGATTGACTTTTACACATGATTTTTTGTGATTGTACAAGACACACTGAAACCTTTTGTATGAATTATTCCGTATCAAAATCCTAAATTCAGTGGACTAAAATGGAAATCATAAAGAACAGAATCATACAATAATATTTAACTTTTCTTAGGGTATAACAAGTTTTTCATCTGATTATATCCCATAGGATAGAAGGTTCTGAATTACAATGTTCACTCCTAGTTGTCGATTCCCAATTAATGCGTGTTGTTTAGTACAAATCTCAATGTGTTTATTCTCGATTGCATTGTGTTAATCAACTTTGATTATTCCCATATTGAAACTGATTAGTCCCAATTTGAAGTTCAAATGGTATAGATTGGTGATTTTTTTTTCACATATTTACATATGACTGTGCACATGAAACATCTTTTTGTTGACATAAGATGAGAAATAGGAAGATCAGGAATACCCCTGATGAATAATCTATAAATATCGTGCTATGAAGCCATAATGGTACTGTGAGTACCATAACTTCATAACTTGATAACATATATAAAGCACATCAAATATTCATTTCATTCAAACTGATTGGGTAACATTTGAACTAATCAAATTTTATTTTATCTTAAAATTTTAAATCTTACTTGCTTCTGTCTCCCTTCTATCTACCTCGTCATAAACATCCATTACCAGTTCTTCAAACACATGATTATTCAACTGAAATAGGAAAGTTATACGGAAAATTGTAATTGACGGTATACATACAGGTTGTCCCAAATTCGTTGGGAACTCGGAAAGTAGAAGAGATATGAGATGGGGGCATAGTTTCGCAATTTGATGCCTAACAAAATGCCATTTTGTTTGAAGTTGATTTAGTTTACATTTTTTATGACTATCCGAATAGATGTAACAAAACAACTTACACATTGCTACATTTTCTGTTCTACAAGATGGTGCTATCAGATATTAAAACCGACGTTTCGTTTTTGAGCTGCCCTCAACTTTGTTTTTTTAAATACAGCTCTGAATTTTTCATTTGGATTTTGAGCTTTTATTCTCCTAAAATCAATGGTTTATCGCACTTATTCGAAAAATTCATATTGATGGCATTTTCCTCGGCATTTTTCAGAGAATGAACTAGGATACTCAACCGCAAAGACAGTACACTACTCCTTGGTAGAGTCTCATTTGCGGTACGGTAACCCATTCTGGGGAGTGTGCAGTGGTAATGTTCTTCAAAGTGTTTTTGTTTTACAAAAACGAGCCTTGAGATGCCTTTGTAAAATAAAATTTCGCGATTCGTACAGACTTCACTTCAAGCAACACAACATACTCACGGTAGTTTCAATATTTATACTCGAAACAGTGTGTCTCATGAATAAACACAAACAAAATTTACAGAGTAGGTACGTCACCCGTCAAAGTAACCATCTCAAACTACCATTACCATCTTCCGCTCTCATTAAGAATTCAATTATATATAACGGCTGCAAAATGTACAATCACCTTCCAAATTATATCAAAGATATACCGTCCAACGCCAGCTTCAGAAAAGCAGTAAAAAAAGTTCTTTCCGATAGAGCCTATTATAGTTTGGAAGAATATTATGGGGATAGAATAGAGTGATAAGTAGACCAAAACTATACAATGTGATATCATATACCTTATTGTTTTTTTGATTCTTAAATTTTAAATAATTTGAATTTTGACAAATTTCAAATTTTAAAATTTGTATATTTTTAAATTTATAATTTTTGAGGTTTTGGATTTCAAATGCATTTAATGTTTAAAAAAAGTGTATATGACTGTTTACATATTTATATTTGTATGCATGCAAACTTCAATACGTGACTGATTGTTTTGATTCAATTCAATTTTATATGGAACTGACTATTTTTACACATTTATCAAATATTATCTATTCAATTTACATTTATGAATACACGCTTTGTCAATAAGATATTATTCTTTGAAAATAAAGCATATTTTGGAAGAACTCATGTAAGAGAGAACCAGAGAATAGATTTTCAATAGGATTAAAAACCAACACAAATAAACAAAGTTGATGATTTCAGCTCAAAGACAAACAATCGGGTTTTTCCTAATATCTTTGGAAGTATTCGGAATTTTTCGAATTTCAAAACGGCATTTTGTAAGGCATGAAATTGCGCAACTTTGTCTCCATTCAACCGATCTCGTATTCCGAGATCCCAATGATGAGGCTAGAATTTGGGACACTTGTATAGTTGAACGTTGACGATGGCCTAATTAGACGAATTTACATAAGTACACCAAATTGAATTATGGAAATCTGGTATATAAGTTATTGATAGTAATCTGTACATCTCACAGGATGATAGCCAAATGTTAATGATAGGATCTTTTAATCACATTGTGATCACATCCACAAAATATATAAAAAATCCGTTTTTTCTGTGACGGGAAAAAAGTTTGGCATTTCATCTCTGTTGGCAGGTTATAAAATGTCACTTTACTCACTCATAAATTACTTTGTTCCCGTAGGAAAAAAGTGAGTACTTTTTTCCTGAATATATATCACAATATACACTGTTGATGACTTTTGTTGTGCTATAGTTTCGAAAAATGAGTCAATAATACCGTCTCCGAGAAAGAACTGCAAGTCCTTTTATCTTCAATTCGACTTCGCGGTCACGTATATTAGAAAACAACCACTTAATTCGCAATTTTTCGAAATCATATCACAGAATAAGACTGACAGAAGTGACATCAGATATTTGATTACCTACTTCAAAAGAATGATGAAGAAGCCTACAACGCAGGTGTCCCTACTGTTACAAACTTAAAATTTCACGTCGATAATTTTCAGATTTCAAAATAATGTAATATCTTCTCAATATTGATTCTTCCTTTCTTCTGTCACAGAAAAAAATTGTGTATTATACACGGGAAAAATATTAGATTTTAGCTCACGGTTTTTTGTCTCCTTCCGCTACGCGTCGGGAGACAACACAACCTAGAGCTAAAATCTACTACTTTTTGCCCTTGTATAATAAATAACTATTATAATAACAAAAAGTCAAAAATGTATTCATTTCAACGAAGTGTTGTTTTTGAATTATCCAAGTCCTATGCCTAAAATATACAGAAGATATCTATAGGACATGGAGGTAAATGCTAAGGTCGTTTCAATTATTATGAAGTTTTTCAGGCACCTGTTAGTTTTTTCAATTTTATTAGTCAATCATTACTTCCAGTTTCATTTTATAATATCATAACAATAAATGAGAAGAGAAAAAAGTGCCTCAAGAAAGGAAATCGGATCCACACGTTTTAAAATTGAACATGCATTGTGATACAATTTGCTTTATCCCAACCATGTACTTTCGTATTCCTAGGACGATTTGACAATATTTTCTTCTCATAATATTCTACTCAATATTATCTACTTTTTTGAGCAAAAAGAATATCTATCACAATTTCTTAGCCTACTACGATAACCAAAACTACACCAAAATTGATGAAAACGGATTTAGCATTTGTTTTCAAAAATTTTGGTAATGGCAATCCATTCGGACTGACCACAAATACTCTTATATCAATTTTAAAAACAATATCCAATAACGGGTGTTTTTTATCAACGTTACAACTTTCGAATATTTGCATTTTTCAAGTCACCGTGTATACTAATTCTTTGAAGAATTTTTATTATAAAAGTCATGCTGGTAGTCAGGATCAGATCAACTGGCTACAGAGTGAGAAATTAAGGCCAAGAAATAGGGAAAAGTTGCGAAGAAGAATAATAACAGTTTGCAGAGAGATACCACCAGAAGAACTGAGGAGGCTTGACTATAACGTTCGAAATAGATATGAAAAGTGTATAGAGGATGAAATAGATTTGATCGAGACTACAAAAATCTGATTTTGTTAGAAATGGTTGCTGTTTTATTTCTTTTCCTAATGTCTTGATGTTATTTTTTCATTAGTATTTATTTCGATTTTTCTTCTTTTTAGTTCTTGATAAAAAAATCGAATTTGTAGTGATTTTATTCGTTATTTATGTCACTTTGTAGGAAGATGATCTAATGACTACCGTCAGGCCTGGTATCATTCAAATTCTCATAAAAATTATTACACATGGTGACTTGAAAAATGCAATTATTCAAAAATTGTAACGTTGATAAAAAACACCCCTCATGAGATATTGTTTTGAAAATTGATGTAGAAGTATTTGTAACTAGTCCAAATCGACTGCCATCATCAAATTTCAAGTGAAAAAATGCCTAATCCGATTTATTCAATTTTGTGACTGCAGTATGCCAAGAAATTGTGTCTGATAATTTTTATATGCACGACATAGTAGATAATTTTGAGAAGTATATCAGGAGATAAAAAAATCCAAATCGCCCTAGGGATACGAATGATGAGAGATTTCTTCGACATGAGAATCTGTTAGATGTGTTAGTTGATATGTTCTCAAAAGTTTATTACACAACATTAAGTACCCGCAGAAGCGCCTCCCATAGGCAACATGGGTGTAACGCCATCATAGAAGGAAAGGAACACTCCAAAACCGAAAAATTTCCATCTCGGTGAGGACGTTGTCACTGATCAATAACTTTTTTTCAAATACCGTCTTCCCTGGACTGAAATTATATGCAGTGTATATTTATATACCATTTATTCACTATACACCAACATGATGAACGAAGACAATACACTTTCAGTGCCAAAAAAGTCCGAGTCAGTGCAAAGAGAAAAATGGTATAAATATTGCAATTCAATTTGGTGTAGGTACAGTTGTGTGCATAAACAAGTCGACAAGGTTTGTAAGGTGTAAACCTGTCGATGATGTTCCAGATTCCATTAAAAAAGTAGTACACGTACCCATTTGCGCGTTACTGACAAAAATAGTTTGACTTTTGACACTAGGGCTTTCATTTCAAAACTTACCACCCTGCATATCTTTTGATCTGCGAAGATTACAGTTTTTGGAAAAAACAGGTCGATTTAGATATCGAGGGGGAAGTAAAATGCCAGTATCAGTTGGATTCTATGTTCATCCTCTTCACCCCCAGACACCCCCACTTTGAAATCTCAAAAGGCACCCCCTACTCTGAGATACATAAAGTTGAATTGAATTGAATAAATAATTTTGCATACAGGGTGTGTCATGACTGTCATGAGGAACTCCAACCACGAACAGATGCCCCTGAGGGGGACACGGCATTGCCATCCAAAATGTTTTCGCCCCTTCTACAATAATATACAGAGTGATCCATAGGATTTTTGATGAAACATTATACGCACCCGTTCCTATAGACTGACGTTGTATAAGAAATTGAAGAAATTCCACTATTCCTGCTGAATAATTTGAAAATAAATAGGTGAACTTTTTATAAATTTCATTAAAAAAATATTTGATGTACTTTTTGTTACATTTGAGTTTTTTTTTGCCTTCATCAGGAATATTCAGCAGTAAGATACTGTTAAATTGTTATCAGTACCGATATATTGTACCAACAGATACTTCAAAATGGTTTATTCATTACAAGAAAGAATATAAATCATATTCATTTATGGAGTTGAAAATCGCTGCGCTAGAAGAACGTCTAGAGTTTTTATTGAAAGAAATCAGGACAAGAATATTAGTCACCAATTAATCATGGCTCTAGTGAGAAAATTTGAAGAAACAGGATCCGTTTGCAATGAAAAAACTATCCAACCAGGAGTTCTTGATGAAGCTGCTCAGATCGAAGTGTTGGGCGACTTTGCTATGGATTCGATGAACTCGTTCCCCAAAGTGTCGAAAACTTCAAATATTTTGGTTGATTCAATACATAAAGTGCTGAAGCTGAATGCATTTTTCCCATATAAAATTCAAATTCATCAGCAGCATACAGAAGACGATCATGACCGCAGAATCGAATTTTGTGAGATAATGCCTGAGAAGATTCAACAAGATGCCAGTTTTCTGAAGCACATATGTTTCAGTTATGAATCAACGTATTGTTTGAACGGCTTCGTTAATGAACATTATTGTAGATTCTGGGACAATGGAAATTCACACATATTTCGACAGGATCTTACTCAGTTTCCTGAGAAAATCAAAGTGTGGGCTTGCATTCTAGGAAATGAGATAATTGGACCACTCTTCATTCAAATGGACAATTGTATGTACCTGGATTAATTGGAAAATACAATTGATCCCCTCATTACACAATCTTTAGAGAGGCAAATCGATAATCAAGAATAATAATAATAATAATAGCTTCTTTATTTCATTAAAACATTGTTAACAAAGGTATCACATTGTTTAACAGAAATAGTGTCTGAATAAAGTAAAATAAAATAGAACATACAAGAAATGGATAAGAACATAAATATATAGATATATGTATATGAAAAATTAACATGCACATTGTTCACATTGAGTAGAATTCGTTCAGAGAATAGAGGGACTTCGCTAGTAATAATGACTTCAGTTCTTTTTTAAACTTTTGGAATGTCCTTATGTCCTTTATATGTGCAGGTAGATTATTAAAAATTTTACATCCATTGTAAAAAAGGCCCTTCTGGTATAATCTAGTTACATGTTTGCTTGGTAGTAATACATTTTTATGTCGGGTAGCATATTGATGGTTTTGACGAGTCCCGGCGAAAGCAGATTTATTCTTGAAAAGAAAAAAAGAAAATATGTTGCTGGGCGAAAATAACCTGTTCTTTCAGCAAGATGGAGCTCCACCACATTTTTTTCTAGAGGTGAGAGAATGGTTGAATCAACCATTTTCTAGGCAGCGGATTGGCAGAAGAGGTGCCATAGAATGGCCAGCAAGATCTCCAGTTTTGACACCTCTTGACTATTTTCTGAGGGGTCGCTTGAAAACAATTGTTTATAAGACTCCACCAACAGATATTGATGAACTCAAAAGAATAATCATCTCAGAATGCAGACAAATCAATCGGGAAACGTTTCAAAAAGTTAGTGAAGAATTCGAAAATAGGCTATACTATTGTCTAGAGATTAATGGATCACATTTTGAGCAATTGCTCTGAATACCTCTCTGAAAAATTGCATTTCTTCTTAGACACGATTCGACAAAATAGATTTTGATAGACCTTCAATTTTATGTATCTCAAAGTAGGAGGTGCCATTTGAGATTCCAAAGTAGGGGTGTCTGGGGGTGAAGGGAATGAGCATAGCATTCAATTGATAATGTTATTATACTTCCCCCGCGATATCTAAATCGACTTGTTTTTTCCAAAAATTGTAATCTTAGCAGATGAGAAGATATGCAAGGTGGTAAGTTTTGAAATGAAAGCTCTGTATACGTCACTGCGAGTCAAACAATTGCTTACAGTTATCAGTTCGTCCGAGTCTCCGTGATCATTTTGGTGCGAGTATAAACTCGCGATGACGTTATGTGCAAAAGACCAATTTAAGATGCCTGGGTAGCATGTACAAGTCTGACTCACAATAGTCTATAACTGCTGTACGACTTGTTTATACAAACAACTGAACTTTTTCAAGAATAACTCGCACTCATTCAAAGCAGACATGAAAAAAATTACCTTCCGTAATTTGGTTAAAGATGCGGAATTGGATTTGAGCCCTGTTTGAGGAATAAAAAAATGAATACCATTACTATGATCTGGCTTACGAAGTGACAAGTAGTGAATGAATGTATCCGTAACCTCATACTGGCTGTCTATCAAGCGTTTCAGTAGATCCTTATCAGGAAGGCATCTGTAAAATGTTAGCTTTTCAAACGTATGCATAACTCATCAGAAATTATTTTCAGTGGGCCAACATATACTTTGATATTTTGACAGCTTAAATACATCATACATTCACAGCCACTTGGAAACAATACGAACAATCGGTCTTTTCATTTAGACGATGACAATATAGTTGTTTACATAAATCATCAATTTCATCATATATCATTATTTGATATTATGAGATCAATAAATTCTATTCTATTCTATTGGGTGATTGTTAGGAGTTTCCAGATTGATAATGAATTGAGCTCTTTTCTACCTTGAACAAGAGAGAGAGGAAAGTTCTCTACTCTTCCATCTTTCTCTTCAATGCTACCAACGAGGTCGCATTGTAATATAGAGAGGTCCGATAAATCTTTACTTGTCTAACATCTAGTTTGTGCCACTGAACTATTTTTGAATCCAACACAGTGTGAAATTAACGATATTAAAAAACTATGTCAAAATAGGTATGATATAATCTGTAATTTCATTTCAAAAATTTGAAAGGTTATCAGTCAATGACATTCATGACATAGACATATCACATCATTATAATCTGAACTAACTGAAATATCTCACTAGAACAACTGAATCAGTTATCATGTGTTCTTTCGAAAGAATTTGATTAGTTGTGGAATATGTCAGTTCCTGAAGGAAAGAATATCATTATTTGCGATAGAAAATAAGCGTACGCCACCTATCGGAGTTCTTGAAAGCTGTCAAAGCGGCATGTTTACTTTGTTTCCATTTGTTCACATTTGTTTTTTGTTTGTGCAAATTGGTCACATCATCAAAACAAACAGATCAAAGTTCAAGTTGTGACCGTCAGGTGGATTGACGTGTTATTTTCTATCATGAACAACATCGAAAATAGTTCAATGGCCCAGACTAGAGGTTAGACAAGGAAAGATTTATCGGACCTCTCTAAATTTCAATGCTGCCAGGTTGGTAGCATTGAAGAGAAAGATGGAAGAGGAGATAACTTTCCTCTCTCTTGTTCAAGGTAGAATTCTGAACCATATTTTCTTCATTGCAGAAGAGATTATAGCCAACAGAATGAAAAATATAACCATCTTCTATATTAACATGGTGAATAATGATCTGGAACATTCATCTCACTCAATCATCTCCTGAAGATACTAACATAGTTAGCAAAACACATGTGGAGGAGTTTAAAAAATCGGTTTGGTTGGTGATAAAACAGTGTAGTGAGCTATAAAGGTGAGTTTATACAGGAATTAAATTATGACCTGAAAATAAGACAGTTCAACATGAGTATTCCCATGGGACCTTTCATACATGGCATTAAATAAGTTCAAAATAAGAATGAGTATAAAACAAAAGTACCAACTTTCATCTTATTTAATTTTATTTCAAAAATGATAATGTCCATGACTCAAATCAGATGTACCTAAATCTTTCCAACCATTCCCATCACATATGTTGAGATTGGGGGATATGGTCAGGGAGTTTCATTCTGGTCCACTACTAGCATGGCATCAGCACACTGTGATCATTTGTGTAGTGATTTAGGCTTTCAAGAATGTTTTTCCTTCCTCTCTAGACCCTGAGGGTATCCTTAATAATTCATCCATTGAATCATGTGATTCTGTGACCAATCTGACAATGAGGTTTGGGAATGGTTACAGAACTTTGGGCACCTGTCTCAAATTATTTCTGAGATATCTGCCAATCAACTCCTAACCTGAAACTGGCTATGTGTAGGGAATTTATTGTTTTGGATTTTTTAAATATATTATACATAGCTGTATATCAGTATTCTCAGCTGGGGGCAGCAATATGGTTTTGTGATGATTGTTATTCCTCATTCCTTAAAACTATCTCATCTTATTCATTAATTTATTTTTATTGCTGTATAAACTCACCTTAACCACTCATATTTTGATGCCTGAACACCCTAAACACATGTTTTACTATTAATTAGTAATGTGCCTGAGCATAATCCAAGGCATATTCAGAAGACAAATAGTTTTTATTACATCTGCAGATTCATTTATAGTTAGCAAAACAAATGTTTGTTATTACAATATAACTCATGAAAACAACTGGCAATTATGGTCAATGAATGACTGTATTTCTACAACAAACAAAGTTAAAACTGCTGTTAGCTGAACAGAAATGTATTCCTTGATGTATTCTATACATGATTTTGAATAGTTTCAGGCTCTCCAAGATGCAGAAGAGCTTGAGCCTCTTCAGCTACTTACTTGGCATAATCAAGTGGGGTTTTTCCATGATTATCAGGGCATGATGGATCTGCCCCATATACTAATAATAATTCAGCTTGGATCCTCTGATCAGATTTTACAGCAACATGTAATGGAGTTGAACCTTTTTCCTAAAAATGTAAAATTAGGTGTGCTGGCAGAATCATCAGTATTTGTTGTTCAGAGATCAGTATGACCATACCACCACTTACATCATGAAAATAGTTAGGATCAGCTCCTGAAGCTAGCAACCTGAAAGATGTTTCCAAGTTCGGAGTTCTAACACTGGCATGTAACTGTTTTCCTAATTCATTTTCAACACTCAGTAAAGTGTCTTCATAAATTTCTCTGAATGCAAAAGCACATTGTTGATGTTTCAGTTTGATAAATTCTTTTTTTATACTGAAAGAAAATTGATTCATTAAAAAATCTAAGATATTGATATTGAAAAGTTTTCCTCAAAACATACCTGATAGAATCCATTGCATTAGGTTTTTTTTTCATCAACTTTCCCCCATTTTCTAGGAGGGCATGCTCCCAAATGTTATTAGCACCATTATTATTGAGACAAGAAACCATCTGAAATTAATTTCATTGAGCATTAAATTCATCATGCATATTGTTTTAGTTGGCTTTTACATTCAATTGATTTGGGTGCCATGTACTTTTCAGTAAGGACTTGACTTGGGAAATATGCCTTCCCAAACTTCTATGAATACTACAGCATTGGGTGCATAATAGAATCCCCTTATTCACGGAGGCCCATGTAGCATCTGCATTATTAAAAATGTAATTACATACAAATAGGTAGGTGATATAAATTTAATGACTCACCTACAGCACCACAATCCCCACAGAGTTCAATATTGTTCCTGGATTTTGTCCACAACATACTTGTAGATCCCTTTCAAATAGGAAGTAATAAAATGATGATAGAAAATTACAAGGATAATAGACAAATCAAATAAGGTCAAAATAAGAAGGACAAAATAAACACAAGACAATGTACAAAACAACGATCACCAATTAATCAAACAATATTTATATTCCATATTGATGATAATAATAATGAATTTTTTCCAAATATTTCTGTCAAGACTGTCAAGAAGAGTTAAAGTTGACGTGACAGGTGACCAAGGTTATCTTTAGTCTTCCATTTTTTTTGCCTCTTTCGCCAATTCCCATTTGTCAATCTGTCCAAGAGATATCGCACCTAGGGGCCCTAGGGCCAGTTGGTCCTGCTGTTAACCTTGCTCCCACACAAAAAAACGAAGGGTAAGGTCGAGATGTTTATCAAAAATGAATCAAATAATGATGTAAATAACCCAAGAAAAGAAACAAGAAGACCCGGATCCACAACGCTCGTAGTTAACTTTCATCAATAAAAAAAAGGAAATCAAAACATGAGGAGAACAGCAACGAACTAATGACTTAAAGAAAGAAGAAGATAGGTGACAAAAAGACTGTGAGAGTGAGATGTGAGCTGCTGACCGCTGACGGCGCTGACCTGAGTGTTCTGTCATGAAACGAGAAGGAGACTAATGAGACTTTAACCAAATACTGAAATTGTAAATATAGTGTGTTCAAATCAAATCAAGTATCAAGTTCAATGATAATCTTGATATATATTTTTTAAATGTGAACTGTCATCTTACATTGGAATCCTGGAACCATGTCTCGATTCAGTGGAGCATTGCAGTTGACTGACCTGGACGATTTCATAACTCCTTCTCAGGCAAGTACTTTGTTTTTGACCTCAAATTCGAGGAAATTATGAGCCCCCACAAGAGAGGAAAATACCTTGGAGCTTGGAGGTAAGCAGGACCCCAGGACCAGAGCAAATATTAAGTAGTAAATACTTTGGGATATTGAACATATTTAGAAATATTTAAACATTAAATATCCTCAAAGGCCAAAAAGTATTTAAATAACAAAAACAAAAGTATTTGAATAGTTCACATTAAGTATCTAAATACTTCCAAAGTATTTTGAGTATTTCCAAAATATTTAAATACTTCCAAAGTTAAATACATCCAAAGTATTCAAATATTCCCAAGGATTTGTCTGATTAGTGATGTACTCACTTACCTATGTATATTATTAAACAGAACTATCATTTATTTTTACCATATTACTTTGGGTTTTCTATTCTTGTCTCTGAAAATGTATGAATTATCATTGTCAGATTGGTGCAATAAATTCACCATTCACTATATATATAAAAGCTAAAATCCACAGGATGTTCCATTAAAGAAGATCTTATCATAGTGGTAATGGCCCTTAGTCAGAATCTAAATATTCATTTATTATTTTATTTCTGACAGTGACATTATAAGCTTATATCATCATAGTTACGATATCTATTATGAGGGTCATAACTCCCTTGGGATCTTATAGATGCTATAATTCCCTCTAACTAAAATTAAATAAGAAATGCATAGCAACAACCACACAGTAACGTAGCAATAAGGAATCTCCTATTCGCGGTAGTCAAGATCATCATCTGACGTTCTGATGACATTGAAACTATACGGAAAAACATGTCTAACTTCCAATCGGGAAGGTATCTAATGAATGAAATCAGTCAGAAATAAAATTATCTATGTATCACCGGAATTACTGAGCCTCAATAACCTCAGGCAATTGCTTTCCCTCGGGCCAGAGGCCCTCAGGACGCAAACTTTGCCATCGGTAATAAGTCCCTCATAATTCCCTTAATACATAAATAACTATAAATACTTTTGAATATAGTATTTGAATAGTCCCAAAAGTATTTAAACACTTCAGATATATTTAAATACTTTGCACATCTATTTGCAAATACTGAGATATAAATATATTCTAACAAATATTTGTAAGTATAAATATAATTACCTGAACCAGAAAGCATTCAAATACTGGGTATTTAAATACCATAAAGTATACCAAAAAGTATTTAAATACTAAGAAGTGTTTGTAAATACAAATAATGTCCAGCTTGGCAAGCAATAAGTAAACAATAAATAAGCAATCACCAGAAAATTATCAATTTTGTCTTAAAAAGGAATATTTCCAGACATATATTATGAACATAAAAAAAAGTATATATAAATATATACAGGGTGTCCCATTGGGAAAAACTTCAACAGTGGGTAGAGCTCATCAAGGTGGTTCTGAATATACCATATTTGTAGGGTCTTGCAAGTTTTATATCCGAGATATAGGGTGTTTTATCAATTTTGTTCAATTCTTTGTAAGGACATAACTTACAAACCACCCAGTATAGTCATTTGGAATTTTGTACACAATTTTGCCTTCTTCTACCAAAGTGACTCACCTATCAGTTACGAGGAAAATCCAGGACCGGATCAACAAAAATTGATCATATATCTGGACCCCAAAAATATCACCCTGTATTTTCGAATTTCCAAAATTTGCTCACATATTTGGAAAGTGCATGAAAATCTGAATCGAATGATGTACTTTCCATTTTTCCGCATGCTATTTCACTAGGTAATTTCTGATTTTGAATATGAGGTTTCATGCATTTGGATAAGTAAAAATGAAATGTTTTGAGTTTTCCCAATCGAATAACAAAAACTATCACGAATCACCCAGTATATTCTATGGAATTTGGTACACAAGTCGTCCTTCTCCTACCCCAGCGACTCACCTATCAGTCACGATGAAAATCCAGGTCCGGATTGACGAAAAATTATGATCTTCTGGGCCCGAAAAAGAACACCCAGTATTTTCGAATTTCCAAAATCCGATTCCATATTTGGAAAGTTCACAACGAGATGAATCGAATTGTGTACTTCTCAATATCTCGCATGCTCTTTCACTAATTAATTTCTGATTCTGAAAACTCAAAACTTTCCATTTTACCTCGATTTCTACCTATCCAAATGCATAAAACCTCAAATTCAAAATCAGAAATTCAGTAGTGAAATAGCAGTCGTATGAAAATAAAAATTAGACAATCCGATTCAGCTTTTTGTGCAATTTTCAAATATGTCAGCATATTATGGAAATTCTAAAATACAGGGTGTTCTTTTTGGGGCCCAGAAATATAATCAATTTTCGTTAATTCGGACCTGGATTCTTCTCGTGAATGATAGGTGAGGGGCTTGGGTAGATCAAGGAGAACTCGTGTACCAAATTTCAAAAAAATATACTGGGTGGTTCATGATAATATTATTCCATTGGGAAAACTCAAAACATATTATTTTTACCTATCCAAATGCATGAAACCTCGAATTCAAAATCAGAAATTCCTTTTAGTGAAATTGCATGCAGGAAAATGACAAGTATACCATTCGGTTCAGCTTTTTGTGCACTTTCCAAATATGTATGCGGATTTTGAGAATTCGAAAATGCAGGGTGTTCTTTTTGGTGTCCAGAAACGTTATCAACTTCTGTTAATCCGGACCTGGATTTTTTTCATGACTGATAGGTGAGTCGCTTTGGTAGAAAAAGAAGGAATTGTGTACCAAATTGCAAAAGAATATACTAAGTGGTTCATAAGTTATGTCCTCACAAAGAATTGGTCAAAATTGATAAAACACCCTATATCTCGGATATAAAACTTGTGAGACCCTACAAATATGGTATATTCAGAACCACCTTGATGAGCTCTACCCACCGTTTCCCAATGGAACACCCTGTATATACAGGGTGAGTCATAACTATTGGGACATAGGCTAAGGGTAGATAGTTTGGACTACAATATGGCGATAGGACCAAATTTGCCTAGATAAAAAATTGCTGTGAAAAAAGATACAGGGCGTTGAAGTTGATTTTTTTTTCGTTTTTTGCTAATAATTCCACTGTATATTCATCAATTATTATAAAAATCGGCATAGGGCTATAATTTTATACAAGGAATAATATTTTAAGTATCAGTCTACATTGAGTTACAGGGGGCGCCACGTGAATGATGATGAAAACGACTGGTAACTTCTTTTGACGAAACTTTTCTGCGATTTTGATTGAAAAATATGACATAAACATAATATCTACGTAATATTGGTACTCTTGTTTGAACATGATATATTCATCCGTTTTCGAGAAAAACGCAATTGAGCAGGTCAGAGTAAGGAACAATAAAAAATTTGTAACATATAAGGCTTCTATTTCCACGATAAAGCACAATTGAGAACAACATAGAGAGAGCAAACTCAAATCAAATGTTCTATGTGGCCTCCTCTGACTGCTATAACTTTTCTAATTCTTTTAATAAAGGACTGCCGGACTTAAAACAAAATTATTCTGTCCCCTTATAAAGTTAGCCGCATTTTGTATTCTTCTCCAGAGTTTGTCTCTTGAGTTGATTTCATCGGCATAAACTATAAGGACTTCATATGTCCCTAAACATAAAAATCAAGCGGGTTATAGTCAGGACTTCATGGTGTCCATTCAGAATCACTTCCTCTGCCAATCTATCGTTGAGGAAATATGTCACTTAGGTGATTTCTAACAACTAATGGAAAATGAGGTGGAGCTCCATCCTGCATAAACCACATTTTCCTTCTCACAGCTAGTGGCAGATTATCTAAAATATCACTGAAAGTATTTTGCAAAAAAATAAATAAGAATCTCCATTCAAATTTGGAGGCAGAACATATGGCCCTAGTAGTTGGTCTTCTATAATGCCACACCAAATATTCAATTCAAACTCATGCTGAAAATGTCTTTCTATCAAAGCATGCGGATTTTGTTCTTCCCAATAATGGCTGTTACGCAAATTGGTAAAAGTCGCTTCATCGGTGAACGTAATATTCTTAATGAAAGTTCGGTCATCATTATGCTCGTTGTGAATACGTTGGCAGAACTGTAACCTACGTGGGAGATCTCTTGGAAGCAAATTTTGAACAGGAGTGAAGTGATGATGAAGGGTGGAACTTTTCTCTTTTTAGAATTTTGATAATAGACGACTAACTCCTGTTCCTGCTGACAAATGAGGTGAACTTACTTTAGAATTTTCATCTATTCGAAACCAAAATTTCATCTTCCTGATTAGGTGTGGTTTTGGACGACCACCTTGATTTTTACCCCAAACGATGAAATAGATTTGAGATAGCTTTGTGATTTGGTTGCCTTTTGTCTGGATATAACAATTCATACCTTCTGGATCCAGAGCGACCGCAAAAATGATCTTGTGCGTATACACATATCATATCCCGCACTTCTTCATTCGTAAAATGATTGTGACGAGGCATTTTAATCGGAAAAGTATGCACTATAAACTCGCACCAGAATTTAAGCACACTCTTCATAAATGAAATACTATTTGAAATCCCCTTCCTATGCGAATAATATGGGAAATATAACCAACCCTCAAGGGGTAGCTGGAATCAACCCCAACATGTTTTTTTCAAATGCAACCCAATGGCTTGCAACCCCTCATTGGAAAGCTGGTTGAAAGAGGAAACCAGCGTAATGATCATATTTCAGTTCGCAGTACGTTTTGGGGTCGCATAAAATCAAAATATAATTTCCAAGTTGAATATATTTTCCACGTATTGTCTCATCAAAATTTTGTAGGAAGAGATTCATTCCTGTCGTGAGATTAGTTAGTTAACCGAGACGCAAAGCGTCGAGGTTACTATCAGCAATAATCTTTCTTGGGAAAATCACGTGAGATCAATTGCTAAAAGTGCATCCCAATAACTTGGTTTTCTGTTTCGGGCCAGGAGCTATTTCACTTCCAGTCAGCTGCTTATGATCTATAAGGCACAGATCCGACCTGTCCTGGAATACTGTTCCCATATTTGGAGTGCGGCACCCAAACATACCCTGAAACTGTTGAATTATGTCCAAAAAAGGGCAATTCGTCTCGTGGGTGATGCCCGAGGTGATGCCTCACTCACAAATTCACTCACTTCTCTGGAACACCGTAGAAAAGTTGGCGATCTGGCTCTATTTTATTGATATTTTCATGGACGATGCTCTGGATATCTATTGTGTGGTATCAAAGTGTTCGTTAGAAAATACCCTTTTCAGATATGTTAATGACTCATTCATGGCACTCTAGATTGCAAATTGAAAAATGAAAATTTCAGGATGATAAAAAATGTCAAAAAGTGGCAAATGGGGTCATTGTATTCACAATGTGATCTATCGAAATAGTAAAAATATACTGGGTGTCCCAATTAAAATAAGAAAATAAGGGTCATTTTCGGTCAAACCGGAATATATATATTAATATATATACACACCCACACACCTCTTAATTGTATATTAATTTTCACAGGAATGCATAAAACCTGTAGAAATTGAAAAGAAGGTAACTTCTAGTGGAGCAAAAATTAAAATTCAAGAGGATGGATATTTCCAAGTAGAGGAGGTAAAAGTTTTGTGTTTGTCACTAATGTATCAATCAGTATGTTGTGATTTAGGATGGAAGTACTCAAAAGCTACAAAAAGTTGAAATAACTTTGGCCGATTGTCTGGCATGTTCTGGATGCATCACTTCAGCTGAAAGTGTGTTAGTTACACAACAAAGTCAGGAAGAATTACTACGAGTATTTGAGGAGAACCAGAAGATCAAATCGAACGGTGGATACCAAGAGGCCAAATTAATTGTTGTTTCACTTTCCATTCAACCAGTATTATCATTGGCGATTCGTTACAATTTGTCGCCTAATGATTGTGCTGCCAAACTGGCAACTTATTTCAAACAAATTGGAGTTGATATGGTCGTGGACATGACGATAGCAGATGATTTTGCATTATTGGAAGCACAGAGAGAATTTATCAGAAGGTACAGAGCTACAGAAAGTGATGGTATCAAAAATGTCTTACCAATGTTAGCCTCAAGTTGCCCAGGTAAATCAGGAAGTTGATTTGATACTGGTAATATTATTGAAATACTACATATTGATCTACGTATCCAATAGTTCCGTTGTATTTTTTTCAGGGTGGGTTTGTTATGCAGAAAAAACACATGGAAGCTATATTTTACCATATATTTCAACCACAAGATCTCCACAACAAATCATGGGCTCATTGATAAAGCAGTGGGTTGGTCATAGATTAGGGGATCGTCCAATTTACCATATTACACTCATGCCTTGTTATGATAAGAAGTTAGAAGCATCTCGCCAAGACTTTTTCAATGACGAGACGCAGAGCAGGGACGTGGATTGTGTAATTACTGCAAGTATGTGATGACACTAAATATAGGTACAATATGATGCTAGAGTAATACATCAACATTTTCACTAAACCGACTGTTTGCAAAAACCCGCCGACACGTTAATTTTTTGAAGAGCAATGGGGGAGTCTCTCTCTCACCCTTTACTCTTTGAATCCCTGCAGTATCTAATATGTAGCAACCATTTATTCCAGTATGTTTGTTGTAATATGATAATCATAGCATGATTTTATTTACTTCTACAATTCCAGAGTTGAATCGTTATTAACACACTTCAAAACTGTCAGAATAATTTGTCTCTGTTTGAAATCCCCATCATGGTTTGTAAGGGCCAATTGACGAACAGACAGTATTTAACCTACACAGACAGTATTGTTTATGTTGGTTGGTACATTGACAATTGACAAGATAGAAATGAGATGCACAGTACATTTCCACATGTGACAGGATGACATGAGATCATTAACATAACTAATATCCATACCGTTGGTTGGTACATTGACAATTGACAAGATATAAATGAGATGCACAGTACATTTCCACATGTGACAGGATGACATGAGATCATTAACATAACTAATATCCATACCGCAATCCTAAAATCTCTGGTAAATTACTCACCTGAAGACGATTCTGCACAATGCGCAGGAACTTCCAAACTGTCGTTAATGACATGTCATGTCGTTTTGAAGAATGACCCATATAACAGGGCCTAAATATGCATGATTGTATGTTCTCTAATTCGATTTCAAGTGGCATAACTTCTTTTTTATGGTATTAGCGGTCTAGATAGTAGTCAGAACCATAAAATATGGAAATTCAGACCATAGTATTTTTTTCAGACTTCCACTTAACATTATCATGCTACCTGCTCCTGATTTGTATGTTAACAATACATAACAGAACTGTTTTATTTTTTTTTTAGTTGAATTAGAACAGATGCTTGAACAAGAAGGCATTTCATTAGCCTCTTTGGAAAACTCAACCTTTTCCCAGCCCTGGTTGGCTAGTGAAGCAAGTGATGTTTTTCCTGAACTCAAAAGACATATAGGGTCTGGATCTGGTGGATATGCTGATCATATATTCAAATATGCTATGAGCGAATTGTTCGGTGAAAACTGCAGTGATTTGGAATATAAATGTTTGAGGTACCTATGCATAGATAACTTATTTTTATTAGCATCCTGTTCTCGTTTAGGGTCTTTGAGTAGTACTTGTGTAATAAATCGGAACTATTTTGTATAGTAGTCGAATTATAGGTCAATGACACCCACACTTATTCAATGTCTTAATCTCAATCTCAATATCTCTTTATTTTTCTACTGAGTGATATTACAACCAAATTTAGGCAAATATTACGAAATATTCATCATTAATGTTTGTGCAGTTTTTAGGGGCAGATGCTTCTTTATCACGCCTTCTTTATAAGGGAAAAAGGTTTTTAAATTCTATTATATTATATTGATCACCCTGCATTAACTGAAAACTATTGGTGTTTCTACCCAAGGTTGCTTGCCATGGTCACATTGCCGTAGAATGCGCCAGTTTTGTCATCTATTGAATCGTTTAAATGGCCCCACATACCTGATAGTGATGAGTTGATTGTAATTTTTAATCAAGAATGATGGAAAGATAACTACGTGGTATTCAATTGAAGTTATCATGAAATATTAGGGTTTGGTACAAAGAAGAAATCAGAACTTTGTGTGGGAAAACATTACCTTGAAAAAATTATTGAATAATGGAAAAAGTTTCCCTGAATAGAATGTTTCAAGCATTGCTAATATTTATAATTTTTCAGAAATGCAGACTTCAGAGAAGTGTTTTTCGAGAAAGATGGCAAGATCATGTTGAGATTTGCAGTTGCCAATGGGTTCAGGAATATCCAAAATTTAGTGCAAAAACTAAAACGAGGAAAGTCACAGTATCACTATGTTGAAGTTATGGCTTGTCCTTCAGGTGAGTTCATTTATTTTATCCCCCAAATGTGAAATGAAAGGAGCAGAAACATATCGATATTATCAGGAGAGAAAATTATTCAAAACATCCGTTTTTATTAGCGCCATTCATTTGTATTTTCGGAGTTCACAAATTTTTCTCACATTTCGTATCTTGACTCATGATGTCAAAGTTGCCATGAAAAGCAAATGTGTCAATCATAACATGGGAATATCAGCGACAGCTGCTGCCAACAACAATGCATCATGGTCTCAATATTAACATAACAATATTCTTTATATTGAAAAAAGTCCTTGAGCGTTTAAAGGAACAATATTTTGAGATAAAGTACTCTATCCTGCTAAGTGAAACAGCAAAATCGGCATTATATTCGTGTTATGCCTTTAGTGTAATGCACCCCCTAGTTAATTGACTAATATCTCCCGTGTAAGAAAATTAGGTAGATTGCAAACTTATAATGTGTGGCTTATTTAAATCACCCTGTGTATAAAACAACATACAATTGTGATAGGGATTCACAAAATTGTATAATTTCAGTAATATTTAAATCAACAAATTGGTTATTTGGAGCCAAACTTATCAAATGAAATTTTCAATGAGCTTGCTATAATCAAGTTTCAAATATGCATATTTGCTGGATGTCTGATTCTCCTTCGTTTGCTTCAAGAATCGTATTTTCAGGTTGTTTGAATGGTGGAGCACAAGTAAGACCCAAGACCGATGCAACGATAAAGGAATTAACAAAGGAGCTAGAGGATGTATACAACTCTTTGCCATGCCAAACTCCCGAAGATAGTAAAGTAGTTAAAGAATTATATGATGTATGGTTAGGTGGACTAGAAAGTGATAAATGCATTGCATTACTACATACGCAATACCATGCTGTAGAAAAAAATACAAATGCATTAAATATAAAATGGTAGAATTTGTGTTTCATTTCTTGAATTGACTCGGCCGTTTTTTGATGGAAATCCGTGGCAAATGTAAAAACTTCACAAACCATAAGATTTCCACAAAATTCTAAATCACACATATAATCTCCAAAAGTTCAAAAAAAAATTCCAATACCTACCTCCTGTCCCTATCCTCCCTAGGAACGCACGATGTTCTTTGAACATTATAGGGATTCCCTTTCGTGCGCTCCAAGCGATATAATAAAAAAAAACACACACATGACATGTTTCGCTAACACAGTAGCTTCATCAGGTGAAAAACTGGTACAATGAACCAAGCTAACTTTGGCTTGCCTAACTTTTATATATCCCACTTTCCCAACCTGAAGGATTAGAATTACCTGAGGACAGGTCGGTTTTTATTTTCACTTGAAATGATTTATTTAGGCCCTTTGGGTTCAGTAGATATTACCCTTAGAATCTCAAATAGGGAAAGGGGGTTAAGTGGCACTTCATTTCGAAGGACGTTCAATTCTCTTTCCAACGGAAGTTCAATTCTCTTTCCAACGGTACCGTAGTTAATCATTTTCTAATAACTAAATAAAACTCAAAATCATTACAATTCCATTGAAAATGAAGAAAATTACACATATAGTATGAGAACATTCTTAAAATTATTTGTTTTTTGAATTTGAAGGGGAAAAAATTTCATAAAACCCCTGCATTATGGTTTATGGTAGGTCAAACACGAGCCGGTCCCATAGCATTAGGGCCACCGGGATAATGGAGAAAAAATGTTTGAAAAATTTGATAGTGACTGCCATTTTAACCACTTGAGTAGCAATCAGCAAGTAGTGGTATTATTATTTCATAATTGTATTTATAACATTATGTATATTGTTTATGTATGTATAAACAACTACGTTTCTTGTGGTAATAAAGACAATCTATCAATTTTGTGCATTATTCATTAATAGTCATACAGATTGTTTGCCAAATCCTTACATTCCCTGGTGACGCAGGGTATCAGACCACCCATGTAACTTCTGCATTCGTAAACGAATTTTTCTGAATTTTAGTACAGTTATATAAGCAACCATTTTGAATTTGATCACATTACAATCCAAAATGGCAGACTACCGGTTTTTCTGGAAATGCCAGCATTTTTTGTTTTTTTCAAATAGAACACCCTGTATATTTTCACATATCCAATGTGGTCGAGACATACAATTTTCTGGAAAAATAGTTTTTATGTCACTTACGTCTCTCTGGAACATACATTAAGGAAGAAAATGACATAAGTTTTGTATTTCGGTGCAGTTACAAATTGTATACTTTCAAAAATCAATCACAAATATCAAGTGACATAAAGTCGATGTCATGAATGACAGTTTGGATCATTAGGGTCTCAACAGATGCGTTGACAGGTGAGCAATTTTAATGAGATTTTCGTGGTAGTATCAACATAATTCGTATCACTTTCGACGTAGGCACAAAGCTTCAATAAAGCAATGTCACCTGATGTGACAATATGGAGGTCAGTTCGTTTTCATCAGCTGATAGGCGAAAAATGGAGCGTTGTGTATTCCAATTTCATGGTGGAGATACTCTGAAACTTGTAGGTTCTTTTCATATATATTCACAGGAAAGTTACATGCGAAATTGCGTAGGCTTGTCTCCTGATCCAGATGTTTAATGCCTAACAATTTTACACCATATCACATCACTGCCATTGGTCTATTCTGGTTTTCATTGGTCTGGTCAGTATCATATCAAATAGCTACAAATTCGAAAATCCATTGTTCAACATTTTTCGAGTAAAGTTCTTCAAGTTTATCAAAAAATATATTCAGAATAAAAAATATTTACAAACACTTCTACAAGAGAGATTCGTAGTTAGATCTTTGCACCAATTGAGGTTTGAATGTTTGAAGCAGAGAAGATCAATAAACAACTTACAATGACGACATGAAGTCTTGTAGAATGTTTCAACATTACATGGAATTACATCCACAACATATCTAAAGGCTGAAACATCCATATAAGTAATAAACAAACAAAATACATGGAAACAATAAATTCAAAAAAATAACAAATAGAGATACATATTCTACAAAAAGATGAAAAAGTACGAGAGGTTTTCTCTTCCCACCATGTAACATGAATGCTTGAACTTCGTATAGGCGGAGAAATATATACGTTTAAGCATGGTTTGATTGAATTGTGATGAAGCACAGAATACATTCTAGTGCTTTAAGCTCGGTAAACAAATAAAGAATCAAAGAATGATATCAATCATATAATTAAGCCATTGGAGCTATACTGACTAAATAAAGTTCAACCTTTCAACATTACATGGGATTTCATCAACAATATACACACACCGGCACAATTAGGGAAACGGGCAAAATTTACACTTATTTCGACATCAATTTTCCCTTGATCCCATCGCTCGATTTCAATTTTTCTTTGAAGCATTGTAGCTTGTTACTTCACAAACATCTCTGACAAATCACCACCTTTAAACGATTCGTCCTTATATTATATACATGTATAAAGGAAGTACGGATTTTTCGGTACTTTTCAAGACATCCTGTGAGGTGAACCACTGAAAATTGAAACTATTTGTCAACACCAAATTGCCCAATCTATTCCGAATATTTTCGTTTTGTATTCATTCTTATATCTCAATTATTACAGAATTCATAGTTTTAATGAAGATGTGCATATTGATCTTAATTTTACCCTCGTCTACACTCGAACTGGGAATGAGAACATTTATTTATTTATTTTATTTATTTCAGTTATTGCATTACATTCTCTTCTTCATTGATACATTTCATACAAATAATATATAAAGTATAAATAATTTTCTAGTAGGAATGACATGAATGATCAGACAGTAATTCCTGGTATAAGATCATTCATGAAGTATTATCGACTGTTGTATAATTGAAATTACAAATAGTGAACAAAACTTACATATCATAAAGATATCTCAAAATAACAGTCATATTATAGTGAACAAGAAGGGGAAAAATAAAAACAGTGAAAAAAAAAGGAAATTCATAGTCTTTCAGCTTTGATCATTCCTTTGCATATAAATATATCTCTTAACTTTATTTTTGAATTGCATAATATTTGGGCTGTTTTTGATATCATCTGGTAATTTATTGAATTTCGAAATCGCCTCATGTGTAAACTTTTTTCAACTTGTTTCTGTGGGGATTTTTACTTTTGAGATGAAAATTGTTCACAGTTTTATTTACCTATCGGTTTAATGTTCTAAGACACATAGAAATAAGCTTATGAATAGGGTGTGATAAAATTTGCTTTAATGTTGACAACAATGTTGTCTTCAAACAATTGACCAATAGGTAAAACTGTGAACAATTGTCACAACACGAAGGTGGTTATTTGTCAGATGTATTCGTGGAGAATTAAGCTACAATTCTTGAACAAAAAATTGAAATTGAGTGATGGGATCAAGAGAAAATTGATTTCAAACTTAGTTTAAATTTTGCCCGTTCCCCTAATTGTGCCGGTGTGTGTATTATTTAATAGTTGAAACATCTTTAGTAGGTACCTAATAAAAAACTGACAAACTACATGGAATAATTAATTCAACGAAATAACAACATAATATACTTATTCTACAAAATGTTCTCCAGAGATGATAGGTTGTCTTCTCTCTCTCGCACCATGTAAGCTGAAGGCTTGAAGTTCGTACAAACGAAGATAGGTAACGGGTGTTCGACAATGATTGAAAACCACGTGACAGATTACTATGCGCATAATAAAATCTAGGAATTAAAGCTCGGTGAAACGATAACATTTGGAAGATACATTTCATAATAAAATTTAGACACATGTTAACGTTTCAACATCAAATGGAATGACTTTTCCAACAGATCTATAAGTTAAAATAATATCTTCAGTAAAATAAATGTAAAAAAATATACTGTGAATGTTTTTATCTTACGACTGAAATGTTATATATAATCCTACAAATATGGCTGCCAACCAACAAAGAGCTTACATAGATTAGCGGGATCAATGGCTTGTTGTATCAAGGTTCCAACCTGATGTTCGATACTCGTTGGATGGCCGAGTTCAGTACCCTGCAACTTTTCGCGAAGTCGTAATAAAGCTCGTTCTGCTGTGACGTTCACGGTAACATTTTCTGAAATGGAATAATTAAGTTATTATAATTCACCAGAATTCTTTGGATACCTTTTTCAGATAATAGTTATTTGATTTAAATACATTGAATGCTTCCTACTAGAGTCACTGGATGGTATTAATTAGATAAGAGTTCGGACACAAAAATGACAACTACTGTTAGTGTTTTCGAATGTTTAGATTTATTAAGTTACACATCTTTCATTGTGACATCATCATAGTCGTTCCGATCTTTTTCATCCAGAATTGTTTGAATTTGACAATACATTTTATGAACGTCAGCATTGAGATATAATTTCATAAACTATTGAGACAAAAAGCATGAATGAAAATGTCCTGCTGTGTAATGAATTGCGGGAATTCTGAAGGGAATGGCGATTTTATTTCCTCATTTTCCAAAGGAAATATCAACCATTCCCTTATAGAAGGAATGTATGAAACGGCTTGGATGGAAAATTAATCAAGACAAGCAAAATTTGTGAGGTAATTACATAAATTAAAATTCACTCCTTATAATAGCAGATTGTAATGAAACTATATTTTAGGCCCATTTTCAAACAGAAGATTTATAAGATTCGTTGTTCCATTGATTTACAAAACAGACTATTGAAAAAAAAACAATATTATCATCACAGGAAATGCAAAACAACATTATCATAGATGAAAAGGAATTGATTACAAAACTACGTAATGAAATTGAAAATTTGAAAACGAAACTGAGGAAATCAAGTAAATTGCAACGTGAATATCATTGAATGGCGTTTTCAATATCGAGCAAATTTAAAAATTAGCAGTAAGAAGTAAATGCAGCAGAAGGTGGAAAATCAAAACAATCTTCATGTTTTAAACTTCATCACTTGGGTACAGTCTTACATACAATAAGGAACTAGCTATAAGCATATCCATATGTGTCTATTTTGTCATTATACCATTGTCATATGAATTCTTTTCATTTTTATTACTATTGTTTTGCGAGGTGTATCGCTAATCGCTATATAAATTGAAGTGGGTGTTTATACCCCATTTCTATTTTCTATCTACGACAATGATTGATTTGACAGAAAATCTAACCTCTAAAAGCGTATCTGACAAATCAGGCGCTACTAGGGGAATGGAAAAGACAAAGAACAGAATATATGTCTTATTCTTTTATCCACTCAAACCATTGTAATATAGAAAATAGAAGAGGACATAAGTTCAGCTGTGTCCGAGCTCTTATCGAACTAATACCATCCAGTGACTCTAATTCCTACCGATTGAGGATGATTCTAGAGATCAAGTAGACACTGTAAATCTTGAAAAAATGTTGCATCTATAGTCAATTCTAAAGTCTTGTTAATAGATCATGTCGTAACTGAAAGTCGTTGACAGCTGTCAGATGAGTGATGAGAATCAAATTCAGAGTATTTCAGAGAGTATACATGATATTAATTGTTTTCATTACTCACTAGTAGGAGCGTTCACTTTATTATTAATCAGTAGTTAAGGAAAACAAGGAAAACGATTACTCAGGTTGAAGCTGGCACACAAAATGGTGAGTAGAGATAGTGGAGCTATAGAAGTAGAAACATTATATTAGTTCCATACCTTCTTCAGATAAATTATTGGACAAATTCCGCAGATCAATTTCATCATCTGTTTGACGTTTATTAGCTTCAGCAGAGGTGACCGTCCATGCATAGAGGGGATCATAAAGAAGAACCTCCAAAATTGTGATGATGGTTTGAGAATTTTGACGTAGCACTTCCATCGTTTTCTCACAAGACCTTGAAGGAAACGGCAAGTTATTTTCAATCAGGCATGCTTTGGTGAATAAATTAGGTACCTTCGAAATATTCCTTCCACTCCAGAAGCTCCCATTCCATCAACTACGTCCCTCGTCAATCTGAAAGGTACTGTCTCTGGAGTAGGCAAAACTCTTCCTTGTTCAAAAGCAATACCTGTAAAATTTTAAGAAGATAAATTTCAACTTGTTTTTCGATAACAGTACTGATTTTCCATTAAAGATATTTCATGATTTAATACATAACAGAATATTTAATTGGACATTGGAAAGTAAGTAAAGTCCAAGAATACTTTTTACCAGAGCTTTGTCAATCATAGAACAAGATGTGCAATGTGCACATTAGATAGGCACTTTGGAAAGGTTATCACGTTATGAATTATCGTTCAATTGCATTAGTAGATGGCAGCATCATGTTCAGGTATCAAGGTTTGTAGAACTGATGACTTGTAGAGGAAGGTTGCCATCATCAGATACCGCGGTGAGGGGAGGTGGTAATTTGTGACGTAACCATATACAAAATTTCATGTGGGGTTCATAGATATCTATGTAAAATTGTAGATTACAGCTGAATTGGTAAATCTACTTGAAAACATAGTTATATAATACAAATTACAATAGATCCTAAATGAAATATTCGATGAAATAAACCAAATAATCATTAGTTTTACCAACCATGTCAGGTATAGAATTGATCTGACCGTGAAGTGGCATATTCTAGCAAAGAGTTCTGTGCCATAAAATTGAAGTAAGTAGACATGATGGAAATTTCCACAAAATTTGTACCTATTCTGGTTTTGAAGGCAGGACTTTTCCAACCAATAGAAAATCTCAAATGCCTTTGAAACTAGGAAGATGTTAATTGACAGAGACCCAGAGAGGTGACGCACAAATCAATTTACGAATTATATAGTATATCCGAATTCAAGAGGCAAGCCGTAAACACTGTAGCATGCAGTGATCACGCATAAGAACATGATTACTAATGCGGTTTTGCAGGCGGTACACCCCTATATACATGACGTTCCTGGTGGTTTGACCGATAAAAGAGTATTTCAAATATAATCGCGTTAGTCACTTTGTTTACCGTTGGCCTCTTAGATTTGGATAAACTATAGTGAAAAATGCAAAATTAAAACAAATGTTGCTATGTCTGCTTGGAGTGTATTTTATCAAACAACATTTTTTGTAATTGGTACATAGATCTAGTGTATTCTATACATCTGGAAGGATTTCGCCGTGAAGAAGATTGTTAAGGCCAGTGGTGGTTATACCTATGAATTTCTCAACGTATGCCTTAGCAGAAGATTGTGGAGTTGATTTCTCTTTGAAAGGTTTATGCTACCAACCCTAACAACGACTTGATGAAACAAGTTTGGATATGGTTTTCTTAAATGTGATACTTTTCTATATATGTAATGGGGAACTGGAAGATTCCTTATTAGAGCTTATTTTACGTAAGGTTGAAAAAAATATATTGAATTCCTATTTTTCTTGGGGCCACTCCAGAAGAGAATTCGGAAACAATAGTTTCGACTTCTCCACTACTCGGATGGCGTAACAATCCACCAGGCGCAAATAAGACGCCGATTTGATTGAACGTGTCAATATTAAAAATTCGGCACCGAATATAAAATATCACTATGCGATAAATGTTTGATGAAGTTTGAGGTTGACCTTTTCCGAAATCACTGACTAATTATGAATGTCATATGGAATGATACCTGAAGAAAAAACAATCCAACAAATTGCATTAGCATAATTGATGATGATGACTCCAAACAAAATTACTGACACTATAACAGTTTGTCACCAAAATGGAATGTACTAATATGCAGGTAATCTGAATCGTTTCAATAGTCATTCTATAGAGTAGTTTTATATCGTCGGCGATCTGACAATACCTGCTAAGTAACATTTTTTTCGAATATTGGTATTTCATGCAGTTATAGCTTTCAATATTCATTGCGCACAATCTGAAATGAACTGCTACCTCCAGATGAATCCTTTGTTTACTTCATTGAAGGAAAACAATATCTGCTATCGACTTCACCTGTTACTCGATTATGTTTTATTCATCTCCTGTAAAAAAACCTGCTCTGCACTATATTGCACTTAGCAGGTATTGTCAGTTCGCCGACGATATGTCACTGAGTAGTTTCAAACTTATAACTATTTTCCGAATGACCTGAATTTCATGGAAATCTGGGTTTGAAAGGTGCCTATATATTTTCAGCTAAATGATTCATAACTTTATCTACCATTTTTTGTTTTAGATTCATTTTGAGTTTGATAATGATTAAACTGTCTCTATTGGAATTTCATAACTTCAATTGGACTATTCATGTATGTGAAGGTTACACAATAAATGACCCACAAATCATCATTGTTATTATTCAAAATAATCAACACCAACCATAACAATCACACAAATATTATTTAGTTCTTTTGAAACAACACAAAACAAATGAAGCAATACCAATAGCGTAACAAAATCACAGTGAATATTTGTCTCAACTTACATAAATCCAAGTTACTCGAATTTTCACCTGAAAGATAATTTATCCACCCAACCGCCATCATACAGGGTGGACGCACTTCGAGAGGCGATAGGGCGTCTCCAGAAAATAAGAAAGTTTCAATAGAATTTTTTCATGTCCACCCTGTATCGTGGTGGCAAAATTAACTCAGTTATTTGGGTAGCATAGTGCCACTATTACAAAATGATATTTATCATTGTTTTAGAGTAATCTGAACAGATGTCTTGAATGGACAATCCGACATCCTCGGATATCTACATCAAATTTTGGATTTGAATTTGGTTATTCGGTTTTCTTCGCAAACAGGGTATCTTTACGAGTTCAACACTTGCTGCTTTGTTCTACAGAATTGCATCCTCTTTCATGTTTTTGAAAAGTTTCATCACCACCCATGATTTTTCTGAAAAATCACACATCAATACCCCACTGGTAGTCAGATTGACTAAATAATGCTACCCATTCAATCACTTTCAGGTACTGAGTTTTGCAATAGAATATCAAGAATTTTTGTTTAGCGATTCTATAGAAATTCAATGAGTTATTCTTTATTTTCAACTTCAACATTCTGTAACTGGAGAAATAAGCCTTCTACAACTTTTGTTTATGGAAACTTTTTTATTTTCTTGAGACGCCCTATCACCTCTTGAAGTGCGTCCCACATATTACGAAACACCCTGCACATGAAAGAAGCAGCTTACCATAACACAAAAGGTATATTCTTTGATAAATATATATGTCCGCCCCAGACACACTCCATGCAATTAATGAAAATGACCATCATCCTTCCAGATCTGTTCATTGCATTGATCTTGAATGAACAAAATTTAAGAAGACAATTTGCGATTCTATTGCCTAAAATGAATCTAAAGAGTCCATGTATATTATACATATCGACTTGACTAGAGAAACGCATTATACCAACGATTTCCATAATTTCAAATATTATATTTCTCAAAATGAAAAGATACTGCATTATCTACCAGAGTAATATAACTTACCAAAGTCTATATGAATTACTTCTGCAGTAGTCATATCAATGAGTATATTGCTAACATGTCTATCACCAATTCCCAGTACATAACCACACATGCTTGTAGTGGCGACACTGTGTATGTAGGCTCGTCTCCTCTCATACCAGATTGTCGGTTGAGGGAAGGAGGTTTGGAAAAATTTATGGAAAACTGGTTTGAAATTCTTGCAGATCTCGTTGTAGGTTACCAGTTTTGCCTCGGCTGACTGTCCTGCACAATTCTGTAACAAGAAACTATATCAGATAGATCTCGATATTACACATCCACATTGAATTTTTTTGTGAAACGTCTTTGAAGCAACTTCTATTCATCAAGATATCGTGACAAATGTAATATAATATTACCATAGGATATCTCGGTCCATTGAGCGAACTATAGTAATAATAAATCTTGTATATTCGTATAAGAGCTGATTTCGAATCATGTGCGCTGAACTTGCATGTGTGGACACGATGATGCTGATACTCTTTATGGTCCCAATTCAACGAACCAGTACAAGAACAAGATTCAGATGGTTCAAAATCTTGCTTAAGATTAATATATGGTATACGTAAACGTCACGATCACAAATAAACTATCTGAAGCTTGTTGGTTGAATATGGAAAGTAGACGGATTCTGCACAGAGCCTGCCTTTACCACCAACTCATTGTAAGCAAAACACCCTCGTATCTTCACAGAAAAGTAAGATTTCGGTCTGATGTCCACAATGTGAATATCAGATTTGAAGGCACTTTGTCACTACCCACTTTCAGATTACACTATTTCAAACGGTCATTTTCCTATCAGATATGTAAAATATATAACTCTATCCCTTTAAAATAAATCTAATAGTGATTATCTGGTATCTGCATGAATTTCCCTCCTCTCACCAAATTTAAACGAACTGATACTAATCTTTTCTGGATTGACATCACATTCATAGCAATACATTTTGATGCTTCATAAAAAACATGTATTTTCGATATTATGAGGCAAAGAGACGATCCAAGGTTAAGTGGAAGAACAGTTTATGTGGTGACTTGTTATTCCCACCTGAACTGAACTTCGCCTTTTACTCCCAATCAGCAATAATTATTAGTATTATTATATTGTTATTATTGTTAGTATTATTATTATTATCATCATTATTATTAGGCTGATTAATTTTTTTTGTGAGTAATAAACACGTTAATTATTATTATTATTATTATTATTAAGAGCGCGAATATGAGTTGTGGAATGCGTGCGAACAGCTCTTTAGTCGCACGAAGCATATCAAATCACACGAGTTACTGATGTACTTTTGCAGTACTGTGTGTCGCAACAACCTCAGTCGATATCAGTAATGTCATGTAATAAATCCTAATCAAATTTTCATCTATCTGAATTCGAACTTAAAAAACATTCATTTCAAATCCAATGTATTGCATGACACTAATACCTAGACAGGAACTAAAGTTTCCTATTACAACTAATATTTCCTTAACCTGTATGACCTCAGATTGAACGGAAAATACATTGATTGATTGATAGAAATTAATATTCAATCAGAGAGGGAAATATTGGTTGGAGTAGTTTGATTATGAAAAATACCAAGTCAGTCTACGTCGGGCGTAAAGCAAGATAGGTTCCCTGTGCCCATTGAAGATGGATTCTGTGATATCCAAACTGTAAGTATTGATATAATTATTTTATTCAATGAATATGTTTCTTTTACTTTTTTAAATACTCTTTTTATTTCTGTTTATATATACATAAAATGCAAAAATACACACTTTTCAGTGTCAAACTATAAGCAGCACAACTTTCAAAGAAACATAATTTGCATTTACATGTTGAGAACGGGAGCAGAATCGGTCCCGAAACGTCCAGAGATAAGTAAAAATTCGATATTTTTTCAATATATCTATATTTCTTTCCTTCAAATATTTTTTCAAACAAATTGTCACTGACAAGCGACTGGATTTTTTTTAGACTCCCTGATAGATAGATAAAATTTGTTAAACGCAGTGACATTTTGGGGCAAATCATCTGATTTGTCCCTCTACAAATATATTGAAATAATACGAATACTTTTATTTTATAGAAACGAGGAGAGAAAATCCCAAAGAATCATGTAAAATGAATTTACCACCTCCTCGATTAACCTACAGACAGTATTTTACTGAAGCTGTGTTTAATGAACTGCGTTGCCATGGTAATGTGTTTAAGAAATCGTGTTGCCATGGTAACGTGTTTAATATTTTGAATAAATCACAGATCGACAATCCGTGATTAATCGATCATTTAGCGTGGTACATATCCGTACGCTAAATGCCATTTTAGTTATGTGAGTAGAAAAATTTATTTATGTAACATATTTGTCAAGTTTAACTATTGTTTGTATTATTATTAGTGTAACATTATTTTAATATTTTACTATTTTATATTGACCTCAGGTACTGTCGACCAACATGCCTTGTAACCATGATGTATTTCGTGTAACAATGAAGTATAATTCTCTCTCTTCTCTCTATCATCTTTGAGCAAGGTGAATATTACCTTGAAGGAAGCTCTGCAAGAACCCGGCGATTTGTCGTTGGGCCTGTACATCTGATGAGCCCCAATCTTATTCTTTTCTCCTCCTACCAAATACTCCCCGATAGGCATACTGTCGTCCACCCATTTCAGTATACCGCTCCTCATCGATAACGGTACGACCTTGTACGTTCTGATCAGCAATTTCTTCGTTTGTTTGTTGATGGACAGCAGGTTGTTCATGATGTTGAAGACTTGCTGCATGACGGCGTCCTGTCGAATATCGTCTTGGCCTTTCACCAGCTGGGAGTGGACTTTGCCGTCGGTGCCCCGGCAGGTTATTTTCTTAGGTTTGTTGACACCTCCGACAGGGTGGTATACGGAGCCGAAAGAGGATATTCCTAAAAGAAGTTGAATTACAGATCTGGAAGAAAACTGGTATACAGAGCCGAAAGAGGATATTCCTAATAGAAGTTAATATACTGATTCACTCAAATTACAAAGTTTTTTTTTTCATCCAATCACTAGTGACGATGTGTTTGAAGCTATCAATCAATTGAAAAATTAGTGTTATGTTGGTATATATTGCTTTTCCACAAATATAATCAATAATGCAACAACTAATTTCATGGAATTTATTCATAGCCAGTTGGATGAAGGGAATTATGTTGCTGCATGTTTTGGGCACAAGAGGAGTATTTCTATCTTGGATAATATCATGTATCCGGTATAGAAAAATAATAGTTCAGAAAGAACAAATTACATCTCAATCTTTTGATGTCGACCTTGGTGTCCCACAATGATCGGTGTGAGGATCCTTGATCTTTCCACTTTTCATCAATGATTTTTCAGAATTTACACAACCTACTACTTTAGCGCTATTGGATACTATCTCCCTGCTGCTAGGATTTCAAAAATCAAACCCTTTTCACACACTGGCATAGATATGCCCGGCCCCTTTACCACCACTCTCAGAAAGGTCTGAGGAGCTAAGAGTTACAAATCATATCTTTGTATTTTTGTTTGTATGGCCACTAAGGCCATCCATATTGAGCTTGTGTCAGATCTAACAGCTGACGCTTTTTTAGCAGCTCTTCGTAGGTTCATAGCCAGCAGAGGGAGGTGCAGCCACCTCTACTCTGATTCGGGCACGAATTTTATAGCTGCCTCGAAATATATATCATCTCCTATGGAACATGTAGCATCTGAAGAGCAAATTCAATTCCATATAAATTGCCCGAAGGCTCCAAATTTCGGTGGCCTTTGGGAATCTGGCATCAAGTCGATCAAATATCATTTGTTCCGCGTATTTGGCGACCAGATCCTCACTTTCGAGGAGCTCTATACCGTCCTAGTGCAGGTAGAGTCAGTTCTGAATTCGAGGCCAATATGTCCCCTCAGCTCAGATCCTCATGACCTGCAGGCCCTCACGCCAGGACATTTCCTGACACTCGAGCCTCTTAACTCTGTTCCAGACCCTGATTTGTCCACTTTGAAGTTAGGTCGGCTTTCCCGCTGGCAGCTTCTTGTGCGAATGCATCAGTCCTTCTGGGACCGCTGGAACAGAGAGTATCTGCACACCCTGATGCAGAGATCAGAATGGACGATACCGTCTACACCCATTGAGCCTCAGACCCTCGTGCTTCTCAAGGATGAGCTGTCGCCTCCGCTAAAATGGCACCTTGAACGAGTCGAGGAATTTTTCCCTGGTTCAGACGGCATTGTCCAGGTAGTATCCCTCTTCTAACTCTCTCAGACTGATTTCTTCGCCTAGTAAGAAATCACGTCCTCGGTTATTCTTTTTTATCTTTTTTTCTGTACAAAATTTCATTTTCTAGGTGAGCGGGATGTTCTGTCCTCACAGAATATATTGATTTATTTTTGTCAGCTTCGGGTAATTGAAATAATTATAGTATAATTATAAAAAATATTAATTTGGCATGAGAGAATCTTATCGCTCTGTACAGTAATTCACCTCGCGCATCAATAAGCAACGAACGATTTCTGCGCAAGTCTGTCTCCAAGAGAGGCAAAAGAGACTCATAAAGGAGACACTTTTGATAACGTGAAATGCGTGCTTGGGCACACGAAAATATTCGGGAATTCTAAGTTATCGGATTTATTCCCAAATTTTCTTCTTACTAGCTTCAATGCAAGTGTCGGTGCATACCGCGAATGTGTAGACTCGATAGTGTGGATAGTGAGGACTATTATAGCTGAGAAAAATCGACATCAGGTGCCTGACAACGCCGGCCATCGGTAAGCGAACCGAATTCTATCGATGCCGCAATTTGCAAATAATTACCTTTATCTTCACTCAAATTCAAATACAGTCCACTGAAGCTTCTCTCGCCCAAACAGTTGTAGTATGATTTGAAAGAACTAATAGACAATTAGATACTTATCACTAATATATTAATACTATTCATTCAAACATAAAATTCACAATGGAAATAGAAACGGAACAGTCAATCAATCTCTTAGATTTGACAATAAGTAAAATTGGTAATCAACCTTCCTACACTGTTTTCACTATTCATAATAGTTCAACACACCCTTATCAACATAAAATTGCAGCAGTATGATAAACAGACTAGTGAATGTCCCTCTTTCAGAAGTAACATTTAATAAAGAACTCAACAGCATAAAATAGATCGCAGTCAACAACGGATAAAACGTTGAGTTGATAGACAATATTCTTTCTAAAAACTCCGTAGTAAAGCACTTCAAGAAGTTTGTCCCACCATCAAAAACAATAATCAAAATTTTAGAACTTGAACCTAATTCGGATCATCAACTGAAAAATTAGCTTCATTTCTACATAAACAGTACTTGAAAGTTGTCTAAAGAACAAATTACACGTTGGGAAGGTTTATCAAAAATAATAAAGACAAATCGTCTGAATTCGAAAACTCATGGGTATACAAAGTCAACTGTGGATCTTGTCCTAAGGTATATATTGGTCAGGCAGGTCGAACGTTCAATAACCGCATTCTTGAAGATGAGATCATGTTTTCCGAAAATGAAGGTTTATCCTATCTTTCCACAGGTATAAAAGTTAGGCGAGGCAATGTAAGTTATGTTAGCAAAACATGTCATGTAATTAGGAGTTTTGTGGAAATCTTATCGCTTGTGAAGTTTACTATGGATTTCCATCAAGTATCAGCCGAGTCAATTCAAAAAAGCTATTTGTTTTTTGTGGGGTTCAAGAAATCAATAAATATTTGAAAACAAAATCATCCGTCACAATGTTACTGGATCCTCTAAAGTAAATAAGTACTGAACTGAATCTAGAAGACTTACCCACAATTCGAGAATATTTATTTGATGGGTCAACATTCAAATTATATGTTGGCAGCAACACATCATCGAAATTCTGTATACTCATAATTTTCTGACTTCTCGGTATTTTGAATTGAGCCACCCTTTCGTTTTCGCTATTTTTATCACTATAATATGCCAAGTCGATTAGAGCAATGGAAACTTGTTGAAGTCTGTCGATGAGTGCACACAACGACTCTCGCTTTTTGAGTTTAGCCAAGAGATTTTTGGCTGTGGACACTCTACTGTCGTTCTTAGAAGTGTTGGAAGCCGACCCTTTCATACCACTATATTCTTTATCTTTGTTGGCATTGACTAGCGACAACAAGAGAGGTAAGGTGTGATGTGGATGGTCTATAGCACATTTCTCCACGATTTCATTCACTCTCCGGCTGAACAAGTCCGTGTTTGTTTCTGTGATGTGCGGTATCAGTTGTGGCAACATTGTAATGTATTTGTACGTAGGTAGTTTGTGAAGGTGTTCTTCGACTGTATCTGCTATTTGGTCGTTGTTTCGGTTTTCTAGAAAGAGGGACATTATACGGAAAATTCTGATGTTCCGATCCTCACTGTGAACCAATGTGAGGAGGTAGTACCTACAAAAATTAATTATCAGTATCTTATTGCTCGTGCATCTGACTTATGAAGAATCACATCAAAAGTTTGATACAATAAAACATTTTGCTTGGAGTACATTTCTTACTTGAAAGCCAATTTAAGGAATTGGTTTCCTTCAACTTTAGTATTATTGATTTCTATTTCATCTATGTTACTTTGCTTGTCATGTATGGCTGCAGCTTTGAGTTCATCATGTGTCCTCTTCCTTTGTTTTTGAATATTGGAAGCTTCTCTTTTCGCTTTTTCCATATTGACTATTTTTCTTTGGAATAACTCGGATTTCGTATACATCATAATCTGAAATTGGCCAAAACTAGTGAAATCATTCAATCTTCAAATGTTTGAATTTAAATCAACAATATTTTTGCTCTTCAATTTACGCTATATCTTCCAAAAGTTACCCATGAGGTCATGTGTGATTCTAGCTAGATTTTACATCCGAAAACTAAAAGTTAATGTGCTTGACTGAAAGTATCGATTGATGATAGTCATTGAGAAAATGTTCATTCTGAAACAGAATATTTCATCACAGTTTCTTTGTGCACCCTATATACCAATAATAATTATTATTATTACTCAAGCTCTTCTGCTTCATGGCCATGGCGATAATAGTACATAATATTCAGAAGAAAAATATAATGGAGAAAAGGCAGAGATCCAGAGCATCCTACCATTTTTTGCCAAAATGTTTCAATGGATTGATCCAAATAATAAAGATACTACCATTCCCGTTTTTGACAGGTATTCCTTCGAAGCAAAAGAAATTTCTCAATCCACATCAAATGCAAATACTTTCTCGTAACACGCCATTTAGCAATTATAGTGATGAGTATCTTCATTGCATGAAATAATATGGATATCCAAGTTTTGTAGGTGTCATTTCGACACAGTTATTGAAGAATTACACTAACAAGAATACAAGATTACTTAAAAAAATTCCGAGTGTTGATTCATAACTGACATGTGTGATTTGCGAGCTGATTATTAACGTTTAGATTGGCACAAATTGAAAATGAGGATATTGATCTTACAAAACGCGAATTTTTGAATCATCAGCATTATTTGCTATCAGGGTTTAATAGCTTTGTGTGTTGAGATAAAACTATGTGATTACCATTTGATACTCTCTATCTGCGAATAACGCTAATTTGTCATAGGTATCCATGATATCTTCGATGTCCTTCTCATTTCGGTTAGTTGTACTCATGAGTTTGATAGACTTCAGAAAATACTTCGAAATGATGGTAGTTCTATTCTCAGAATGCGTTTCACTCATATACTGCCCTGACAATTTCAAAGCTCTCGAACGTAACCTAAAATAATATAGTAGTTTTGGAAATATGTAAAGATATACATATCGTGTATGTATATCTTTACATGTATACTTGTAATATCTTATTTGTTGACCAATTTCAAAATTTCCGATTCGTTTCAACATGTGCAAAAAATCAGTTGGTGATATGATATCAATATGTTGAGAAACGTCTCAAACCCCTTCGAGGGCGCCGAAGTGATGGATGTAATTTCGGACATTCTCCTGAGGCATTCTTTAGAATAAAAGCAATTCAAAACCAACTTTTCAATTTCAATTTCAGATGGAAAATAGATCATTCTTAATGTAAACGTCTAGTATCTATCATCTTGAAAATTGAAATATATTTTTTCGATAAAAATATGCATGCTAATAAAAGCAATTCAAAACCAACTTTTCAATTTCAATTTCAGATGGAAAATAGATCATTCTTAATGTAAACGTCTAGTATCTATCATCTTGAAAATTGAAATATATTTTTTCGATAAAAATATGCATGCTATCACCAACTGATTTTTTGTATTTTCTATTGATCAAAGTTGGCCGTGTGAAGGAATGTTATTGCGAAAAACAGTTTGAAATCGGCCAACGAATAAAACGATACAAGGGTGGTACTACTCAAAGTGGGACACACTGTATATAATGAACACACAACACTATTTTACCTAACCGAACCGATTTTCAAATCATCGACACGTGTTCGGCCAACTCGAATGAACTAAGACTACAACAAGACTCCGTGTATTGATATGTGTATAATGTATACCTGTTAAAATGTATCCTGATGAAGGAAAATAAAATAATGGTGAATGCTGCCTTGTTTATTATTTGTTTTTTCATTATTGTTTCAGAGATAGCCTTTTCTGCTTAAAAGTAAATACTCTACTGGAAAAATCATTTAATAAAAACAGGGGGTATGGAACTGAGCAACTCTCGCTGAGGCGAAGTGAAGGAAGTAGTCTACACTCAAAGTGGAGTTGTATTTTACAACCTAAAGGAAGAAAACTCACAATCGTCTACACATAAATATTTTCAATAGCCACATAAGATGAAAATCGACAAAAACATGTTTTTGCATACTGATAACCAATAAACAAAATGTTTCGTCGAATTTTAACGTGCCCAGGTGGCTAATAAAAATATTTCTGTGGAGCCGACTGTGATTTTTCCCTTTAGTTGAGTTATATTGCTATTAATGCCATATTTGTAGAATTACACATTATGAGGATGTCCTGAAACTTATACACTGCAATTACAAAGTTCTTTCCTCTCATTGTTTACTTAATTACTTACTCACTCACTTACTAACTTACTTACTTACTTACTTACTTACTTACTTACTTACTTACTTACTTTCTTACTTACTTATTTGGATAATTGATTATAATTCTCTACACTCTGTCAGTACATGTATGATGAAAAAATGGCCCACATTACAGGGAATAAACTTATTCTCTCACTCACTCACTCACTTACTTGATATCTTCTATGTCAGCATCTTCTAACGTAGTTAGCGAAACTCGCGCCGATACGTTAAAGAATCGCTTCGATTAGTGGTAAAACAGTGTAATTAAATTATCGTGTCAAAAGTTTCAGTATTCGATATACATAGTGTTTCCGAAATTGAAGCGACAAATCAGTAATAAAAGAGAAGAAAAGAGAGTACATTTGTCAAAAAAAAAGAAGTTCTGCAAGATATTGATTTCTAAAAGTTGCCTGGAATTTTCGTAAATGAATGACTGACAATGAATTAGAGGTTAACAGCTTAACCAGAACGTTTCCTTTCGGCGAGGCAGAAGTGCCGGAAGTATGAAGTAGGAATATCCTTTCATGCGCTCCAAGAGATAAAAAAATGGCTCATGTATCACTCCAAATTCGGAAACAACCAGTATATATTGTGCAGAGACATTGAAACAATGGATTATTTGGAAAATAAGCCAAAATATCTTACTTTGGACAAATTTGTTCATTTTTGCATAGCCTATTCAGTATATGTCTGGCAACAAGCTTATTATTCACTAGCCAAGATAGTTGTGCATCTAAAAGCTGAATTTTCGTTCTGACATTCTCACTGATATCAGACATGTACTTAAGTTTCTCCAAAATAGTAAGTCCTTCTTTAAAGTGCCCTTCTTCTTTTGCCAAATCTATAAAAAAAAAATAATACAAATTGTGTTACACTTATCCTCTCAAATTTTATACATCAGCCTACTGACAAATGTTGATAGAAAATTGAAGAACAAGATTCCAACAGAACTAGATAGTAGGGAGCAGTATACACACATATTGTATTCTCTATAGTAGTCAATAGTCATCATTATATGATCTGAATCATATCCAACATGAAAAAATCGCATATTTCGAGGTGGAGTTTCCATCAGCAGAGTGTACTGGAAACACCTGTGAGAGTCTGAGAATATTATAGTAGGATGTCTCATTATTTGATCGAAAATTATAGTTAGACTGAATAAGTGATTATTTCCAATTGAAATTAAGATTATTTTGAATTTTCAGATCAACAGCCGTACGGCAGCGGTAGTCTCTGACTGTACCTGACTTCGATCTGTCAGACATTTATGCACCGCGAAGCGTACCACAATGACTTTCTTCAAAGTCAATGATTTTCCGAAAAAATGATAGATATTGATTTTTAAGACTTGTGTGACATTATATTGACATAAGTTAGTAACCAGTTATGCCAGATTTCCTTGGAGTATCTTTTTAGTGAATTATTGGTTGAAGAATAAAGTAAGGTGGTTTATTGGTCCTTGGAATACCACGCGGTACGATAATAATAATAAAATTATATATCGACGTCATAATATTAGCTTGCAGCCATTCAATCTCCTTTCACGTGAATTCAAATTTGCTATTATCCATATTGGTCTAATTCAATGTTACAAACATATTGAATAATTCATTTTACTTGATTATTCTTCATTATCATATCCTGTCATATTCCTCAGTAGATTTTTAGATAAACCTACTCAACAACTTTGGATTGCAGCGAAGAGGATACTTCGATATTTGAAACATACAATAGATTTTACTCTGACTTATGAAGCATACAATTTAGAATATCCTGAGATAATTGCATATACTGATGCTGACTGGGGTGGCGATTATCTTGATATAAAGAGCGTTACTGGATGTGCAGTCTTTTACAATAAAAATTTGGTATCTTGGATCTCCAGAAAGCAGAATGTAGTGGCTCAATCAAGTTTCGAATCCGAATATCTAGCAAGTGCTGTTGCAGCTTCAGAGCTATTATATATTCAAGGAATTTGTGCAGACTTCGGTATACAAAACTTGAAAACAATTCTGATGATAGACAATCAAAGTGCTCTACATTCCATCGAAAGTTTTGAAAATAGTAAGAGGACAAAGCATATAGACATCAAAGCTCATTTCATAAAAGATACTGTAGCTAAGGGACTGATAAAAATGATGTATGTTCCTTCAAACGAAAATGTGGCTGATATTTTTATATAATCACTCTGTAAAGATAAATTTGAATTTTTCAGAAACATGTTGAATGTGAAGGCATACTAATAATGTGATTCATTTTTATTATTCAATTTGCAATTCGAACATTCTGTGAATTATTTAAATTGAGTAGGGGTGATGAATATGTTTATGTTGATTTTGATAGAATGCCTTGTATTAAGTATCATGTATGTACTAATGACATAAATAAAATATAGTTGACAGACGTTTAAGAAAAAAAGAATTTTCTCAATAAAACCAAGAGTTAATTTTTACTTATCTTTGGACGTACACAAAATGCAAACATATTTTTTTCAATAGTTGTCTTTATATAGTTTGACACTTCTCAGTGACATACTGAAGTTGGCATATGGATGAGTGATGTTAGTACACAAATGAGTTACAGGATGTTTTCATTAATTGATCTTGAATCTACTATTTTCATCTTCAGTTTTCAGTAGTGAATACCATGTTTTATCTATGTCAACTGAACAGAAAGCAATGGCTATAGTCTCCGTTAAGAAGAAAACAGCATCACTCATCCATATGCCAACATCAGTATGTCAGTGAAAAGTGTCAAACTATATAAAAACAACTTTAGAAGAACAATATTTGCATTTTATGTTGAGAACGGGGGCAGATTCGTTCCCGAAACGTCCAAAGCTAAGTAAAAATTCGATATTTTTTCAATATATCTATATTTCTGCTCTTCGAACATTTTTCCAAACTTAAGTGTCACTGACAAGTTATTGGATTTTTCTTTCAGGTTCACCGATAAAAAAATTCGTTAAACACAGTGACATTTTTGGGCAAATCATCAATAATACTAATATATTTATTTTATAGAATAGACGAAAAAAAATCGCAAATAATTAAGTAAAATGGAAAAATTATACTTTCAAATCTGAAGTGATAGGTGCGTATTTTGGGCCTACTATTTTTTCTACAAATGTACTGTGGACATTATATTTGAACTTCTGAATATAATACTCACTTGTAAAGTCCAAACTCAAATCACATATATAATCCTTCAACTGATCATTGTGATTTTTCTTCAGATAATCAGTAAGCATAACTAATCTCTGTGTGATAATAGGCTCCACATATTGAAAATCACTTTTTTCGATAAGATTGTCGTGCGTTTTCCATTTAGTCAAGATCGACGTGATACTCTGAGTTGTCGATGTTTCAGCAAAATTTTCCATTTCCACAAGAGACTGCAAGCGCATGAGAACTGGATACAAACTTTGGCTACTTTCTAAACTGGTGTGCTTCAAATGATCGATGATACACAAGCTTTGGTTCTTTTTTGTTTCATCAAAAGCGCACTGGTTATTATCATGGAGTGCTTTGAGAGAATAGTATCTGTATTTCTCGAAATCTTCCTGCGATAAGACAGTCTTGGGTGAATTCTTCCGCTTTTCCCCACTTGTCCATTGTCCCAATCTCCACATACACTCGTATTGAGAATCTAAATCTAAATTATTCGAACATAGTAAAGGTATCTGATATAGGCTGTTCTTTTTGAAACTCTCCATGAGTTCATTCGCAGGCGAATTTTGAGAATGGAAAAGTTGCATTGCATAGAACTGAGTCACTTGATCCCACTTTCCCAATTCCTTGTAGTGTTCTACTCGGAAATGAGGCTCGAGAAGGAAGGATATTCCACACCCTGGCAGGGCATCTAAATCTCCAATGGACTTGTATGCCTGAAATTATTAAGTCTGGTCATGGGACGATTCTTGATTTGAATTTGAGAATGTCATTAGGAGGCCGAGGAGGTCATCAAAATATTATTGCTACACGGAGCATTAAAGTTATTTGTTGAAAAACGTCTTCTTTATAAGTATCTGAAATGCTATTGTTCCGACTTCCTCTCGTAGTGGGTTTGTTTTTGTTGAAATGATACATTTTTCCATGTGACTAGATAGATTCGAAGTTGAACAGTATAGTTCAACGAAGTCCTAGGAGAAAACACAGTCACTATTTTCATGAAATATTATAACACTCTCCACTGCTTCCTCTAGTTCCAGGCCCTTTTCTCAGAAGTCGGTGATTAAAATGTACTTATTATACCTAATACAAAAATATACCCAAAATACCACAATTATATTTAATAGTATTAATAACTATCTAAGATACTTCAACCAGAAAAGTACCATAGGAAGCTTGTCCTTTTCAGTTCTACTGAGGAAGGCGATCTAGAAAGAAATAATCGATGACAAATTTGCGAGTAAAATATATTCCATTTTTATCTTGGAAAAGGGAGCAGATTCGTTCTTGAAACGTCCGAAGCTAAGTGAATATCTGATATTTTTTCTATATACTCTAATACACTAATACTAATATTTCTCGAATTTTTCTTTTAGGCTCTCTGATAGAAAAATGTTTTGAACGCAGTGACATTTTGAGGCAAATCATCTGATTTGTCCTACTACACATATATTGAAATAATACTCATATTTCTATTTTATAGAAACGAGGAGAAAATCCCAAAAAATCTGAAATAAGTGTCTTTGTTTTCATAAAATAGTCCATCACCATAAAAATATCGACTTCAGATGAATTTGCAGAGTCTGCTTTAATAAATCCAGTATCTACTGAATATATCTAGAATAGCAAAAACCACTAAATCTTTTAAAAATGAAAGATATTGCAGCTGGAAGGTACTTTCTTATGTGGAACGAAACGGTATACTGTCGAATATCAGACCACAATTAGTCCACTAAAATGGTATATGCACGTGGAAAAAATCGAGTAGTCGGTTTTTCTGAAGTTTAATATGTTTTGGAGGTGCTGAATCGGAATCTGAAGTTTGCAAACAAAATTATATTATATTCGCAACGAAGAGCGGGATTTTCGCGATTGTTTTTCAGTTTTTTTGCCTGTAACTCACAAACTATACATTATAGCGAAAAGACCACCCTATAATAAGTTGAAGTTGGTGAAATTTTCTATATATAGTTGTTCTTGCTCATGAATTCAGGACTAACGAATGAGAAGCTAGAGCAACTTGAAAATAGACATAATATGCGTATTATGAAAAAAAAAAGTTCTTCCGGTGCTACTAATCAGAGCCAATAGCTCCGGGGTTGTATCAGAAGTCTGGGGTTATATTTAGATGACCAATAGATGAGGGTAATCCTCAGAATGTACAATTTTATCGTTGCTACATCGCCATTTGGCGGGTGCTGGTACCCTGAAGTATACGGTTCTGGAGATGGTGCAGGTAGAGCAGATCGTGTTTGCTTCGGTGTACTCTCATCCTCTATCTGGTGGTATATGAGGAAAATTTGTTTGTTTGTTTCCTCCGCTAACGAATAACAAGAGACAGGTGTTGAACACATCACTCCACCTACAGTTGATGTCAATATACTTGAGTACTGTGACAAATCAAGAGTCGAGGTACACGATGACAAAAGTAATAACTGACATGGCCAGGACTCTTCCACATCAGGCAGTGTAGTTTGTTTCTTATAGAAATCAGTAGATTATGAATTATCTGCGAGCACCGTCGAAGAATACAATTCTTTGGAAAATACGCAAACTTGGTATATTTTCAACTTGCTCTAGCTCCTCACCCGTTAGTCCTACATCCATAAGTAACAGCGATTATATATAGAAAATTTCGACTACTTCAACGTTCTATAGGGTGGTCTTTACGCTAAAATGTATAGTTTTCGAGTTGAAGGCAAAAAACTGAAAACGTGCTAAAATTTCGCTGATTTTTGCCAATATCTCGGAATGCTCCTGGAAATGTTATTTGCATACTTCAGATTCAGATTAAGAATTCAGCACCTCCAAAAACATATTAAACCGCAGAGAATCCTAGTGGAATGTTTTGCATGAGATGATCTTTATTATTACCGTTTTACTGAGCTTAATATGGAAGGTGACGTCACAGTCAGTTCTCTCGCTTTTTAATGCAGCTCCATTTTCTACTCTTAATATCTAAGTGGTGGGCAAGTTCAAGAGCTTGAAATTTTACTAGTTATTTTGATCATTGATGAGTTTTACAAAATAACGTGAAAATAAACGAGTAAATATTTCATTGATAACAAGCCCATTAGTGAACTCAAAAAATCTATTGATGTTATACATATTCATGACGTGCTATATTTTTCATGAAAATGTCAAATGATTTCACTTCCAGGATGCCACTGAACTGGTGAAAATATGTATTTTGTTGCTCAAAAACAAACCCACCAGGAGTATATGGTCGAACTGTACCACTTGAAACTTTAACTGAATACAAAATGAAGTCTAGACAATATTCATTGGACTTCAAGATAAGAATACACAATATGATTCTCAAAAAACCATAATAAACACAATATGTTCAAGTGAGGCAAGAAAAAAAATATACCTTCAGCCACCTAGTGGCAAAAGTATATAGTAGGTTGTATGAACAAACCATACCCGTGAATCCATCGAATTCAAGCATATAAGTAAGCTTGTGCAGAGATACAAAATTTCACAATTTTTCAGACTATTGTAATACCTGAATTTCAAAGTGGTTTAATGTCCCAGTGGCGATGTGATGAATACCTATAGTATATTCCATCAAGAATAAAGTAGATGTCATGGTTAGCAGAGCTCGTTTCATACTAGTGAATGAATGAATATGAATGAATGAAAAATATTAAAATATCATCTAGGACTACCTCTCTTACTAGGTACAAGTCATTATAGTTTTACAAATTACATAATATTGGACATATTAATTACATTATTGATAGTAAATATCTGAGAATAATTGCTATATTTTGCAGAATAGGAATTCAAATTGGTGTCCGAGTGCAGAAAAGCCTTGGAAAACCTGGCAAAATCAAGAAAAGTCAGCCTCATGTGGGTCCCGGGACATTCAGGAATACCCGGAAACGAGGAGGCAGACAGAGTGGCAGAGATCGGTTCAGGACGGACCTCGGTCGGACCGGAACCAATCTTGGGAATACCAAATAGCCTGACAATGTCCTCTATAGAGGAACAGCTGCAAAATCAATTACTCAAAATATGGCAGGACACATCAAGAATGAGACAATCGAAGCTCCACATAAAGGAACCTTCGAAGAGGCTCGCAAAAGAGGTTTTATTCCTAAACAGGCGAAACCTTAAAATGGTAGTGGGGCTCCTAACGGGGCACAACCACCTCAATAGGCACCTAGAGCTTATTGGGATCAAGGATGACCCCCTTTGCAGATGGTGCCTGGAAGATGACGAAACGTTGTAACATAATTTTGTCACCTGAGTCAACAGCATGATCAGGAATACAATAGGCCCAAAGGCTGCAGTGTTTTGGGCTTCAAACCCTGACTGATCATTCTGCCATTAATCAATCAATCAATCAATCAACATAATTTTGAGGCCAGAGGACGTAAAAGAGATTCAGCTGAGGAAGCTGCTGAACTTCTCCAAGGCAGTCGGCATACCCAGCTGAATGTCGTAACATGTGGGCGCACAATGGGCCCGAATAAGGAGGCCCACGTGAAGGGGGTTCACCCGCCCACCAGTGCTTCGAAGAAGAAGAAGAAGATAGGAACTCAAAGAAATCATTGGTTTTTAAGCTAATAACCACAATAGGAATATCAATGGTCAAAACTGAGGTTATACTATCTTGGTGTTAGTGGCTACTGGACCGGTAACGGCCGACTATATATGACAGTGATTGTCGAATCCGTGAATTGCCTTATAGCAGGATGATTAACCACAAACACAGAAATATAAATAAAATATCAATAGTCAACCACCACAATTTTGATTTTTTCAAACTGTTTATAAACAATCGACCGGTCAACTAACCAATTTCATTGTTCCTTATCTATAACGAGTGTAAACTTGCCTACCGTTCAAACCAATGAAAAGCACGGTTAAACACTTCCCATCTCACTATCCGATTTATTCTTAACTGGAATAAACCACCTAGAGATACATACTTACATTCCTCAATATATTTTGCAAAGCTTCACCCACTTCTGCCCCTTGATGTTCATAAATGAAGTCCAACATTGTCGAACGTTTTTCACAATAACTGACGTCTTGGTTTTGAATATCTTCTATCTTTAATTGACACCATAGTTCAGCATAAAGTAGAGCAGAAAAATGAGCAGCACAGAATTCAGCTGATTTGGCAACTTTTAGGTAGTTGATGTTGAGCTCACCACTAGGTCTGGATTAATAAAACGAAAATATTACTATTTATTAGTAGCACCTTTAAGCATGATGCGATAGCACAAGAAAATTATGTAAGCAAACAAAAAATGAAAGTACAGAATGGTTCAGGGGCCGTGTTGCGTATGGATAATCTTACTTGGATTTAGAACTGCTGAAACTCCTCTGCAGCCTAATGAAACTCACAACTTCCAGCATGCATCTGACAGACTTCTTATTTAGCGTTATCGAATTTTGTTCCACATATTTTGGTACAGCATATTGCCAATGTTGATCGAAAAAGTAGTCAATTTTCTTCAGTAAGATGTTGGTGATTCTGCTGTTGTTTAGTGAGAGAAATATATTGACAACGAGTGGTAAGAGTTGCTCGGCAAATTCAGACTGAAAGAAGAAATTAAATTCATCTACTTACTCGCACTATTGTTGACATTGTCACATATATGGAGTAATTAAAATTGTGGACATCAAGATCAAATGATAAATGGTTCAGTCATTGAACGGTTGTGCCTTTGTTTATAAATTCCAAAACTGTTGAAGCATGGAAGGCTTCTCGGAAAGTAGTTGAACCTAGAGGATTTCACGGATCAAACGATGGAGTTCAAAGTTAAATATCTCTGAATTGAAAATTAATTATGGGTAGCTGCAAATTTTGATGCATTCACCAGAAAATATAACATCCAATGAAGAAATGCTTTTCATACAAAGGCGATGTATAAAACGAAATAATTTTCAATACAAAATTCTAGACAAATTATTTGGATACAACCAATACAGGTAGAATGTACCAAATAAATACTCAAACTGGGTAAACATGATTGAAAGTAATTTATATTTTCACAAAAAAAAAACTTGATAGCATTAATCCTGTCACCTACATTGTAAATTTCATGCCAAAATTTGAAAAAGTATATTGTTATTTACCTTCACTTTGCAAACTGGTATCAACTTTTGTAAGTATGACTGATACGTGAATGTATCTAATAACTCTGACACTAGTGTTATGATCCAGTTCTCATGGTTGCTTTTTTCTTTTGGACACCACAAGCTATCGTTTGGTATATTCGAATTGAACTTCTCTTGATCCACAGCTACTCTTGATGTTGAAGAGGCCTTGTTAGGTGGGTAAAAGGGAAGAATATATTTTTTATTGATTGGTCCATTACCAAAATCTGTATTTGATTCTGGAAAGGAATACATAACTGTAGCTATTTATTTATTCATTTATTGATTTATACACAATACGGAATACGAACGGGACTAACCCAAAAACAGTATTCATAGATAGGCAATGAACTCAATGATCTCAAAATACAGATTCCTAACAAATTGGATAGCATTTTACAAAGTTGATAAAAAATCAATTGGAGTAATGAATAATTGAGTAGGCACAGCACATAAGTAATGATTGAAATGTGTGGATATAAACAAGTGGAATAATTGTATTCAATACATATCAAAATCAAGTTGGTGAAGAAAGGAAATGCTTTTTCAAAATGTAGGAAAATTTTGCAAGTGAGTAAAAGAATATGCCTTGCTTTCAATCAACACACTTCTATACTTTGACAACTGTAACTGTTACTACGGTCACTACCGTCAGATAATTTTCGAGTTTTCGTAACACAACGTCGTTTCTTTTTCAAAACGAATTGTCTTTATACTGTAGTTGTGTATTAATCTCCCTAAAATACATTCGAGAAATGTATTTATTGATAAATACATTTCGAATTCTATTCAAATTTCATTGTCATTTGACAAAAATCTCGAATCAAGGAAAATATAAAAAAAAATCACTCAATTGATTCTCGATTGTTTGCCATGACAATGAAACTTTCATATCATTAAACATATATTTATCGTTAAGAATATTATCTCTTATGTATTTACCACCGACAATAAAATCCCATCGTCTGACAGGGTAGTTCAAATTATTGAGGGCAGCTAGGTTTTCTTCAAAGGTATCAAGCAATTTACACAAAAGAGCGGGATTCTCAGAAGCCATCCCAGGAGCATTATCAATTCCATTCCAGTGCGATGTTGCCAAGTCTTTCATCAAAATATATTTCAACTAAGGCATTGTAAGCTAGCGGCAGTCAACGTATGTCATATTACCACATTCTTAGGTGGACGTCCATAACAGATGGGAAATGTTTGATTTCTCCGTTGAATTTACTAAGTGTAAACTCTGGCAATTTTATTTTCTTGAAGAAGAAGTTTGTTCAAGTGCGGTGGAATTCAATGGAATATCTCTTTCGAAAAGTTCGTAATAAACGGATTTTATTGTAAAGTATTCATCTTCAAAATCAGTTCGGATGATTTCCTGTTTCTAAAACGAATTCAGCATCACTGGACATAGCAGCATTTTGTTGCTTCAAAAAGTTTTTGTAAAATCTTTCTATGAGTTTGAATCGTTGCATAAAAACAGGATGGCTCTGATTCATCACTCTGAGATCTAAATGCTAACATAATAAAAATCAGTGATTTTATTAATCTCAATAGTTCTAAGACTTTTTGCCCTTTACAATATTTCAATAATTATTTCCGAGCCGACCATGTGTGGTTTTGAATTCACCTGTTGTATGTTCACAAGAAACCAAATATAGGCGAGAGACAAAAAGTGTTAGCGAGGATCGAGCAGGTGATTTACCGGTAACAGAATGGTTGTTTTTTGATCTGATTCGCGCGGTTAGAATAATTATAGACTCTAGTATTTCGGCGTTTGAAATTGAAACAGATTTCAATAGAACTAATGGCGAATAAGAACATATTTATTACATTTCAAATATCCGGCTCAAAGCTCCAATGTTGCGGATGGAATCATAAAAGCTGATTTCGAAAAGATATTCAAAACCGGCCACGTTTTCCTATACCTTCTTCATTTTCTTCCACGCCAAAGACTCATCGACATCGTCACTTCAGCCTGGTACACTAGTCCCCTTTTTCTTCCTGATAAAGGTGATTTAACTGACCAGGCACTCATTTCGATTTCGAGATTTTTTAGATGGCGGGTGAAAAAAAAAACTTGTGAAATCCTACAAGTATGGTATATTCAGAACCACCTTGATGAGATGTACCCACCATTGAAGTTTTTCCGTTTCTCAATGGGACACCCTGTATAAGTTGCTCGGCTTTTTTCTTAAACATACAGATTGGTTGGTTCTCCAAAGTATATCAGGAAGGAGGTGGTAGATAATGTGATTTTGAACATATTTCACCATATATATTATTATACAAAGTGTTTCGAGTTATCATCACTATTAAATTCGTAGTTAGATGTTTTTTAAATTCTAACGAGCCAAAATATTTTTTATCACATTTAGATCTCATAACGTGTTCAATATCAATGAAATTCAACTAATTAAGGAAGAAAGATACAATCAGATATTATTTTTGACAAAATTATGATATCTCGAAATTCGTAACACTTTGTATGGTTAAATATGTTTGAAATGTTCTAACGTATCACCCCCTTCAGATATACGTCGGTAAATCAAACACCCTGTATATTTGACAGATGATTTGATAATTATAAATCGCATTGAGAGTTTTTTTCCAAAAGGTTTTAAATTCTGGCGTAGTGTTAAGAATACTATTTTAGGAACTATCGACAGGATTCTACTTCGCGAAGAATGTTGCCGTTTTAGCATTATTATGATAGTGAGAAAATGCATTTCCAAATAAATAATAGAAATGGTATCATGAATAACTATTAACCTACTCTCAATATTTTTCTGACATGCCCAACACCACATACTCAATAGTCATTTTATATTGATGCATGAAGCTATTTTCTATTATATTTGGCCTCGTCTCGTGAATACAATCAATAGGTGTATGTACCTTGTATGTACCACGAGGCCAACATATAATTAAGAACGAACATCACTGGGGTAAGTTCGTTTGATCTTATAATTTTAATTGATGATTATAAATGAATAAAAAACTAACCTGCAATTGTTCTTGCTTCCCTACAGTCCAATACAGTATAAAATGTTTCACTAGCTGTTTTCACCACATTTATGTTACTATCAACTAGGTATTCAATCAGTAAGGATATAACATGTCCCGAAAGGAGCTCGAAAGCCGAGCATTTCAAATCAGATATTGTTTTCTCAGGCTGCAAAACTAGTGTTTGTAGATTTGCTGGCCCAAGTTCTCCTAAACATCTGATTGCTTCAAAACTAACCTGAAATTCACAAACAATTTTGTAATTGTAAATGTAATTCTTATTGTATTGTTTGAATGAAAAGTACTTGTAGAAAACAAAATTACCTTGTTAGCCAAAATTATACATTACTGGCAAAATATGATAAAAAAAACATTACTCACGTTTTGATTTCTCGAACAACTGAACTTGGATAAAGTACAAATCAATCTGTGCAAAGAGCTCTCTTCACAATCTTCAGAAAAACCTCTAATGTTCTGGAGTTTATCATACAATTCCTTAAGATCATTCTTTCGCTCAGACAGAATCTTCCTCAAATGAATTAAACTATCCTGCTGAGTAGAAATATCTGTATGTTTCAAAAATAAATTGATTTCATCTTCCAACGAAATGTCTTTCTGGCCATAACGTATTTTGGAATGAACTGTTCTGATTTTCTGGAAATACTGATGGTTGGGAAAGTTGTCCAATTTTTCAATTTGACTCATCAACTTGGAAGCATTTTCCACAATCAAAAAATTCAGAACATCCATGCAATCCACGGAGATCACACTCTGAGACACAGCAAAGACTTTCAGTGAGTTCACTATAAAAGTAAGGAACTGTCCTAGTGTGTCAGGATACGATGGTAATATATTTCTGAAGAATATATTCAGAAATTTACATGCACCCCTTGCCACACAGGGTGAATCTTTTTGTGTAGCTATAATATTTATCAATGTGTGTATGGTATCTCTTAGGAAATAGTATTGCCATTCGCTGTTCTTTGCCATTATCTCACTAACAATCGTAACAAAGAAGGTATATCTATGAAGAGCTTTGAGTTTTTCTTCAGTGGAAATGGCATTGTGAAAATCTAATTTCACAGCCAGCAATATTTTCTCCATCTTACCCAAATTAGTTTCACATAGGAATTTTACTAAACTTTGGCCATTACACAAATATGACTGAAACATAAAATTATTCAGCATATATTTTAAATAGTAAAATCATTTTTCTTACCTCGATAAAAGTCAAGCATGTTTTCAGCTGAGCAACACTGAGGTTTTTTGAAGGAAATATGACTATTTCTTCGAAAGTGTTTTTTATGTAAATTTCATCAGTCAAGAATTCTAGTACACCTAGAATCAATGTTTCCAAATTGTTGGTTAGAATCTGTTTCAGATTACTACTGCCCACAATCGTTGAGTAATATGAGAGTGATTTATTACGCTCAGTAAGATGTTCTCCCATGTTTTCAATGTCATTACAGATGGCCTTAGAAAATATTTTAGCAGCAGTTTTCTGAAAATACAAGAATTAAATAAACTATCTTATGTTCAGAAAATGATAATGATAATAATAATGAAAAGATCGAATCTTCTTTTGATATTAAATATTTGTCAATCTCGAATTGTATACAGAGTGCTTCCCAGGAACGGTCCATATCTTCAGATGGTGAATTCCTTCTGAATTTGAAGAAGAGTTCCCATGAACATATTTTCGGAAATGGCTACATTCCGAGATACAGGGCAAAGAGAATAATAGACAAATCAATACGCCACTAGAAGACTAAAAACTTTCTGAAAAATCTTGAAGTTATATTTTTTAATTGATATCTGTGATCCCAAATTCGTTCAATAGGCTAACATTTTCAATCCCACTAGTTGGCGTTACTAGAGCGCGAGGTCTAGTCAAAGTCAAAATTCTACGAATTTCATCGGATAGTAAGTCTTAAGGCTCCATTTAGTACCGAAATGGGACGAAAAACTATTTCCGAAAATAAAATAATGTGAAAGGCATTGTCTTATAATGGTTGGTACAATTAGTTATACGATTCAAGAATTCTTATGGAAAACTATACTAACCAGAACTCAAGGTGAATTGTCAAAGTGACAAAACTGTACATATCAAGGTCCACAAGATGTTTATTATTTATTGATGATCGCTCTCATGTACGTGTTCTTCATTACTATACACACTATTAACGGCATTCAATGAAGGAATATGAGTGAACTACGTGTAGGACAAATATAAGTCCTAAATGATCACCAGGTGTCTCTAGGGAAGCTTTCAATTTCGAAGATCTATCCATGAATTCAAAATTATCGATCATAATTCATTAATGTAAAATATGAAAAATCTCATCCTTTATTTCAATTAGAGGTGAATTTTCGAAAACGTCTCGAGATAGTATTCTAATATAAATGATGGATATCGAGAAGGCCGTTTTAGAATATAATGAATCGAATGGCCAGGCCATGGTTTTAGTCACCGTTTTCGATTTTTGTTCAACTGAAATGAGATTTTTCCATTTTTAGTTCCACTATGTATATTTAACTATGGTGCTTCAATCGTCATTCATCGGCCTCCAGAAAACATGGAAACAGTTCTTCCCAATATTCAGGTCGAGTGGGGTGCACTTCAAATGTAGACCATAGTGTGATGGTTCCACTTTACACCGTGTGTAAGTTTCGTTCGGCGGACTTTTTCAAAGTATTCTAGCTCATTAGGAAGTCCATAAAATATCACATCTGATATCGAGATTTTTTCAAAAACTACAGGTCGTTGGAAATGGTGTTTAGGAGTATGTATATTTAAATACCAAAATCAGAAATAGCAAAATTCACAACTATTGATTAATCTGAAGTTATTTCAGATTTCAATATAAATCAACACTATTCAGGCAATTTTGAGAAAAATCCGCAGTTCTGATGAATCGAATTGTGGCAAACTTCAGGTATACAAATTCGAAAAAAATATTTGATTGAAGTATTGAAACATATTAATAGTAAAGTTGCTATTTATGACGATGATATATCTCCGAATTGACAAGTTGGTAAAACTGATTATTCTCTATTGAGGAAGGTTGTCCTGATCAGAAAACGCGGTGAGGGGATGATACTCATAACCTTCCTGTTGATTGACGCGATAGGAGATAGTAAATTTTACCAATGCAAATATCTAAATAATGATATTCATTGATATATCAAATTCAGCGCTCAACGTGAAATGGTAAATATTTTGCATCAAATTTCCATCTGTTTATGTTCAAAGGTAATTTTTTTGTAGATCACATCATATCACATTTTCATTTTGTTCTTGTACCATATGAAATTAAGACACGAAACAATATTATCTAGCTATATAACGAAAAATAGATCAATTGAATCGTGTAAATCTGATTTCTGCAATGAAGTTATAATAGACCATTGCAGTTTAGAAGTCTATGTTTAAATGATCAAATACAAAAATATACCCAAAATACAACAATATTAAGAAAAGCCAAAATTATTACTATGGTTGATTGTAGATGAACATTTTATTGGTAGAATAAATTTTGAGATATTTTCAAACCACTAGAAATAAGTACTTTCTAACGCTCTTCCTCCCGACGTCATCACTATCCTTTAGGACTTCACTGCATGCTGCGCAAGACAATTCCCCCTAGGTACTCATTTACGAAATTCCAGAACTACATTATTTAGTTTGTTCATTCCTGTATTTTGTAGCTTTGAACTATTTAAATCTCATCATCAGCTGGTGAATATGCCATGTGAATATCAAGCTTTAACCTCGTGTATTGACGCATGGATATATAGAATATCTGATGTTTGTGGAAAAACAATTTTATGTCTGTGAAAAATACAATTTATGTTCACATCAGAAGTTTCGGCCTTTTATTACAAAAACAAATGGAACTCACCTCAACAACTTTAGTTTCGGTCCATTGGAGTTGCTTTGCTGCTGAAAGTAGATCTTTTTTATCACTCACTATCAAATATGGGACACATAGTTCGAAATATTTGAGATAAAAAGCCTCCTTGGTGTCACATTTAAGTAGTTTGAATTGAAAATTATCGAATTGAAGACCTTCCCTCAACCACCTTTCTATGAGACGTTCCAAATATTTTTCCATTATATTTGAATTGGCATCACCCAATAGATGCTTGCTGATAACTTTGAGTATTCGATCAATGGAATCTAAAATATGGCATAATGTTACTGTTTCATAGACTATGCGGGAAAATAAACCATTACCAAAGTATATTTTTTACATCGTTTCTATCGTACAAAAGATAAGAGGGACATATTCATTAACCCAGTCTCTCGTTATATACAATTTTCGTTTAATTTCCTGAATATTTTGTAGAAATAAATCAGTTTTTAACTCTTTTTGTGAATTGAAATAGAATAATTCACATTTTATCTGAATTGGGGGTGTTTTCTGAGAGCTGGTTTGTAGGAGGGTTATTCTAATGTTTTTATAAAATGTGTTGTAGTGTTAGGAAGAGAATTATTGTTTCGTGAAATTTATTCCAGAATATGTGTGAGATCATGAAAGTTATCGAGACTAGATACAGATAGCATAGTTGAGAATTTAAATGGCCTCTGGACATGGAAGAACATTATTTGTATGTCCATGAAAATCAGACAAAAGTATCTTCCTCTAGAATTGATACTTGATGGCGAATAGAGCAGATATTCAAGTTCATCAACAATTCAGCGTTATATACATTAGCCTGCATGGTCATCAAATCATTAATTATTATCAAATGTGGATATTATGTATTTTGTTCCTCTAACATTCCACTTCACTTTGTGAGACAATGGAATTCTACCTCGAGTTCTTCTAATATAGGTATCTATCAGAATTATATTACATAAAACAACAGAAACAAACAAATAAAAGGGAAATTCAATCAGTGATTCACGAAATAAGAGAGATTGGAACATAATGTATTTTTTGATTATGCAAGTGACATTAGATTAGACACAATTCAGCTAATATTTAATTTTGCATAAATGAACCCTGTAATAATATTTGTCAACTATTCCCTAGAATATACATATAACGATTCAACCAAGTAGATGAGCTAACAAATGTTAACGCAAAATAATTTATCGTAATCATTACACATGTGTTAAAAATATGTCTGAAGGAGTCGAACTGGGTTCATAATAATTCAATACCCCAAAAATTATACGAATAATTTCAGGTGACCCAATATTCAAATTTCAAGGTTGACAGTTCTCGATCACTATACATTGACAGAAATGCATATTACCTACATTACTCAGAAAGAACCGTAGCCGTGATCATTATTTTTTGAATCATGGGAAAAATAATTTATGCCATTCACTGAAAATAACACTAACATACACACCTTCTTAAGTTTCATGTTAATTTCTGTAAGTTATATAATAAACCTACCATTGAACAGGAGTTCTATTCGTTCAATAGACAAGTTCAATAGACAAAAAATGTCACACGAAACGTTACAAAATTGACTAGATCTTACCGATTCCTTTTTCATAGGAAATTTTCATTAGACCAAAAAGACACTCTTCTATCCAATTATTGCCATTCATTATTATTCCAGAAAATGTGTGTAACACACTGGCAGTCCGACAAATAACTTCATCTGTTCGTCTCTCATCAGTACTTATTGCTCCAACTTCAAATACCTTGTTACTCTGAAATTGAAATTAAACATCATAATTTTAACCGTCTTTTGTTCCCTAGATGTATTTTAATCACCATTTCGTAAATTTTGGCGAATATCTCTTCTTGTCTATGGAAGTCACGAAGATGTTTTATACGTGAATTCGTCGAAAAAAATACTACCAAGGTATCAATCGCTTTGAATCTAACCTCTTGAAAATCGCTGCTCAAAAATTCTGGTACATATCTAACAACCTCAATATCGAACCAAAGAGAAAATTTGCATTGAGGATCTATCTAAAAAATATATAAGATATCCATATTCCTAGTAGTGGATATTGATGAAATTCATGGCCTTACACATCCTAGGCAAACAGATGACGTTGCAGTGATGTTTTTTTACATTAGTAGATGACCAAGTCCACGTAATGAGTTGTTAAAATCAAATGAAATGAATGAGTCACATCGTTTACGTGACTAACTCATCTGAATCTGTATTAGAGAGAGATATCTTTATTGAACCAATAAAACATTTTTAAATTCTGATGTAGGTCCTTCCTCTAACAATACCGACATGCCTTTTTGTTAAGCTATTTAACTTACAACAGCCAGTCGGCATTGTCATGTACTTTACAGTATTAACCATCCAGTGGTGACGTGGTTTTACGAATCATGAGCGGTGATGTCGGTCAAAGAAAAAATAATAATATAGCAGATTTGTTCCATCACTGGTGATGTCGGTCTGACAGTCCGAAAACAATAACTACTAGCTTCGCGCTAACGCTAGCGCTATCTGATTCATAGTGCGTGAAGAGAACAAAAAAAGGTTAAGCTAGAGGAAAGCAGTGGAGGGGGGATCGCGAGACAGCGCCAAAATTAAAAAAATAGATTCTGGTCGGTCTGAGAGACAGGTCACCACTGCAGGGTTAACACAGTTATTACAGGTAAGACTGCATTAAAACAGTATTGCAGAACATTTTGTACACGTTAGTTTACATTTATTCACTTTGGTCTAGTTTAGTAAAGTTTAAGGGCATCTTTAAATTTTTTTCTTGAATACCATTATTGGAAAACAATTCTTTATGGAAAGGGAGCTCATTGTACAAAGTAACACCCTTGATAAATATTGTTTTGACCATGGGTTGTAAAGAACCTTAATTGTTTCCAAATCACTGTTATGTCTTGTATTGTGGTGATGAATATCATTTCTCCTGATAAAAGTTAGGTTAGACAGCCTCTTAGAATTGATGATTTAGTAGTAGTAGTAGTAGTAGTAGTATATATTCTGTTTAAAAATTTACAAGAAATCTTACATCGTCAAAAAAAAAACATTTTGCAATAGTATAAAACACGGCACAAAATATTGTAAAAAGATAAAAGTTTATAACAAAAAATAGTACACTATACATAACTAGTATCATATTTTCAAATTTTTAATGGAATCAATAATATCTTGAATATTTTGAAAAGCATTCTTCAGCAAAAACGATTTTATTACAGATCTGAAACGAGGCATACTCAAGTCTTTAATATCTTCGTTCAAGTTATTGTAGGTCAACAAACCATAGTAAGAGGTTCCAGTCTTTGATCTGTTCAGGCGTAATAAATTTGGATAAATGTGATTTCTATATCTAGTATGGTAATCATGATTTTTTTTATGCAACGTAAATCTATCAGGGTTATTTTTTACAAATGTTAAACATTCCAAAATATAGACACAAGGTAAAGTGAGTATTTTTTGCTGTATGAATATATTCTTAACATCTTCACGATAGCCCACTCCTCCCACGATTCTAACAGCTCTTTTTTGGAGCTGGTAGATTCTATGCCAAATTGTCGCATGTCCCCAAGCGAGTATTCCGTATATCATTCTCGAGTGGAATAGCGCAAAATATGCTGTTAGTAGGATATGTTTGGACGTTTTGAATGTAAGTTGTCTCAGAGCATATATAGTTCTGGTTAATGATGTTGCTAGGTTATTCCCCTGGACATCCCATAGTTGTTTTGGATCTATGTATATTCCCAGGAACTTCACAAAATTCGGGTTATCAGATTGATGGGTCAGATCTTTCATTGATGATATCATCGTTACTGTCTTCGTCTGATTCAGAGCTAGTTTGTTTGTTGCAAACCATGCGGCAGCCTTCGACTGTATATCTCCACATTGTATCAGAAGATTGTCTAGTTCGGCTCCACTTGTAGAGATAGTGGTATCATCCGCGTAGAGAGTACATCTCAAGTTATGCATCGCCATTGGAAAGTCGTTTATATATATGAGGAATAGCACAGGCCCTAAAATAGAGCCTTGTGGTACTCCATTTTCGATTACTAATTGTTGTGATATATTTTCATTAAATAAGACAGATTGTTTACGATTCTTGAGGTAATTTTCTAAAAGCATTATGCTGTTAATGCCGAAACCATAACTAGGCAACTTTTCAACAAATATTCTGTGAGATACACAGTCGAAGGCTTTACTAAGGTCACAAAAGACAGAAGCTGAGTATGTTCCTCTCTCGAAAGACTCCAAAATCACATCAATGAGGTTGAGAATCGCGTCAGTGGTTCCAAAGTTCTCTCTGAATCCATATTGGTTTTGATTTAGAATATTATTTGTTTCAAGATATGATACTAGTTGTATTTTTAATATTTTTTCGTAAATTTTCGATAAAATCGGAAGGAGAGATATGGGTCTGTAGTTGGAAGCTTCGTTAACGTCTCCCTTCTTGAGAATTGGAATAACAGTTGCAACTTTCAATAACTCTGGGAATTCGTTGAGCCTGATAGCTTCATTTATTAATTTTGTGAGAGGTATTATTATGATATTTTTGATTAATTTTATCAGAGGTACATTCAAACCATAAACATCTCGACTCCTGCTATTTTTGAGTGAATGAATTATGTCCCTCACTTGATTGAAACTAACTTCAGTGAAGTGAAAATTCGTTTGTTGTTGAAGATTAAGATTCTTAACATACTGCAAGGGATCCTCATTATTTGTTGGGAGTTCATTAACAATATCATCTGCCACTTTCACATAGTACTCATTGAAGTGATCACTAGTAAGTTGGCATCTTTCAGGTTTTATTTGTGTTTTATTCGCGTTGATTAAGTCCCAGACTGTTTTTGAGGGGTTAGTTGAAGTATTTATGAGATGATCATTCACCCTTATCTTTGCTTCTTTAATAGCTTTTCTGTAACGTAGACGATAATCATTTTTTATTGTACGATTGTCTAGTGTGTTATTTTTTTTGCATATTTCAACCAGAAAATTTAACCTTTCTCTCATGCTACGTAATTCATCATTGAACCAGTTATTGCTTGGTATTTTATTAGATGCACAAGTGATTTTTTTTTCAGGAAAGGATGTTTCATATGCTTTAATCAGAGTTTGTATGAATAATTCAAACTTGTGATTCAGATCCAAAGCTTTGTTATCAATGAAATGATTTGGTATATATAGACATATTTGGTCTGTGTAAAAAGCATTTAGGGACATAATGTTAAAATTTTTATAGAGATCATTTGTGTGATATCTTCTGTGCAATCCATAAATATTTTTCATTGCTCTATTTCGTAAAATCTCAATTGGCCTGATCACCATTTTGAAGGAAGAGTACCATAGCAGAGTAAGCTATTGTATATGACAATGTATCAATTAATAGTAAATTTCTCTTAAAAGATGTTTCGGTATGCAATTATTCAACTTCCATAACATACCTATTGGAGCTGCAATCTTAGATCTCAGCCTGTCTAAATGGATTTTCCAGGACAAAGTTTCATCAATGTAAAGACCAAGGTACTCAATAACTCGAGTGTATTGCAAGGTTGTATTACCATATTGTATGTTCACTTGAGAATAAGGGGTTTGTCTTGAGATTATTACATATGCAGATTTATTTACATTTGGTATTGAATTTTGAGTGACTAACCAGGTAGAAATATTTTGTATGTCTTCTACAATATTAAGTTTCAGTTCATCATAGTTCCTAAGAAATAGTTTCATAGTATTATCTGCATATAATTTTGTTTCACCTTCCAAATTTAATTTTGATATTGAGTTGACAGTAACAAGAAATGAAGTTGGTCCTAAAATAGACCCTTGCGCCACGCCACATTTGATTTCTCTTTCTGTGCTTGAAAATTTCTCCATTGAGATAAACTGCTTTCTATTTGCTTAATAATGTTTGAACCAGACATGACAATTTCCTCTAACGCCCAAAGAGATAGGAGTTTATGGTTTCAGTGTCGAATATGACTTTCGTAAATCAAGGGAAACCATACATTTTTTCTTATTTTCATCTATTTCTACTTGTACTTCAAATAACATGTCTATTGTTGCTGTGTCACTTGATTCGCGAAATACATATTGACGTTTTTAGAAAAAATTACCCTAGTGTTTACAATTTTGGCAAAACTTATATTGGTCGGTAGTTGTTCACTTGGTCCTTCTCACCGCCGCACCCTTACAATTTTAATTTTTACAGGGACTATTCCGCTGCTGAGAGATGTATTAATGATTTTTCACAGAATTTGCACTAGAGCTTTTCTATCACATCGTAAGAAAGTGCCCTCAGAATAAGTGAGATAGAAACATCACGAAACTCGGATGATATTGACGCAATGTCATCACTTAGTCGGTTGTTCCTCGGCTAACACGTTCATTGAATCGTCTAATAATCATTAACGGGTACAGGGTGATTGTTTATATTTTATGTTTATATTTTACTAAAGTTAATTCCTTTGTTGTTCGAAGAACATCGTGCATACCTAGGAAGGATAGGAGAAGAAGGTTGGTGTGGGACTTTTTTGACCTTTTGGAAATTATAAGTTCTTGGAAATACTTCCAGAGGCAATAAATTCCTGAGCTTTGCCGTTCTATAGAGAAACGAATTTTGATAAAGAGATGTTTGACATATTTCGAGGTTGATAACGAAAGGATGTGCTGACTGCGCTTGTCAAGTTTGTCTGACAGGTATTGCTAGCCGTGGGATGATAGCAGAGATTTCTGAAGAACATTTCCCGTGGAAGAATCTATAGGAAAGTGTAAGCTCGCCGACCTTCCTACGGTTTCCCAGTGATGTCAAAGTGTTAGTGAGTGTGGCATCATCCTCTAGACGAATAGCTCTTCTCTGGATGGAAACTTAGAGTATCAGAGTATGTTTGGGTGCTGAAGCCCACATGTGGAAACACTATCGTGATTTGTAAAACATGAGAAGCTGTTGAGGTGTAAAGTAGCCTTGTGCACGGAATAAAAATCCAAGTTTTTGTGAAACAGCTTTCGCGATGGATCTGACATGATTATCCCATGGAAGAGTATTGCTGATGGAGACACCGAGCATATATATCGTTGAGTTGGGTGGGAATAGTGATACCCGACATTGTTATATCAGGCATACTGAGTGCCGCCTTTCTAGTGAAAATACGGGCCTGAGTTTTGGCGGTGTTGAATTCTACTTCGTTGTTGGTTCCCCAGGCTGTGATTTAAGCAAGGTCTTCATTGACAGCATTGACCTGCCTTCGACGTGACTTCTTAGTTTCCTGAGAAGAAATAGGAATTCTGAGTATTCTCATCTGCAAAACTGTGGATAGGAACAATATTAGTGCAAAAAATGATCCTTGTGGAACTCCGGAATTGATGGCAATGGTATCAGACGATACAACGTCCACCACCATGTGAAGTGATCAGCTTAAAAGAAAACTCGATAAGAGATGGCATAGCTGAGGTGGTAAGCAATATGATGGTATTGGAGGAGTCCTTGGTGCCATACACGGTCGAATGCTTTCGATTTGCTACAGCTAGAGATTCTCCATGTTTTGCTAAAGAAGCTTGCCATATATAGGTGACGTAGGCAAGTAGATTCCCAGACGATCTTTGGTGACGAAAGCCTCATTGTCTATCATTGATGATTCCTGAGCTTTCCAGATATTTGATCAGCTCAATGTTGATGGATTTCTTCATCACTTTGGAGATTATTGATAACAGGCAATAGGCCTGAGCAGGTTTTTGACCAATATCAACTAAGAGCTATTGAGTAAAATATAAACAATCACCCTGTACGTACCATCAAGCTACTTGTATTTTAATTATTTCATATAAAAAACTTATGACGAACTGTAAGCAAAACGGAAATGGTATTATTCTATTGAGAAACGTATATTCATGTATCCATATGATGCACATTTCTGACAAATTCTCTGAGCAATGAACTATACCAAATTGGTACGTCACAGCGACGTGATCTTTGATCGTCACCGTCACGTAAATGTAACGTTTTAAATACTCCTATAATTGGAGTTAAGATTATAAACGTGCAAAAACTGTATAGTGACGTCACTAATTGATGGTATGACGTAACTCACCTAGTTTTTCTAGATCGGTACGTCATACCAACGTGTTCCTTCGTCATCTGTTTGCCTAAGATATTGAGAAAATGTAAGTAAGCAGGTGTTCAGATAGCCTATGGAGTGGCGAAATAATCGAATTATTCTGTGCTTTTAATTAAACTGAACCATTCCAAGTGGGAGAGTTGCATTCAGCGCTAGAAATGAATATTCAGTGGTGAATGAAGACACAAGTGGATGAAGGATTCATGATTCATTTCACAAAGTTCATTTTGAGAAAATGAAGTTCAAAGTTTTCTTTCTTTGTCTGGTAGTGATGAATAACCAGAATATTTTTGAATAAATACAAATGCTCAGTCATATCCACACAATGTTCATAAAATTAACAACAATGGTAGATTTCGGAGGAAAAACAACTACTTTCCTGGCTAATGCCACGCAGATCATTGAATTACATCCTCCCGAATACTGATACAAGTGATTCTAATCAAGACTTGAGCATTTCAAATACTGAAAGCTTGCAAAAATCAATTTAAAAAAGTCAGACAAGTTCTATTTCCAGAAACACAAAAAAATTATATTACCATTAATTCTGTCCCCTATGATCAGCTTCATGTGGAATTGTTTTCATCAACTACTAGTAGCAGTGAAACTATTATCGTCATAGCTAGGGACAATGGCTTTCTCAGGTTTAACACATGATGAATATTGATGTGTTTTGAAGCTAGTAGTGAAATATCTTATATTGCACTCTACTAAATCCCGCGGTAGAGGGGAGGCTTTCGCCCCTACTCACATGGAACTTAACCTAATACTTCTCAGGTAACTTCGTATTTCTAGTAATATCGGAACTTGCTGAAAGCGTAGTGGCGGTATTCGCATCACTCTCATGGCAACTAAACAAGAACCAATATAAATATATTGCTTACTTGGCACAATTTTTTCATACAATCAAGTAGATTCAATGCTACGGAGGGACCATAGTTACGATAATTGTCGTAAAATGGTTTTAGTAATGCAACTGCTGTATTTTTATTGTCTTCATCACTGGAAGCAGCAAAATGTGGAAATAAATCTAAAATTCAAATAAACCACCAGTTAGAATTTATGGCGATACCAATTATATTATTGTTCAAAATAAGTGGAACAGAAATGTTAGTACACGTTTGTAAGAAATTGAGAAATGCATTATTCACGTTTCTTGTCATGCCTGTGTTACTACCAGTGTGCAGTGGAGAACAAATCCGATGTTTTCGTAGGGTTTTCAATTATTTTGATACAGAAAGAGCATAACGAAGGTAACGAATGTTCATTACTGGTTCTTTCGTTTGCGAGATACAAGAGGTGATTCTGAAAATGTTCTGATAATGCACTTGAAACGACCTCTGAACAGAGTTAATATTGGAGTGACTATACTTTTCAAATAAGGTTTCACCAGATCCACGTTCTTATTGAAATTTGATCATCATTATTTCGTTCGACTAATTGTTCAATAATATACAGGGTGATTCATTAAGACTGAGAAATCTCTGAACTACAGATAGTAAACACAAAAAATAATGAGATTTAGCCCAATATGTCTGATTAGAATGTTGCTGGTTTAGGAGATACAGGGTGTTCTAGGGGACGATTTTATTCAAAATTTCACAATAACTTTGTTCGTTTCAACAGTATGAACATGGAATCTTCTATTTCTAGGATGTCTGATATGTGAATTTGCAACTAGGCGCTAGAGGCACTTTAATACTTCGATAATTTTCATCATATCTTCTATGTCGATTCATTGATGATAACTATTACACTCTACAGGGCAATACAAATTCAATGAAAAAAAAACACGCTATAATTGCTGCAGCCAGTGTGCAAAAAATAGTATATTATACACCTAGGGTGAGAAGTGAGCTATTACATAGCAAGCACTTGTATATCCAGAGGCGAAGCGTGGAAGGATATAATGTGCGAGCTATATAATAGCATTCTTACCCGAAGTATATATATTTTTTCCACTAATAAAACAAAAAATCGATATCCTTTATCAATTGAGATTTTCATTTACATTGAAGGAGCAATGCCATTCACCGTGTATATTCAGCATTGTTCATCTATGATATTACTAAAATTTTGATGCATCAAGTATAGCCTAGGAGTGCAGTTGTCAAACAAATCAAAAGGAAATTATACTCAGATAATAATTGCTGTATTAAAATTCCAGGTGAAATCAAGAATAACTACAAAACCGAGTTAGAAATTAAGTGACATTCATTTTGATAGGAAGCTGTACCCCGCCTGTATGAAGTTAGGAAGGATACTGATATTGCAAGAAGATATTATTCGGGTCGATTCTGTTCGATTCTTGTTATAATATTGCTAAGATAATAATATTGTTATGATCATAACATAAAACAATATTGCTATGAAGTTCTGTATTCTGTTTGCAGAGTAACTGCAAGACTGGTTATAAGTTCAAGTGATAGCAATATTGTTGAAAAATTGAAACATTTTTGAGCTGACAACACTGTTTTTAACTCATTGTTTAAGTGTTAGGTATCGATTTTGCCATTATTTCATGAAGAAGAAGAGTTCATGATTATCTAACCTCTCAAATTAGTCAGTCCTGCAGTTCCTGCACTGACATTTTACAAAATTTGTTCAAATCGAGAGATTTTGTATTTGCTGAATCTGGTCGTCGTTTTGCAACTGGTGCAAGTAATCAATCATGTCCTCGAAATGAGAAAACAACTAAAAGCCGGATGAAACAAATCGTGATTTTTTTTATTCTAGCAAAATAGCTTGATAAACTATCCATCAGGCAACTGAAATTTCCGAGGGAATTTCTCTGATATGCCGAAATTGTAGTCTCATATTTCCTCTACAAATTGGAACTTCAAGAAAAGGTTTTCAAGTAGTTGGTCACAGTACACAATAGTGAACCTATCCTATATGTTTGTAATCACCAAGTTTTTCAATAATTCTTCCACGAATTGAAACTTTGAGGAAAGGTTTTCGAGTAGTCAGTGGCACAACTGAACTCTCATATGTTTTTAATCCACTATTTTCTGAATTTTCATACAGTTGGAAGAATTTGTAGTGCAAAAACAAAGAATCCACTACCTTTGTTATAAGATAGCAAGCACAACATTGATGTTGCAAAAAAGCTGACCAGATGTCATTGAAATTGACAGATCATATTGCCAAAAATCGATGATTAAAATTACACTTTTTCGAATCTTGCTATAATAGCAATACCTTCTCTACAACCATATTGCTATTTGCAAACAGAATCGACCCGATTGAAAATACAGTATTTATTAATATGTTTCGAAATATTTAAACCTTATGAATATTGCACAATATACCTTTGAACAATTATTGAAGTGGTACATCATATCGTATCGACCGCCATAGTTTAAATTGTTTTAATTGGTTAAAAAGAGTGTCCTTACCGAAAGTCATGGTTATCTGAATTCTTGGTCTGATTCACACATGAAATTGACAGCTCACGTATGATTTGGTCGTGACATTTTTGTTAGAATTAATGATAATCAGATTATTCTGAACATTTTTCATACTTTAAAAGTTACTTTCAGCTGTAATGATATTTGTATTTTCAACTATATTTGGTTTCAAGAACGGATCATTTTCGTTGGTTGCATACGCATCGGTATTTGTGTTTTTTTTTACCTAAATCAAATTTCTTAATCAATTCATCATTATTTACCTAGGTTCAAAAAGTGTAACTTCTCATTAGAGGAGAACCTCGAATTATTGTGATTTCTTAGGTTAGTGGTGGAAAAAGGAGGTTTTTATGCAAATACAGTTTACACACCAATTCACCAATGTTCAGAAGGAGTCATTCAAAACAAAAAACGTCCAAATCGGACAAGTAGTTATGACGAAAATATAACTCAAACTTGTGGCTACTTTTTGATGGAGTGTTAATTTCTGGAGAAGGATTTCGTTAACACTAACCTTTTAGTATTTTCAAAATCTCCACAGCATAAGAGCTGTACTGATATCTGGCTGCACACAATTCTTGAATGGATTTTAATACATTATCGAGAACATTATCGGGCAGTACACCTGGTTTTGCTAATTTGAGGGATCTCAAGAATGTCAAACACTAAAAAAAAGAGAGCATTGCAGTTAGTGAACTTTAGGTGTGTTCGTTTGATTTTCATAAACTCACCAGGGTACAGTCTTCATCTATATTGAAATTATAGGAAGGAACTGACAAGACCTCTAGGATGTTTTTTTGATTCTCGTTCAAAAAATCTCCATGAACACAACTGAAAGTAGATAACACTTTCAAAATTCCTTTCTTGATATCAAAAAATAGATTACATTTTCTTTTTTGCTCTGGAAAAGAGAATTAAATATTAAATCATTCATACACCTAATAGTATCTTTTTGAATTGACTCGGCCGTTACTTGATGGAAATCCATGGCAAATGTAAAAACTTCACAAACGATAAGATTTCCACAAAATTCTTAAACACACAACATGTTTCGCTAACATAGTAGCTTCGTCAGGTGATATACTGGTACAATGAAATGAACCAACCTTGGCTTGCCTAACTTTTATATATCCCACTTTCCCAACTTGAAGGATTAGTTACCTGTGGACAGGTTCGATAAACCTACATTAATATACGGTGTACCGGATTGGATTGGAAGGGTTGATAGCAAATACCTATTATTAACTACTAAGAAAACAAATTCAACAGTGGTGAACTATTGAGGTCTAATTGATCGTTGAGTAAAATGTCAAAAATTTTGAGTTTGTTGATTTCTAATGATTGAGTTTCATATCACTATTCATAATAATTCAACACACCCTTATCAACATAAAATAGCAGCATAATAGTATGATACACAGGCCTGTGAATGTCCCTCTTTCGGAAGTAAATTTCAATAAAGAACTCAATATCATAAAACAGATTGCAGTCAACAACGGATACAACGTTAATTTGATAGACAGTATTCTTTCTGAAAAACTCCATAATCAAGCTATTCAAGTTTATCCTACCATCAAAAATAACAATCAAAATTATAGAACTTTAACCTATTTCGGATCATCAACTGAAAAATTAGATTCATTTCTACATAAACAGGAGTTGATAGTATAGCATATAGAACAGATAACACGTTGGGAAGGTTTATAAAAAATAATAGACGAAACTTCTTAAATCGAAAAATCAGGGGTATACAAACTCAACTGTGGATTTTGTCCTAAGGTATATAACATGAGATGAATTTTTTGAAAAAGAAAACATATTCAACATACGCCAACCATATATTAGAAGAAAACCATAGTTGTGATGATAATTTCGAAATTCTACATGTAGAAAATGAAGGAATGAAACTCAATCATTAGAAATCAACAAACTCAAAAATGTTGTCATTTTACTTAACGATCAATTAAACCTCAATAGTTCACCACTGTTGAATTTGTTTTCTTAGTAGTTAATCATATGGATTTGCTATCAACCCTTTGAAGTAAATCCGGTACACCGTATTTTAATGTAGATATTGTGCCTAATTTCCGAAAATGAAGGTTTATCGAACCTGTCCACAGGTAACTAATCCTCCAAGTTGGAAAAGTAGGATATATAAAAGTTAAGCAAGCCAAGGTTGGTTTAGTTCATTGTACCATTATTACGATACATCCTGCAAAACAAATTTGGAATCTTGACTGAAACACTGAGCATGCGTCATATCATTCGATCGTTCTGAATGGTATGTACTCTATTCGTATCGTTTATAATCATGTGTGGCAAAATGAATTATGGCGATTTTTCAATGTCAATCCTTCTTTTTTTTCAGTCACTTACAGTTGAAAATGAAAAACAATGAATTTTCATCTTTCTACGAATTTGCACAAAGGCGAGTGAAACTGTCAGAACTAAATGGGGTAACCTTCGTGCATTTGCGTGCAGTTCACAAACAGTAGCATAGTACTCTTGCAACACAAATACTCAATTATTTGAATTTGACAAGACGATGGGATGTCATATCATTACTCAATTACAATGTCATGATTCCTTGATTTACCACAACAATGAAATGTTGGAAATCGTGTAATCAACGCATTAATGACTCAATAATTGTAGATAAATAAACTTACCCTCTTGGAGATCATTGAAAATTAGATTGAGAGAGCGTAAAAACTCAAGTGGTACAAGGCTCTTTAGTTTCTTCATCATCCATGTATTTATACGTAAGGAAAACAACGTATCCAAGATATCAACGCAGTCAAGTAATCTCTTAGCCTCACGCTCATTTTTGGTTTTATATAAATCAAAATGTTTTATTTTCTCATGCCCAAAAATCTCGTTTATCAGATCTATGAAAACAGAGTCATTTATTTGTATTTCAGACAGAAAATCGTAGTCAATAGCATAGCTTGCAATATTCACAATGAGTATAAGAAAGCTTAGTAATATTTCTTCAGTGTCAGAAGTATTTTGTACGAAATTCTTTAAAATATTGGTCATTAATGTAGCTGATTCTAGCTCCATACTGTGATTGTTTTCAGTGGTTTCTACATTAACATTGTCCTTGTCTCTTCTGGCTACTGCATTGTCTTCAAACATAGTTTTCAGATAAATTTCTATCAGATCTTTGTACTCATTCCACATTTCATTACTCTCTTCATTATCAGTATCAGTGCTTTTTGGCCACTCTTTCAAGGTTAGTTTCACTAGAAATTCTGCAGTTCTACTTTCCCGAAGATACTTGTAATCCTTCAGATTCTGCGGGTTCAAAATACATTTCATCAAATTCTCCTTTCTGCAATGCTCATTCTGATCAATGTTGGCGAAGTCGAGAGCAGAATGTAATGTCTTTATGCTCTGTGGAGAGATGTTCAATATGCCAGATGTGTAGGCCTGGAAAATATTGTCTATATGGACGATACCATTTCTTATTAGTTTCTCCAGTAGAACTTCTGTAACTGCTTTGTGCTGATTCAATGCAAACGCTCTGGAAATTTCAAAAACTGACTCAAAATAATGTAAGGTATGTGAATCTAGAATATTAATCAGGAATTAGCCTTGACTTCCAGCTAAATGTTCCACAAATTTGGTGGTCTCATTTTGAACGGTTGGCGTTTTCTGATGTGTGGCCTGTATATTTTGTATAAAATAATATATTTTATGCGTCTTACCTGATAGTACTTTCTCCTACAACTTTCCATAATATTTCTGTTTCCGGAGGACAAACAATATTATTCATTTTCCTACTATGAATACTCAACATCGTTGTTAGACAATGATAGATATTTTCAATTACATTGTGATCATTTGATTCAATTTGAATGGTTGATAGTATTTGTAACAGTAGCAAATAATCTTCATCATCGATTATATCTGGGTACCTTATAATTATTGAATTCACAATATGTATCCTGAAAACGATGTTGATTGTAGGGTTGAAACCAGGAAAGTTCATAATTTCTTACCATAACCAACTTTTCAGGTCTTGTATATTAGTGATGTATGACCTAAGACTAATATCAATTTTTTGCCTTTTTTGAGGAATTTGTGATGAGTCTGTGTCTAATGACATAGTATAATCCATATCAGTACAGGAGAACAACTAAAACATAAATATTACAATAAATTTCATGAGTTAATAGTTCTCAAGGTAGTACCATGCAACAAAGTATTGACGGTTCCCAATATGACACCAAATCTCATTATTTCTTGTAGTAACCAACCAAATTTGGAATTGACAGAAATGCTGATTTTAGTTTTAGTCAAAGATAAATAGTGAAATGAATATATACATGTGTTTAATAACAGAAAACAGCAAAAAATCCAAAAATAATTGAGCAACATTCGAATTTTTACCGAAAGCATCATTTTTGCAACAAGTCGTTTTTTTTTATTGAGAGGATCGCCCATTCTCTGAGCAACAAAGAGTTTGTGTTAGTCATATTAATTGACTTCGAAGTGGATTTCAATAATGCACTACCAAACTCTATTGGATTAGGGCATAGAAACGATCATCATTGGGTGAATTGGTGTCATGCTAAAGAACAGAATAATAATCATATCTCTATATAACGCTATCCGGTTAAGGTTATACAGAGGTTGCCCGCAAGGTAGGATCAAACCCTTTTTGTGGTCACTTCTTGTGGATGACTTATTGAACGCTCTCGAGAGAAGAACGGTGGAGTTCCTATCCGTTGGAATTCGTTCCCATGGGAAAAACTCGATATTTCCCATGGAAATTTGAGATGATGTATTCTTGAACTATTGTATGGGAAACTATTCCTACACATTTCAAGAGAACTGCTTCCATGGTAATATCCATGGGAACAACATGTTTCCCATAGGATACACTCATGAAATAAATAAGTTATTCTCATTTGTCATGGGCAGTGAACCCTAGTGAAAAATCGGAAAAACATATGTATTGCAAAACATGGCAAACATAGATGAAATAGCTCATCTAGAGGCTTTACAAAATTTGGAAGTGGCTGAAATCCTTGCTAGGAGACCAAGAAGAAGGTTTTTGCCTAGAAAGGACCCATTTGAGTGATTGTTTGCTGCACAATTTATTAAAGTTTTTTGTTTGTCATAAGACATTACTAGAGAATTGATAGGTACTTTAGAATCTTCATAAGTGAATTGGGGGTGAAATTTGCCTTTCCTCAAGTCCATTATTACTATTAAAAGTCTTTTCTGCTCTTTGCTAATACTATCACCTCGTGGTTTTTCAATATTGTTTGTATCCATATCCATTTCGATCAGAGGAAATATAGTAAATATACAATACACAATAATCTCACCGTCGCAAAATTATATCATATTATAACCTCAAAATTAGTCGAAATAAAAATGTCAACATTTCATTTCAATCATCCACCAGTTACCAACATAAATTGCACATATTTCAGTGGTGAATTCATGTTAGCTCAAGAATATATCTGCGACATACGGCACTTTTTCAATCCCCTGGGAAAAACGATTCCATCTGGTTCAAAAATAGGTGTCAAAATTATCATTCCCTATGAGAACTGAAAGCATTGGATCATTCTCCTATAGGATCGAATTCCTACAGATTCGAGAATCGGGCCCCTGGTAGGGTAATTTCTCATGTCCTACAAGAATTTTCAAACAACAAAACAAAACTACAAAAAGCACTGATATTGGACCATGTAGAACACGAATGGAATGACCTCTGATATAATGCCTCAAACAATCGAATACGTCCTACCTATCTACAAATATAGAGGAGTTGTCCCATCAAGAAGATAAACTATTGTGTGTCCATAGATGTTGGTGCTGGTGCGAGTGTATGCATTCAAAAACCTGGAACAGCTATATCATCTATCTTCTTCTTTTTCAAGGCGGAAGTTCACGTTATTGATTTGTGCTTACAAAGCCTTCAAGAACCCTACTTCGCACATGAATCAATAAATATATTGTCAGCTTTGAAATCAAATAATTCATACTGAACAAAGAGTAATTCAAACAGTTGTTAGACATCATATAGGGCAGACTTTCGATGTCTAACCTCTTAACTCTAGAAAACCCCAAAGTGCTGCTTTTATTGAAGATGATGATACAGCAGAACACATTTTCTGTGTCTGTCCCTCTGTGACTAGACCTTTGACAGGATCAATATCTTTCTGTCAGAGCTGAAAAACCTCTCATCCAATAAAATAATCGGCTTCGCTAAGAACCTACCCCTCACCTAACTACTTCTCTTCAGTAGTGAAAGGGAAAACATCAATATTGAAACTTTGTTTTCAGAGGTGCATTTTTTCGAAAGTTCTCGTTACCTGTTGAAGGGTCAGATGTATTTTAGGATTGGAGTACAAGTTACAAGTACGAACATTCTTGTGTGTCAATGAATGGAGAGAATAATTAAAAACCGCTAACGCTACGCACGACAGTAAACATATATGCAGATTGCTCTAAAATTTTGCAAGCGATTTTCCACATGGATTTACAAATCAAATAGCGAAAAATTGTAATGATAACTACTCATTTCTAACATGTATATTTCTTACCAATCGACTGATTTCCACAAATAGGATGGTGAATTCTTCAGTCAGTATCATTGATTCGCCTTGCGATTTGAAGAACGACGTATTTTTTTGGCGGAATTGAAAATAAAAATTTATTTCTTTCGAGAGCAGAACATAGATCATCTTGAGACATTTTTTCCATGATTGCCAACTGAAAGCATAAGCGACTTGATGGCCCTCCTTCACGCCATTAGGTTGATGGATTATAACTTGAAGAAGGGAAAACTGTACAAGCAACTCCTGAAATGTCGATGTTGTATTTGTTATATGAATATCCAACTATGACACATACATTAGGAGAATCACCACATGTACTACTCTTAGAATTAGTGAGAAATCCAGAACAATTGATCATAAAATTTAAGGTACTCTTGTTTCTCATTAGATACTCTGTGAGAATTTATAATAGAGTGACATTAATTTACATCTTCATCAATTAATATGTCTGATAGCAATCAAAAAAGTGAAAAATCACTGACATTTTATGTATGAGAAGATTCCACATTTTGACAATAATAATCATCAGTATTACATGATTTGATCGAAATTAGATATTCACCTTAATCTTTGCTTCTCTACCATTAAGTTCATATAGCTGTATAAAACTTGGCAGTACATCTTCTCCAAATTTACAGCAGGATACTCGATTGTCTTTGGCAGTCTAAAAAAATATAATGATCTGAAAATAATATAGGTTGATCTACATTCCAGTCACATTCATTTGAAATTAGCTAAAACTATTATGTGCTCTTCTATTTGGAAGTTAAATCATACTGCTTAAACGCTTAATATATCCTAATAGATCACTGCATGATATGAATATTATTTCAATATATAAGGTAAGGACAAATCAGATGATTTGCCCCAAAATGTCACTACATTTAAAGAATTTTCCTATCAGAGAGTCTAAAAGAAAAATTCACTAGCTTGTCAGTGACAATTTGTATTGAAGAGAAGTTTGGAGAAGAGAAATGAAGGTACCTATATAGAAAAAATATCAAATTTTTACTTAGCTTTGGACGTTTCGGGAACGAATCTGCGTAGTCTCAATCAGAATAGAATTGTGAATGAGCACAGTTTAGAAATAAAATTCCTAAAATTAGTACTTACATGTCTACAAAACTCTATTGCAATCTCCAATGTATCTTCCTGTTGTGGTTTCGGGGAATTCTGAGAAATCAACTGACAAAATCTAGTCAAGAAAGTGAACTCTTCTCTCATAACAGATGCCTGAAGTCCTGACAAAGGACCCCATTTTATCAAAAGATTGAGACATTTATAAGTCAACATGTCATGGCTTCGTTCTGAACACAAATCTTTCAGAAATTCATAAAGCCCTGGAAATAATCACATTTTCGAAAAATAGATCTGAAAGTGGTTCAAGGATTTGAGTCCAAATAACATGAATATACAGGGTGTCCCATTGAAAAACGGAAAAACTTCTATGGCGGTTAGAGCTCGTCAAGGTGGTTTTGAATAAACCATATTTGTAGGGTGGCACAAGTTTCATATCCGTGTTTTATCAATTTTGCTCTATTCTTTGTGAGGACATAGTTTATGAACCACCTAGTTTACTCTTTTGGAATCTGGTACACAATTCCTCCTTGCCCAAGTGACTCACCTATCAGTCTCTAGTAAAATCCAGGTCCAGATTAACGAAAATTGATCATATTCTGGGCCCCAGAAGAACACTCAGCATATGCGAATTTCCAATATTGAAGAAATAAAATTTTTCAACCACTATAACACAAAATTGCTCTTGTATAACTGTGTTTGATACATCAATGAGGTACTTTGTACCATGGAATGTCAAATTTCAACTAATGACAGCTCTGTCTAATAGATGAGCATTAATTGAGAGAAAATTGTTGGGTTTTATTTGAATTTGTAACATTAGTGATTTCGAATGACCATGTAAATTGTATTTTTTGAGAGATGACATGTTTTTGAAAGATAAATAAAAGAGTTGAAGTTTGCGAAGAATAAATAGAAACGAAAAAAGGTACAAGAGTAGTTATCTAATTTGTAAAGGAGAATAATCGATAAACATTGTGCTGGTCACATCGAGCGGATCCTTATATAAGCACATTTTAGGTAATTATAAACATTGTGCTGGTCACATCGAGCGGATCCTTATATAAGCACATTTTAGGTAATTATAAACATTGTGCTGGTCCTTCAGCCTACAGAACGGCAAATGGAAACAAGAAGCAAGACTGCTAAAGCCAGAAGTGAGAATCTCAAACGTATTGCTATCATGGATAAAGCAAAGAGCATCAATACTGAACGAGACGCCGCGGAAGACAAGATATCTGCAATCTAAATCTATCAGGTCGTCGCATGCTAACAGTAATTATAGAAGAAAAATGATCGAAGCCCAGGTAAGAGCTGATGAACAAATGGCTAAAGTGTTATCCAAACAGCTAGAAATGGAGAAGCAAATGATTGAAAATAGGTTGGCATTGGAAAAAGCTAGATTGAATGAGGAATATGACTTGGGGGTAGGTGATTTACATCAATTTGAAGATGATACATCTTGCTCAGTGGATTCCAAAGTGAAAGTACGTGAGTGGTTACAAGACATCGACGAAAGTGTCAAGAATGTGACAGGTAAGAGGTCGTTCCACAACAGTCATTTTGATGATACAGGGTCGAATAAAAACAATAGCCTAGGACCAAGCTCCACTCATCCTGTGCCAGACACAGACATTAGGCAGCTGCTCGCAAGACAATCAATCGAGAAAGATCTTCCTACGTTTTCTGGTGATACTATTGAGTGGCCAAGTTTTTATCAACAGTTCCTTTCTACAACAAAACTTTTAGGTCTTTCAGATGAAGAAAACATGTGCAGATTGCGGAGAGCTCTGAAGGGGGATGCTAGACGCTCAGTTGAAGGAGTACTGTTGTCTACTGCATCAGTCAAATCAGTTATCGACATATTGATCAGTAGATATGGTCGAGCAGATTTGATTGTGAAGAGTCTTGTCAACAAAGCAAAGCATTTTCCTGTAATGAAGAATAATGATTTCAGATCTTAAACCCATTTTGCGGAAGACGTTTCTAATCTGGTAGTTACCCTGGAAATGATGGATATGCGCAACTACTTGGAGTGTCCACAACTACTCGAAGAGATTCTACAAAAGTTACCATACAACATGCAGCTTTCATGGGGCGAGAAAGTGCTGAATGCGAATGGAAGGAGCTCTCTTCGAGAATTTAAGGAGTGGATATGGAGAAAGTCAGAAGCAGCTAGTTATGCTCAGTCTATGAATGTGGGTAAGACTTCACAAAGCCAGACATGTGGTAAGATATTTCCAAATCAATCCAATAAAGAGAGATTCAAAACAACTCTTGTTACTTCTCAAGAGAAGAGGAAAACCATACAAAAATGTATTTTATGCAAAGAAGAACACTCAATAGATAAATGCAAAACATTTTTAGATCTCTCTATAGATGATAAATGGAATTTAATAAAGAGTAAAGGTGTATGTTTCTCTTGTTTGGACACATCTCATAGAATCAGATTTTGTCGATTAAAGAAAAAATGTGGAGTGAATAATTGTGAAAAGGTACATCACAAGAGTCTTCATAATGAAGCATTTGACAAAAGTATTGAGAATGAAGACACGACAGGCCTCGAAGTAATTGCTCATACCACAAAATCATATTGTTCGGAAATTCTATTGAAGATAACACCCGTTATAATAAGAACCTCTCGCGAGGAACTTGAAGTTTACGCGCTCTTTGATGAAGCTTCAACAGTTACTCTTCTAGATCAAGAATTGGCAGACAAACTATGTCTTCCAGGGAAAGTAACAGATTTAAGTTTGAAGTGGACTCAAAAAGACACATGTAGAAAAATGACGTCAAGAAAAGTGAGTTTTGAAATTTCAGACAAATCCAAATCTACATTTTATACGATGGAAAATGTATACACTGTGGAGAATTTGGACCTACCCAGACAGTCAGTTGATGGTAGGAGAATGAAAGAAAAATGGGGTCACCTGAAGCAAATAGATTTCGCAAGTATGTACCAAGCTAAACCACAATTACTGATAGGTCAAGACCATTGGGAACTCATCACGACCCGAGAGGTAATTGAAGGTCCGAAAAACTCTCCAGCATTGTCAAGGACGAAATTGGGTTGGATAGCACATGGTAATCTACGACAATTCCGAAATAGGGTGGATGACAATATCGTTCTGCACATTTCTCATCAAAAAAGATGTGATGAAGAATTGCATGAAGTAGTGAAGAGATATTTTTCCACAGAAGCATTTGGAGTAAAGGTTCCAGAAGGAAAGGTAATGGGTTCAGAAGATAAGAGGGCTACAGAAATAATTGAAAAGCGATGGGAATGTGGTTTATTGTGGAAGAAAGATGAATTGATTTTACCAGAAAGTAAACAGAGAGCGATTCAGAGGTTGGAGTATATAGAAAAAAGAATGGCTCGTGATTCGGAATTCTCGAAAGCTTATAGACGAAAGATACAGAAATATCTGGACAAGAATTATGCAGAAAAAGTGGATGAAGAGATAAAAGAACCGAGAAGGAAATGGTATCTGCCACATTTTGGAGTCGTGAATATAAACAAGCCAGGAAAGTTGAGATTCGTCTTCGATGCGGCAGCTAAGGTAGATAATATGTGTCTAAATGATTTCTTGCTGAGAGGTCCTGATTTGTTCAATTCTCTAGTCGGCGTAATTTTCAAATTCAGAGAAAAAGATGTAGCCTTTTCGGCAGATATTCGTGAGATGTTTCACCAGATTACGATAAGAAAAGAAGATCGTGCTGCACAACGATTCCTCTGGAGAAACGCCCAGAATGAAGAAATCGCTACCTATGAAATGAAAGTAATGATTTTTGGTTCTGTTTGTTCACCTTTTTCCGCACAGTTTGTGAAAAATCGAAATGCTTCCGAATTCCAGAAGGAGTATCCTCAGGCAGTTGATGGAATTATCAACAGACATTATATGGATGATTATCTGGATAGTGTCTATACAGAAGAAGAGGCTATTTGTCTGGTGAATGAAGTAATCCATATTCATAGACAAGGAGGTTTTGAACTGAGAGGATGGGTATGTAATTCCAAGAAAGTTTATAGTAATATTCCAGAAGAACTGAGAGGTGATGAAAAACTTCTGGAAGGAAGTGACAGCATATCCCAAAGGATTCTCGGAGTCAAGTGGATTCCTTCTACTGACCATCTGAAATATTCTCTGCAAGTCGATAGAATGAATGAGATATGCATAAGAAAAAAAAAAGCCAACGAAAAGGGAAATACTCAAGATCGTCATGTCCCTTTATGATCCCCTAGGACTCCTTGCACACTTCGTAATAAGAGCAAAAATTCTGCTACAAGATATATGGAGGAGTGGTATAGGTTGGGATGATGAAGTTACCGAAAATCAATATATGAGGTGGAAACGATGGAGTGATGAGTTTGAGAACATTGAAGAAATGAAGATCCAAATATGTTATGCTATGAATTTTTCATCTGATTTCAATTTACAACTTCACATTTTCTGCGATGCAAGTGAGCAAGCATTTGCAGCTGTGGGATATTTTCGATTTGAGAAAAATGGAAGAATCCAAGTGTCTCTTGTTATGTCTAGAACGCAAGTAGCCCCTCTGAAGCCAATGACAATTCCTCGTTTGGAACTACAGGCTGCAGTGATGGGTGCAAGGTTGGCGAATATGATAAAAAAAGAACACTCGCTTCTAATAAATCAAGTTTTCTATTGGACAGATTCGAGGACTGTTCTATGTTGGTTGAGATCTGAACCAAGAATGTTCAAGACATTCATCACACACAGAGTAGGTGAAATACAGGAAAATACCAAAATTTCTGAATGGCACTGGATTCCCACTAGTCTGAACATTGCAGATGAGGCCACAAGAGGCACAAAAGATATCAATCTAGAAATGAATAGCATTTGGTTTCGTGGTCCAAATTTTTTATACTTGAATCAAGAGTGCTGGCCAAAGCAAGAGAAAGAGAAGGAGAAAGACACAGACATTCAAGAAGAACCCGAAAAATTCGAACTCAAGCAAGAATTCATCTTGTTAATTTCAGTTACAGAAAATATAGATTATCTACCAGAAATAACAAGATTTTCGAACTACATGAAATTGATAAGAAGTACAGCTTTTGTTTTCAGATTAATAGATAACATCAAGAAAAGAGGAAGTGGATTGAAAAAACAAGAGTTGGAAAGAGAAGAATTGCAGAAAGCAGAAAGAAGTTGGTGTATGAAAGTACAAGAAGAATGTTTTGCAGAGGAAATACGCCTTTTAAAGAAAAATGCAACTGTAGAAAAAAAGTAGTAGAATTCATCAGTTGTCTCCATATCTAGAAAATGGCATCATCTGTTTGAAAGGAAGGACAGACAACTCCACCGAGTTTTCATTTCAAACAAAAAGGCCCATCATTCTAGACAATAAACATGCTTTCACAAAATTACTTGTACAATTCTATCATTGCAGAAACAATCATATTGGTGTTCAACAAACTTTGAATGAAATAAGGCAAAAATTTTGGATATTACAGGCCAGGAAATTAGTGACAAATATAATCAAATATTGCAATTTCTGTCGATTGAAAAGGGCGAAGCCTCAAGTTCCTGAAATGGGCCAACTTCCAAAGATGCGACTGCAGAGACCACCCAGAGCATTCAGTTTTACAGGGATGGACTATTTCGGACCCATGGAAGTTTCAATCGGACGTAGGAGAGAAAAGAGATACGGAGTGATTTTTACCTGTCTCTCAATCAGGGCAATTCACATAGAACTCGCAGAATCTCTTACCACTGACTCGACTATTTTAGCAATTAGAAGGTTTACTTCCAGAAGAGGACATCCTCTCGAAATTTGGAGTGACAATGGTTCAAACATGACTTCTGCGAACAAGGAACTGAAAGAAGCCATTCAAAATTTGGATGAAGATTTGATTTCGAGAAAAATGATAGCTCATGAGATCGAATGGAAATTTATTCCGCCAGGAAGTCCACACATGGGTGGAGCTTGGGAGCGTATGGTACGTTCAGTTAAAGATGGCCTGAAGAAAATTCTCAAAGAAAAAGCGCCAAGACAAGAAGTTTTATTGACATTACTAGCCGAAGTGGAACATACCGTGAACAGCAGACCTCTTACATATGTCTCTTCAGACTGTGGAGATCCCGAGAGTCTTACTCCTAATCATTTCCTCATAGGCACATCTAGTGTAGCTAAGCCACCTATCGTGTTTACTGAAAAAGAAATGTAGTTCAATTTGAAAAAACAATGGCAGTTTTCACAGCAATTGGCTGAAAATTTTTGGAATCGTTGGATACGAGAATATTTACCAACACTAAGCAGAAGGTCGAAATGGATCCAGGACAAGAAAAATTTGGAGAAGGGGGAAATAGTTGTCGTCATGGATAACAAACTTCCAAGAAACAATTGGCCGCTAGGAAGAATTGTTGCAGTCCATCCATGACAAGATGGGAAAGTTCGTGTCGTCGATATCAAGATCAGAGACAACATTTATCGTCGGCCTGTTGCCAAGTTGTGCCCGATTGATATTTTAGAAGGATGTATTCAAGGATAGGCCGTATTTGAATACAGGGGGGAGAATGTTGGGTTTTATTTGAATTTGTAACATTAGTGATTTCGAATGACCTTGTATATTGTATTTTTTGAGAGATGACATGTTTTTGAAAGATAAAAAAAGAGTTGAAGTTTGTGAAGAATAAATAGAAACGAAAAAAGGTACAAGAGTAGTTATCTAATTTGTAAAGGAGAAAAATCGATAAACATTGTGCTGGTCACATCGAGCGGATCCTTATATAAGCACATTTTAGGTAATTATAAACAAAAATCAGATGGCTACAGGACGAAACAATTGAAAATGTCGCTGTTATAACGAAATGCTGATTTCCCACTCGAATGATTGAAGCATATTCGTGGGAAGTCACTATTATTTCGTGCTCCTTAAACATTACACTATTTTTCAACAATGTTATGTCATTATATCGATACTCAACAGTAATTTTGATATACGTGAAGACACAGTACTGGCTTATTCACCCAGGTCACAATAGCATGTGGGAAAATAGAAAGTACTCCATTCGATTCAGTTTCTTGTGCACTTTGCAAATATGTAATCAGATTTTGGAAATTCGAAAATACAAGGGAATCCAGAAATATCATAAATTTTCGTTAATCCGGACCTGGATTTTACTAGAGACTGATAGGTGAGTCACTTGGGCACCAAATTCCAGAAGAATATATTAGGTGGTTCGTGATAACTTTTGTTATTTGATTGGAAAAACTCAAAATATTGTATTTACCTATCCAAATGTATAAAACCTCAAATTAAAAATCAGAAATTCTTTCTGTGTCTGAATGTGGATATCCAGAAAGTAAGTCATAGGAATGGTGGAGGAGCCAAGTTCCTCTTTTTTTTTTCTGAAGTGAAATTTGATCTTACGAAAAAAGAAAAAATACGTATATATTCATTTTTTACAAACTTCACAGTGAGATGAAAACCTCAATATAGGAATCTTCCCCATTGATAAAACTCCCAAATCTCGGATATAAAACTAGTAAGACATGATACAGATATGGTATATTCAGAACTACCTCGATGAGCTTTACCCACCCTTGAAATTTTTCCGTTTCCCTTTAGGACCCCTGTATGAAGAGAAGAAAAAGAAATATCAAATCAGGTTCATAGCCTCTATACTCACCGCCCCAATCATTCTGATCTAGTTTGCCTCTCGACTTGGATTTTGCTAAAATGCATTTATATAGAACGTTCATCAAAATTGAGACATAGCATTTTTTCATTTTATGGTCCTTCATGCATCCAATAATGTAACCAGACAACTCAGAAATATCAACTTCATTGTCAGTTTGACTAGTTGCTATTTCAATGACCTGCATGAACAATCCTGAAGCCGGAGATGGGACTGGTTCACAACCTTTTTTCTTTGCATCCTCAACAAATTTTTCGGCATCCTTAAAAAATGAAATCAAATAAGTATAAAAACCGGTAATCTGAATTCGTATATCTATCTATTCTAAACTGAACTTATTCTTCTATCTTGTAACCGTAAAAACTTCACAAACGATAAGATTTCCACAAAATTCTCAAACACACGACATGTTTCGCTAACACAGTAGCTTCGTCAGGTGATATACTGGTACAATGAACTAAACTAACGTTGGCTTGCTCAACTTTTATATATCTTACTTTCCCAACCTGAAGGATTAGTTACCTGTAGACAGGTACAATAAACCTCCATTTTCGGAAATTAGGCACAATATCTACATTAAATTACGGTATACCGGATTAACTTGAAAGAGTTGATATCAAATACATATTATTACTTACTAAGAAAACAAATTCAACAGTGGTGAACTATTGAGGTCTAATTGATCATTAAGTAAAATGTCAAAATTTTTGAGTTTGTTAATTTCTAATGATTCAAAATGATTGAGTTTCAGTCCTTTATTTTCTACGTGCAGAATTTCGAAATTATCATCAAAACTATGGTTTTCTTCTAATATATGGTTGGCGTATGTTGAATTTGTTTTTTTTTTCATAAAATTCATCTTATGTTCATGAATGCGCTGATTAAACGTACGACCTGTCTGACCGATATATACCTTAGGGCAAGATCCACATTTGAGTTTGTATACTCCTGATTTTTCGAATTTAGAAGTTCTGTCTTTATTATTCTTGATAAACCGTCCCAACGTGTTATTTGTTCTATATGCCACTTTTGAGTCCTGTGTATGTAGATTTGAAGCTAATTTCTCAGTTGATCCGAAATAGGTTAAAGTTCTATAATTTTGATTATTATTCTTGAATTTTTTTTATCGCTTGGAGCGCACGAAAGGGAATCCCTATAATGTTCAAAGAACATCGTGCGTTCTTAGGGAGGAAAGGGATAGGAGGTGAGTATTGAAATTTTTTCATGTTCAGGTTGGGAAGGTGAGATATATAAAAGTTGAGCAAGCCAACGTTAGTTTAGTTCATTGTACCATTTGTACCAGTATATCACCTGACGAAGCTATTCTGTGTTAGCGAAACATGTCGTGTGTTTGAGAATTTTGTGGAAATCTTATCGTTTGTGAAGTTTTGACATTTGTCATGAAATGCTGAGTACACTATATATTATGAATTAAATACTTGTCCCATTTCTTAATGAGACAATTTTTCCCTTGTGATAATTTGATTTTGTTAAATATTTATTGACCTATGTACATTCGTTTATTTTTTTTTATCCTTACTACAAGGTTAACTTCGTGAGGTTTTTCAAAATACCTATCTGTTTATTCCAATGTATATTTTGTAAACGTTTTTAAATAAACTTATATTATTATTACTATTATTCAATATAATTTGACATAAAAACTGTAGATATTGATAATGAATAACATATATACTATAATTTGATTATGTTTCGTATCCACATTTTCTTAGATACCTTTCTGGTCATCAGATGAAATACTCATATGAATTTTGCTATACCTGATAAGAATCCAAAAATTTCTCAATGTAACAATGCGTCAGTACAGAATCAATGTTTTTTTTTTAAATTGGATTATCAGGTCGATCCAGTTGTGTAGCTTCCTTCGAGGAATAGTATAGAGCCATGATCTCTAATATTTCTGAAACTGGGTTTTACTTGCGTTTACTTTAATCATGTTGGGAATCTTGCGGTAAATATGTGGAGCCAAAAATCCATACGATCTTTGACTCAAACCTTTTTGGATTTTGAAAGTTGTTATCATATATTTTTTGTGCCTGGTATTGTATCCATGATTTATTTCAACTAGTTCCGCTCTTTTTTATGCTGTAAGTTCATGATTTTGTAAACATAGATTTGTCTTACATCAAATAGTTCACTGGATTCATATAGCAGATCACTCCTATACGTTCTTTTTTTCCCCAGCATGATTTTTATATAATATTTCTGGTTAATCTCGAGATTTTTAAGATGATTTTTATACGTACCCCCCCAACCTACAATTCCATATTGAATGTGCGATTCTACCAATGAGAAGTATATTTGTTTCAGCTGTGAGAAATTCAAGATCTTTTTCAACTGTCTGAATTTGAAGAGAATGCGTCTCAGTTTTTTGACGAAATATTTCACGTGAACATCCCATTTCAAATTTCTGTCAATTTCCACCCCCAGATCCTTTATATGATCTGACTCTTTGATATCAATGGGTGGATTTAAATTTGAGGTAAGTTTTTTGTATTGGGGAATCTTGGTTTTGTTGCAGCTGAATAGGATGTACCGTGTTTTCTCAAAGTTCATAGTGAGAGACATCTCATCGAACCATAATTTTAGATTCCTCAAATCTTTCTCGGCTATCTGTTTCACACTACCCCATGAATCATTATCGTACACAATTACTGTATCATCGGCAAAAGATGATACAATTCCACTACTTCCTAGTTTGAGAAGACCATTGATATAGATTGTGAACAATAGTGGTCCCAGAACAGTACCCTGGGGAACCCCAAATTCAATTATACTTTCGTCGCTCAGGTTTTCGTAAATTTTAACAATCTGTTTACGGTTGTTCAAGTAAGATTTCATTAGGTTAAGACTGTTACCTCGAAAGCCAGTGTCCTCCAGACAATCAATCATTATTGTATGATCGACCGTGTGGAAGGCTTTTGTCAGGTCGAGAAACACACCAAGCACAGCACGGTCCTGGTCCATATTTCTATGTAAATTGTACTTACTGAGGCTGTATCTCGTGTATTCTTCCCTACTTCCTATAGTATTTACCTACCTTTTGTAAGCAATATCGAGAATATACCCCTCCAGGGGCAACTGAAACCACCCTCAATATAATTTTTTCAAATGTAACCCTATGGCTTGTGACCCATCATCGGAAAGCTGGCGGAAAGAGGAATCCAGCGTACTAGTCAAATTTTAGTTTTTCATGCGTTTTAAGGTTGCATAAAATTCAATTTTTATTTAACATATTAATCGCTCCAAATGTCTGTTAAACAATTGAGCAATTTTTTGCCACAACTGCTATCTGCTATTGCATTCCAGTGTTTTTATAGAGCCACCAAAAGAAATTTAGTTCTTTTGCCATATTCTCAGTTCAAAATGGTATACAACACCTAAAAGATGGCGCCATATATTCCACAGTAGAATGGTCAGAGCAATTAGAAAAATCAAACCAGGAGTATTATCATTGAGTCAGCAGATTCAAATATTTTTGTCTACCTATAGACTTACCCCAAATAGAAATACACCATCTGAAAAATCACCTTCAGAAATAAGGTTAGGAAAAAAACTTAGAACAACATTTCACCAAATTTTTCCACCTTGTGAATACAATTCTTCAAACATAAATTCGGATCAACATAACAGAAAACAGGGATCAAAAATGAGTTTTCAATAATGGTGAGGAAGTTTTTTGAAAAATACATCATGGAAATGATTTTCAATGGAAGCCTGGTAAAATCATAGAAAAGATGGAAAAGGTGATGTATAATGTCTTGATGGAAGAATTTGAAAGAAATAAGTTGATCAGAGCTCATGTCAATCAATTTAAACCCCATTTTACTCATATCAAGGATGATGAGAACTCTCAAAATCTGCTACCATTCTCAATAATTTTGGATTCATGTGAAATCAAGAAGCCAAATTCAACATCAGAAACAAGAACACCTGCCAATCTCACTCATCAAAAGAAAACATTATTATGGCATCTGGATCTAGTGTTAGAAAAGAGCACAAGCCTCTACTAGAGAAAAAAGACTTCCAAGTTACTTTGATTATCTCAAATTATAAGAGGGAGGAGTTGGGTGGCTCAGTATATTGAACAATTCAATTGTTTTATTATTGATTGTCTTGTCAGCTATTAGATTACAGTCATATTATATGTTATTAGTTTATTCAATAAAGTATTGAATTTAAACACATAGTAGTGGTTATAACATTATAAAAATACAAGATTGAAAAAACAAACAGGGTGATTCAAAATTCCATGTAAATATTTCCAGGACATATTGTTGGGATCAAAATAAGACTTTTTGTTCATATAAACATGTATTCTAAAATGCACCCTGTTGAATATCATGAATAACCCATATATTCATTATGGTCCAGCTTCCTCTTGAGCTTCCTGTATCTTCTTGCAGTAAAAAATCACCCTCAGTGTTTTTTTTTTGGGACAATGTTCCAGGACTCCCTCTTTGTGGTGAATCATTTATAACATTATGAAAATAAGTGGTCCCACACATTACTGGATTTCCCAATGTTTGATAATCAACTTGGTGATCAACCAGCAAGTGGACCTTGTCCAATGCCTTATGATGGACTGATGTTTTCACTATACAACTATTGCTACTATAAGCATTTTGATAGATGCAAGGATGCAACAATTGATGCAAATAAGATGCAACCTAACATGCTTACAAATGAATTGTTTACATCTCAGTGGAATGGCTTCACAAATATGTACCTTAATATTACCCAATTAATACCAATACCCACCAGTTGATGTTAATCAACTGCTCCATTTTCCTAAGCAACTGATTGATCATATGATTGAAACCAAGAATCATTAAACTTATAAACATATTCTTCTTTTCAAGAGCCATAAATAGTTATTAATACTCATGGGCAGTGTTCATCAGGGCATTGTCCATCTCTAAATGAAAACCTAGTAGGCGTGCCAGGAGGTATAGTAAGCTCTTGCCTACCAACTACCTAACTAGGTTGTCATCTAGGACAATGATCAGGGTATTCATAATATACTCACCTTCCTAAGGCATTCTTGTAAGGAAGATATAACTTGTTTCCAACTGATGGATGTGCCTTCATTTAGGATATAAATGACATCTTTATTATCTAGAAGGGTTGTCAACTTATTGCAGAATTTTTTCCTATCAGTTATTCTGTTACTTTCCAAATGGACACAGCATTCTTCTATATCATTCGTGAGAGTCATATTGAACTCGCTGAAACCATGAATAATGACAATTATCACATATATTATGTCGTTTTCTCCATATCTAAAGGAATTGAAGAGAAACTGGAAAGTGTAACTACCCAGTACCCAGTCCCAGTACCAAAAATCCCGCAAAATTCACTATATTTTTTAAATTTGTTCAACTCTCATAACCTCTAACATACTTCTTCTCCTTTTGAACCAAACTGCTAGCTAGTAGTCAGTGGCAATGATTCAGTGGCTAACTGGCTAGAAGCCAATTGTGAAATGATAAGAAGAAGTTTTGGCTGGATGTCCCACACGGGATAAGAGGCAAAGGAACGAAGAAGAAGAACTGGAAGAATCGAAATTGGACCATTTGGCAAATTTTGAAGTTTCAAGTTTTGGCATTATTATTTTTGTTTTTTTGACAGTTTGAGTTTGGTTGGAGGTGGTTGGACTTGCATTTGAAGTCAAATTTGAACAATAAACATGAACATGCATAGCATCTTCAGCATGATACTAGAACCATAGAACTTTATACTAGACTAGAGACAGATTAGATTACATAGATGATCAATGAGTCATGAAAGATTGCAGTCTAGATCTGGATTTAGCAAGAGATTTTCAGGTTGTTTTTGAAGTGTAGAAATTGATCCAGTAAAGTAGTATTCAATTGGTGGTTTTTATTTTTTCAAGAACTAGAAATGCCTTGTGTAAAATGCAAATCTGATTTCAATTTATTCAACTGGAAAATTAAATGTGGAGAATGTGGAGACAAGTATTGTAACAAATGTTTGAAAAGAAAAGAAGGGTAAGCACTAGTAGTTTCAAATCATTTCAGAAGTGACAGAAGAATCTAATGAATAATTTCATTTAAGGGTATTATACTGTGAAAAATGCATGATACTCCTTAAACGTCCTCCAGATAGAACAAGGTTGATGGAACTGAAATCAAAAGATTTACAAGATTATCTGAATAAAAGACATATATCAACATATGGGGTAGTAGGCAAGTATTATGATAATAATTGTTATTTCCATATACATCAAAATATTATTGAATAAGTTTTGCAGAAAAACAAGAGTTGGTAGATTTATTTTGTGACAAACATATACCTGAGAAACCTAAACGAGGAGTTGAGAAATTGACTGCCAATTTTGCTGGTTCTGTTCCAAATTTGAGACCATTGAATGAACTATGGGGTGAGTTTTTTTATATTGAATTCAAACCTACATTAGAATGAAGTAGATAGGCTCTAGTAAAGTTTATTGGTGAATTCAAAATTGATGCCTCAAATTGACCAGCATCAATTTTAAAATTTTTCATTTTTTTCTCAATAGAAGAAATAATGTAGAAAGTAGAAACAATGTAAACCATTATTCATATTTTGGCATCATGCCAACTTCAACTTCTTGATGTCCTGCAAGAGATCCACAAACAATCAATCAAATTAAGAACTCAGAGCAATGTTTATGACTATAACAGGGCTTAGCTAATATTCAGAGATTCAGACTGAGGGCCAGTTGCATAAAACCGTTGAGTGATATATCACGCTTACGCTGGGAAGATGCCCAACCTTATGGGGCAAAACGAGGTCCAAAAAAATCTCACAACTAGATGGCGTACCATAGTTCGAAATCTCACATAGTGGCGGCGATAGTGTCGAACGATGTCGGAGCAATACTTCGTAATTTGACGGGCAGGTGCGCCACTTACGAAGAGAATCTATTGGAATGCAGATGGCGTGCTACTTGGAACAATTAAACAATCCATAATCCGCAACGCTTGTATCGAATCCATGATCAATCAGTACGATTCTAACTAATATGGCGGTAAATTCGAATTTGTTAGTGATAGTTGTATTTCTTTTATTCGTCTGAGGCTTCTAACGAGCGCATCACGGACGTGAGATCATGAAAAAAGTTTAAAGAAATCGAATTGGAGTGAATCACAAAATTTAATGTCTCAACAATAAATGCTTTCATTTTTGGCGATTGTGGAATAAACTGGTCAGCGGATATCAATATATAAACTGCTCATAAATTTGATTGAAATTCACGAACCCGGACCAGTGTTGTCACCTTAAGTGTATTTTACCCTAGAACTGAATCTAAATGGGTCTGTTTGAGTGGAATTTCATATTTCATTATGTCGAATTACTAAATCAAACGATGATTCACTGTCGCAAATCATTTTCTTGTCAGAGCTATGTACAATATTTGAAATTCTCATTATTGAAATTACTGATATTTATCACATGAAAAACGCGGAACATTGCGTGACAATTCTATACCGCTATCAATCCAAAGTATTTTATACTGGTATATGATCCGACCTATGTATTGCCGAAACTTGGAGTGCCAATAATTTCCTTTGATTTTTGTGGGGCGGCCGACTCGGTGCGTTTGTCGGCGATAGGGCTGCCAAGCCGTCCTTTGTCGCCCTAATAACACAAGTACATCCTAGGGACTTCCCAGGGACGTCCCTAATTTTATACAAGGGCATCCCGGAGATATCCTTTGTCGGGACAGAGTACATACTAGGGACATCCCAGGGACATCAGCTGGCTGACAAAAAAAGCTTCCAAGGGATTTCCGTCTGGTACGTCCCTGGGATGTACCAAATGCTTTTTTGAAGCAAGGATATCCCTAGGAGGTCCCAAGAATATTCCAGGGACATCCCTTCGACAAAAGAAAGAAATGTAGGTCGAGTAGGGCTTGAACCCGGGACCTTAAGCTTTTTCAGGCACGCACCTTACTCCATTGGCTGATATGCCTTCTGAAGATTTATGTACCAAACAGATTTTTAAACAGGACCAAACTGCAGAAACCTGAATAAATACAACTTTGTTAGGATTTGGGTATAATTATTATCATTCGTGGATGTTTAAAAATGAGGGGCATTATGCATTTTATTTTCATTACAATTATTTACCGGAAACAAACCAAACATTTTCATAAAAATTCAACTCAATATTTTGATGGAAGTATCAATGACTCTGATGTGAATAGATCAGATATACCAAGGACACGAATTGGAAAACCTATGGATGTGCGGGACATTCCCTGGATACCCCAATTATGTCCTTGTACCGTGTGACAAAGAGGGGAAGTACCTATATAGTACATCCCTGTGTTGTTAGGGCGGAGATTCTGAGCGTTCCGTAGTCGGTACTCCGTTGTTCTGGAGCGGCAAAATCGATTCTACTCAGAAAAAGTTACTGGTATCACAAAATATCAACGCCGATTTCATGATTATATTATATCGTGGCATATAGACTGGAAATGTAGCTGTTATCTGTTGATTTTGTTTTTATCTCTTCAAATATACTAGGGTTGCCATCTCTAAAATGTGAAAACCAGGACAAGGCTACTTGAAAATCCGAACAAAACCCGGACAGCGGGAATTTTGAAAACTCGGCATCATTTTTTGTAATTCCATTTTCATATACATATGAATGAGTCACTATAATTCGGGTATATTACCTACATATTTTTTGTTGCACAAATCGAATAATGACTCAAAAACATTTTTAAACAAAAAATAAACCAATCAAGAGTTTGAAACAAAACTATATATAAGTCACATAAGTACTACCAAATCTACAAATTTTCAATTTGAGAGCAAACTTTCACTGACATGATAATATTTTGTCAGTGGTTTGAACTGACGAAAATCCGGACAACTTTTCAAAACCCGCCCGGACGTCCCCGGACGCCTCTAAAACCCGGACATGTCCGGGGAAATCCGGACGGATGGCAACCCTGAATATACCAAAAAAGAATTCATATTTGTCAACAACTAGAGACTGTAAGAAATGGTTCATAAGCTTGCAGCATCAACTCTTGTAATCCAATAAATAAATGAATTCTATATATGTTCCAATAGTTATGACTCACTCTGTATATTATGCCTATTATAGATGATGTATTTTATTTCATTTTCATAGTGAACCATTAACAATCAAAGATTCAAAGATATCTGACTATTTATTTTCGATCTACTGATGAGACTCTAAGAAATTATCACATTCAGATTGATTATATTATCAATATTTTGTAATGTCTTATTAATACAAAACTTTAAAATGGATACAAATTGAGTAAAAAAAATAATCAACGAAAAAGGCGTGAGATGTTTTTCCAGATAATATACAAATTATATTGGTCTAGGGTCTAGGCAAAGTATGACAAGTTATTCACAAGGGAATTTAAAAAAACGCCACGGAGTAGGATAGTAGCGTTGATTGATATATTACGCTTACGCTGGGAAGATGCCCAACCTTATGGGGCAAAACGAGGTCCAAAAAAATCTCACAACTAGATGGCGTACCATAGTTCGAAATCTCACATAGTGGCGGCGATAGTGTCGAACGATGTCGGAGCAATACTTCGTAATTTGACGGGCAGGTGCGCCACTTACGAAGAGAATCTATTGGAATGCAGATGGCGTGCGACTTGGAACAATTAAACAATCCATAATCTGAAACGCTTGTATCGAATCCATGATCGATCAGTACGATTCTAACTAATATGGCGGTAAATTCGAATTTGTTAGTAATAGCACAGATTACCGTAATAGTTGTACTGGATGTGTTTCTAACGAGCGCATCACGGACGTGAGATCATGAAAAAAGTTTATAGAAATCGAATTGGAGTGAATCACAAAATTTAATGTCTCAACAATAAATGCTTCCATTTTTGGCGATTGTGGAATAAACTGGTCAGCAGATATCAATATATAAGCTGCTCATAAATTTGATTGAAATTCACGAACCCGGACCAGTGTTGTCACCTTAGTGTATTTTACCCTAGAATGGAATCTAAATGGGTCTGTTTGAGTGGAATTTCATATTTCATTATGTCAAATTACTAAATCATACTATAATTCACTGTCGCAAATCATTTTCTTGTCTTAGCTATGTACAATTTTTGAAATTTTTATTATTGAAATTACTGATATATATCACATGAAAAACGCGAAACCTTGCGTGACAATTCTATACCGCTATCAATCCAAAGTATTTTATACTGGTATATGATCCGACCTATGTATTGCCAAAACTTGGAGTGCCAAATAATTTCCTTTGACTTCTGTGGGGCGACCGACAAACGCACGGTTACAGAGATATCCTTTGTCGGGACAGAGTACATACTAGGGACGTCCCAGGGACATCAGCTGGCTGACAAAAAAAGCATCCAAGGGATTTCCGTCTGGTACGTCCCTGGGATGTTCCAAGAACGAAGAAATTATATCACTAGGAGGTAGCAAGGATATTCCAGGGACATCCCTTCGACAAAAGAAAAAAATTTAGGTCGAGTAGGGTTTGAACCTGGGACCTTTAGCTTATCAGGCACGCACCTTACTGCATTGGCTGATATGCCTTCTGAAGATTTATGTGCCAAACAGATTTTTAAACAGGACTAAACTGCAGAAACCTGAATAAATACAACTTTGTTAGGATTTGGGTATAATTATTATTATAATTCGTGGATGTTTAAAAATGAGGGGCATTATATGCATTTACGTTTTCTGTTTGCGAAAAATGGTCATTTCTCGAGAAGTTCTGAGACAATTTTCTTTATTTTCATTACAATTATTTACCGGAAAAAACCAAAAATTTTCATAAAAATTCAACTCAATATTTTGATGAAAGTCAATGACTCTGATGTGAATAGATATCAGATATTCCAGGGACACGAATAGGATAACCTATGGATGTACCGGGCCGGATGTCCACTGGACAACCACTGTGGGACATCCCCTGGATACCCCAATTATGTCCTTGTACCGTGTGACAAAAAGGGTACGTACAGTCGTCTTCAGAGATCATGTCGCACATGGACGGTGTCCGCTCCCTTGATCACTACTGCAATAAGAACGCTCATACCGTCCAACAGCGACATGTTCGCTGAAGACGACTGTACCTAGAACATATATCCCTGTGTTGTTAGGGCGGAGATTCTGAGCGTTCCGTAGTCTGTACTCCGTTGTTCTGGAGCGGCAAAATCGATTCTACTCAGAAAAAGTTACTGGTATATCACAAAATATCAACGCCGATTTCATGATTATATATCGTGGCATATAGACTGGAAATGTAGCTGTTTTTTGTTGATTTTGTTTTTATCTCTTCAAATAATATACCAAAAAAGAATTCATATTTTTTTCAACAACTAGATACTGTAAAAAATGGTTCATAAGC